TCTTATTGTATAAAAAATAAATAAATAAAACTAATTATTTTTATTGGAGCGAAAGAATTGCCTGTTACCGCTTCGTTTGGTGCCTAAAGAGCTAATTTGAGAAAGCTTTACTTTGAGTTGGGCCGCTTTTCCTTTGATGCTAAATGTAAGTGCCCATTTCTTTTATGGTTTTCTTGATTCTATCTAATACAAGTGATTTGAACTGTTCGGTTTCAATTATCCTGCAACAACATATCAATTTTTAATTTCTATTCTGTTACAACTTCATCTATTTAACGAAGGCTGGTGAGGAAAATTCATCTTTTCCCCTTTAACATGTTATTGTTTGATAAAATGTTTAAGAGAGATTAATCTTTAATCTATGTACTTCATTATCAATGTTCCAACTATCATAGAAATAGTAGCTCCGTCATTGACTTATCTCGTAGCTGTTTTGATTTCGGGGGCAGCAAAAGCTCTTCCACGATGAAGTATTCTTTTTTATTTTTAGAATCAATCATGATCTTACTAAAATGCTTCATTGTTTGCTTATTAGTTCCATTGGAGTTTTTGTGTGTATGCTTAGCTTACAACCCTTTTTGTCACGGATTTCTTTGAAATTAAGGCTGTTGAGGAGATTGAACTACCATTGGAAATGCAACTTTGTCACATCCAATTAGCAACCCGTTATCACATTAGTCAAATATAATTTACTTATTTAATACAAATACTAATAGTAAAGTAGCAAGGTGGATTACTTATTTAATACAAATACTAATAACATGGTCGATTACATAGAAAAGGTTACAAAATACCATGTCAATTTATTTCTTATTATTATTTAGACAACTAATAATATTGATTTTCACACGAAATTAAACCTAAAACTAATACTTCAAATTACTTAAACATCCAAACAATTAAATAAAAGAAAACATAGGACAAAGGATTCACTTACCAACTACTCATCTTAATGCAATTTATAGATATGTGACTTTGGACTTTCACTAATTTCACAACGATCCACAAAAATAAGAATTATTCACTGTCGTGATATAATTTTCCCCCTTAAAACACATTATCCGAAGCAGCCTTCTCTCCTCCACCTCTCGCGTATCAGCATCATCACCCATAGGAGCTGAACGTGGAGAAGAAAGCAACTAGCAGCAGTGGCAACCTACTTCGGAATGAGAGTGGTTCTTCACGGCTAGACTTCGGCTTGCAATCGGTTTCATTGTTTTGATTTTTAATTTTATTTCCAGAATTTAGTTCAATAAAAATTATTATTTTTGTATTGTTTTTAATAATGTTTAGTGGTTAAGTCTTTCTAACTTGGGGCTTGGATGTAGCCATCAAATTGTTTGGTTTATTTTAGTTCATTATATTTTGGCTTTTTCTTTAATTGATATTTAATATTCTTAATTTAATTCATGTAAGTAGCTGGCTATTATTTGCATGTTTAGAGGTGTTTAACTGAAGGAATGATAGTTGAAGGTTAAAACTAGTTCATAGGAATATTAAACTTAGGTAGTGAGTCACGACAGTAGGAGTATTGCCTTTGCAACTAGTAATTGTTAAAATCTTAATATATTTTCTGAAATGGAATAAGTACTTGAAAATTTAATGTGGAATTGTGGACTATATTTCTGGGATAAAAAGAGTAACAAATAATTGGTATCACTTATTAAGAATAAATTTGAAAAATTAGTGATTAATTTACATTAAAATCCTAAAACAACCTATTTTTTGTTGAAATATTCTTTCAAATCTAAAATGACTAATATTTCTGAAATGGAATAAGTACCAGTGATAGTCTAAAGTTGTTGGAGACCTAAACCCTTGCACTTAAGTGTTTTATAACCATTACACTCACAATTTTTATTCATGGAGATAAAATAAAACAAGTTTCATTTAAGGACTTGAAAGTTGAAAGGAAAGCACGTACCCATTACCCACACGGCCACACCCACTTGTTAAACCAAGACTTTGACTAAAGAAAGTATGGACTCCTACACCTTGACCAAGTACATACAATTTGACCTGCACTTTTTCTAAGTTCTCACAGCGTTACATCATAAATTTTGTCCATTCTTATTTATCATCTTTCAATAATACAGAATTGATTTAACATGATGATGAAATTATTATTCAATTTAAATTTTTAATTTTCAATTAATATAAATAAAATTATAAATAAAAATTTAAATTAAACAATAATTTTGACACAAAATATTTGATTCCGCGTATCGTACGTAGCCCATGTACTTTCTTTTTCTTCATTCATGCATCTACAATAATTCCTTATCATGGTGACTCAGAAGTCAGAAAGATGTGAATTACAATAACGTAATATTTAATAAATAGAGAAAAAATTGAAAAGTATGCCGAATAATTGTGGGGGAAAAAAAAAAGTTGGCAACTTTCTTCACATGTGGTATGTTTCCCACCAAACAAGTAGTGATGCATAATTTATTTAAATTTTAAAGCCAAAAACAAAAAGGAGAACTGATTACTATAAATCTATAATCAGCTTTCTAAGATGCTGCCACCTTTCGATTATTTCAATGTCTCGTTTAAAGTAGCATTAAGTATAAATTAAGAATCCGAGGTTATGATACAAGTTAAATATTGGTGTTAATAATTAATTAATTAATTAATGGTGTTCTTGAGGGGTGTAGGTACGTGTACGGTGTTCCCGATCCCCGAATCTCCTTCATTTTACTTTTTAAATTTTATTTTCCTTCAATTTTTAAAAGTACTAGTACTACTTCCGTCCCAAAAAAAATAATTTACATCGAGTACAAATCTCAAAATTTGAGTTGATATTCTTTTTGAAACGGAGAGTTAAAATTTCAAAACTCAATGTGGACTATTTTTTTTTTAAGACAGAGGAAGTATCAATTATGTGTGTGGTGGAACTCCCACGTCAAGAAAATGATTCCTAGAGAGATATAAGAGAGGGGGAAAGCGATTTCAGTTATAATCTCTTCGACCAAATAAATGAGATCGTTTTCATTATAGGAATTATACAAATGACAGTGGTGAAATTAAACCCTTAACACAAGATTAATTGAATTGAAAAAAAAAATCAATGAAATTTTCTGGTTAGTCATCGAGACTCTAATAATTTGATAAATTCTAAAAAAAAACGTAATTTTAGATTGCTTTTTTTTTTTCCGGTCGAAATTGAATATTATTTTAAAGTAACACGTAAGACGCTATAAAAGATAAATTCATACAACGAGTCATCATATAAATTCATATTGACTATTTTAGTATTGATTCTTTTGAATAGGGTGAATGAAGAGCAACTTTTAAATTTAATAATCACGGATCATTGAGAGAAAAGTTATTAAGGGTCTTGGAGGGGGCAGCATTGGCTTAATTTTTTGGTAATCAAGACTAAAAGATATCTAAAGTAAATATTCATTTTTTTAAAAAGTAAATATTCATTTAAAAGAGGTCGGCCACTTTAATTTGAGATCATCATAAAGAAAAACACCCTTTTACAATTTATAGTAACCATAGCTTTTATCTATCAAAAATCAAAACGAAATCATTCATTTCTTTTTTTTTTTAATAAAAAAAGTGTTCTTTCATCTATTTTAATTTGTTTATCCAATTATTTTTTTCACGGAAACCACATTTATATTAGTGTTGCAATGATTAAAAAACAAATTCTTATTCGTATTGGTGGATTTAATCTAAAGTTGTAGCTGAAATTTGTACTTTATAATAACCAAAAAAAAAAGTTACAAAACATTAATCCGGGTATTAATTTTGACCTACGAAAATAAAAAAGCTTTCAACTTTATAAAGTAAAATAAAAATCATTCTTCTACCAACAGTATTAAAAAAAAAAGAGAAAATAAAAGTAATTCGTTTAAAATAAAGTAAACCACTTCGTTTTTGTTTTTTTTTTTTTTCCCTGGTTAAAAAAGCAAAACCACTTTAATACCGAATCGCGGATATGTTAAATTAATGGACGAGTATCCTTTCCTTTTTCCTTTTTCTTTCATCAAATTAACTTCTTTTTTAACATTAATTGACGCTAAAAACATAAACCTAAAACTAAAAGGGAAGTGTAGTAGTAGGCCGTCGGAACTGAAAAAAACAGTCCACAAAAACTCGTCTTAAAACGACAACCACTATGCACAAATGTAACCAGCCAAAATGGGGACCCTATGGCTCACTCAAATTATGTGCCCAAAAAAGATCAATCAACTCGAGTGGCTATCTCGTTTTCTAATTTCCAATAATGTAATTGTTATATATCTATTTGAAAAATAAAAATTACTTTGGTTATTAACTCTATAAATTATACCGATGATTTTATGAGGTTTATGATAATATATTTTTAAATATTAGTTTTATATTTATAATAAACTAGTAATAATTGTCGCTCAAAATTATAAGAAAATTATATATCACGAATTTCATCCCAAAAACAGACATATCAACATACTAGAATACAATATATATAAGTATAAGAACTTGTCTCAAGCTAAATTTTAGGTTTTGGCCTTTTAGCTTGCAACGTCCATTGTAGAAGTTAGAACTGAGATTGAGTTCATCTTATTTATTAACTGATTTCTATTACTCTAAGTTATGGATATAAGATTGCCAGTCTTACTTATGACCCCAACGTTACAAATATAGTACAAATCGACCAGAATTTATTATCATGAGTAACCTATCAATTTCAAAAGTTTGAATGTTCTTTTCTTCAAAAAAGTTCAAATTTTTAAACACATCAATCACAATTAATCAGGGTGTACGTTTCGATAAACTACTAATCTCGTTATATGACATTAATGTTCGGTTGAGCGATCTCAGTCTGACCATTCAAATACTTTTTCAGATAACTCTAAATCAATCGACTTAATCAAGATCGAGTGTGATTCCAAACTTAAGATAACATAAATGAATCGAATTAGAAACCAAGGTGAGCAAGTGATGGTACAGATATAGTAGTTATAAAATGTCTATATTGTTATTAGAAAAGGATGATTAAGGAAATTAACAAATCTTGTGACAGCTTAAATATACAATCATAATTAGCTTGCTTCACGCGTCGATTATAGCGGAGGTCGGTTGCAAGTGGCAAACCTTTCCAAATTACCAAAAAACAAACCTTTCCCTTTTTCCTCCTACTTTCCTTCTTCTTATCTTCCCCACCTATATAATCCTCCCAATTTCTGCTCTATTCTTATCATCTTCACAAATTTTGTCAATTTATAGCTGACCACTCAATCTCACAACCCTCCATTCAATATTTTTTGTGTGTTGCTTTTTTCCCCTCTTTTTTTTTTTTGTTTTATCAGATTTTCTTCTTCAGATAGAAGAAAAAAATTGCATTTTTCTTCCCAATCCCTCCAATTTTCATTGGGTTGGAGCTTGAAGAAAGAAAGAAAGAAAGAAAGGAAGCCCCTGTTTTTGTGTGTCAGCAAAGACAAGTTAAAGGAGGAACAAAAATTCTTCTGTTTTTAAGCAGAATTGGTGGTGTTTTATTTTTCCTGGGAAATTCTTCTTCTTTTTTGCAGAAGAATTATTATCATATCATTGTAAAGTTTGAATCTTTTTTCATGCTTTCTTCTCCATCTTCTCCTTTCTTGTCATTGAAAATTTTCTCCAGATTTGATTCTAAGCTTTTGTTTGTATTTGAAAGATCATTTGGCATAAGCTAACATTAGGCCAAAAAAACCCAAAATTCCCCCCCACACAATAGAGCTTTAGAATTGCTTAACATTTAGGATTATTATTCCCTTTTCATTTTGTGTCAAAATATAAATTATGGGCACGGAGGTATTGAGACCACAAGATTTCTGGGCCGATAGAACAACATTCCGGCTATCTGCTCCTCCTCCGGCGGCATTTCATCGCCGGAAAACCCACAACCCGAATACCAGACATCACCGGAAACCATCGGTGCCCCGTGCAGAACGGCCTGATCATCATCAAAGAAGAAAGTCTCCATCTCCGTCTCCTTCTCCATCTCCATCTCCACCACCAACTCCACAACCGCAACAGAAACGGGAGCTTATCATCCCACCACCACCATCTCCGGTTCCGATTCCGAGGAGGTCTCCGAGCGCCGATGAACTGCAAGCCCATTACATTTACAGCAACCATTACCGCCACAATCACAAATTCGGAGCTCCAACCCAGATGGGACGGGTCAGGATATTGAGAAGAGGCCAATCTTTGGACACAATTGATGCCACAAGAATGAAAAGGGATATGAACAGCATAGCTAGAGGCGGGCTAATTAAGAAAAATTACTTGGAAGAGGACGATGTTTACGCCGGATCGGCGTTTTTTGCTTCGCCGTCTCCGAGCTCACTTCCCCTGCCTTCATTTTTCAACAACAACAACAACAACAACAACAACCAGAAGAAGAAAATCATTCACAACACCATGGGAAATGATGTTGAGATTCATGATTCTGCTACAAGGGATTTGAGGCGTTTGCTTCGTCTCGATTAAGAAAAAAAGAAGTAAGCTTTTGCTCTGCCACCATCCAAATCCCATGCTTAGTTATTGAAAATTACAGCTACCTGGTACTGCTACTGCTACTATTACTACATTATATTATTTTGGTTAAGAAAAATAGCCATAAGGGCCATCTTCTGGTTAAGGTTTTTTCTCCTTTTTCTGGATCCGGAATTTCTCCATATCAATTTTTTGGGTATATGGAGAGATTATAGAGGTCTGAAAAATAGAGAGAATGGGTTAATGGGATTTTTTTTAGAAATTTTTTCTTACTTTTGTCTAGCTATATAGTTTAGCTATAAAATTTGATGTGGAGGGAGGTGTGTTTTGGCTCCCATTTGTGGGCTAAAGCTTCATATATATTACTATTTGCCTCCAAGAAAAATGATCAGAAAAACACCAAGAGAAAAAAAAAAGGAATCTTTACTGGTTTTGTTCTATGTAATAGAGTGGGTTTAATCAGTGTAGCCATGGGAGTATTGTAATATATATCTGGTTACTCCCTAAATTTGTACTGTTAGGTTTAAGCATGGGAGAAAGAAACAGAAGATGGTTAGGTATATATGGTGTGGAATTTGCTCCATCTGCAGCAGCAGAAGTTATTGTTATTGATGTTGTTGATGTAAATTTATATAACTCATCTCAGTGATCATAAATAGAAGAACCATTATATTTTGAGTGAGCATATGCAGATCTTGTTGAGCAGCTCTATCTTATCGTTTTATTTCTGTTCTGACTTTACTTATCGAAGTTCTAGTTTGGGTGCTATCATCATTTCTGGTTTGTCACAAACTCTGTTTTGAGGAACCCAGATCCTGAAGAAACCGAAACTACTGTTTGAGCAAAATTTGGATGTCAAAAGCAATCAAAATCTCATCCTTAGAACCAAATTTCACTCAAAACTAAGTTCTATTGTGTTTGAATCGATGAAAACTTTACATAAGGAGCCAAATCTAAGGCCTGCAACATTCACTCAGATATAGGCTAGCAAGATTCAACATTAAGGATCAAATAAATTAATAAATACATTTAAGTTTATGGATATAGACAACAACTAAGCACACATGGGTGGACCGATCGTCTTCTTCTTGTAGACCATTTGATGCTTGTTCTCTGCATTTCTGGAACTCAGATTTGAAAATGGAAATTGAAGCACCTCAGCTTACAGAAGTGGAGCATCAGAGTAAAAGGGTCATCCCCAAACTGGCAATTATTCTTCACAGAATTGAAGAAGGTAAGGTATGCTGGTAGTAAATGCGTCGCAATACCTCTTGTGGATGGCATCCCTGATATTGGTTGGTCATCTTAGTGATCTCGAATTAGCTGGTGTAATTGCTATTTCGTTCACCAATGCTACTGGCTTGGCTTCAGTCTCCTTGTCATGTTTTCTTCCCCGTCTTCTCTTCATCTACTAGATTATCATTGTTTATACTTGATAACTATATAGAACTTCATAGATCAGGGTTGTTAGCCTTCATTGGTAAATGCCAGTCAGTCCACATTTATAGCAAAGCTTTAAACAGCTAAGAAACAATTTTAGTACTATTTTACTGCTTAGCTGCTGGTATCAAAATATTAACCCTCAAATGTTTTCCATCAGTTTGGAATGGCTAGTGCTCTGGAATATCTTTGTCTGCATGCCAGTTTCCATACAGTGGTGGATCTTTACGGACAAAAATCTTGTTTTGAAGCATCGAGACGTGTTAATTTCAGCTCAAGCTGGAAAATTCACAACTTGGCCTATTCCTTCACTTTTTCCATATGCTATTCTCCAGCCCCTGATTCGATACTCGCAAGCTCAAAACTTGATCTTCCCAATGCTCTTAACCTCTGTTGCAGCTCTGTTTTTCCATTTGCTTGTTTGTTGGGCTTTAGTATTTTACTTCAAGTTAGGAAATGCTGGAGCTGAATGCAGGCTTCTTAGTTCACTGTGTTGGATTGAGCTAAATGCTTAGTTCACTGTGTTATTTGGTGGGAATCCCCTTAGCAATAGTGTTGGATTGAACTAAATGCAGGCTTCTTAGTTCACAGTGTTCTTCTCTGTCTCATAACAAGTTTTGCTAACTGGGAAAAACAGGTTAATTAGTTTCTTACAAATTCTGAAACTCTTTATGGCTGTCAATAATATTGCAGTGCTGATATTGATTTATACTAAGCCCCATATATAGAACTCTGCTCTCTGGTTAACAATGCAGGCCATTTCTGATCGAGTGAGAATGTTTTAATGATAATGCAGTTGGTTGTTGCAGATGGTTGAGATATGAGATATGGTCTTGAAATAAAACTAATCTCTGATTATTGTTTTTCCTTTTGAATTCAAGATCTGGAATACTTAAATTAAGCGTTGAATCCCGACATCCTTCAATTTTTATTTTTTTTAAAAAAATCTTAGCTCATTTAACACATCTCATGATTTTTGACAATTTTTTGTGTAACTTAAACTTGTAGTATGTTTTTGCTTACTGTAAAGAAGTATAAGACGAAGAGAAGTCTAGCTTGATTTGTGCTGGTGTTGATAGTCAGGTCAAGAAGAAATGGAATTTGATGATGGTAGTTTCCCAATGATATACTTGGGATTGCCCATTTCACCAACAAGATGGTCAAATAATGATTCTCAGCTGCAGATAGAAAAAATGACAAAAAGAGTGAAGTGTTGAGTACCAAACATCTCTAATCAAATGCAGGGAGGCTCCAATTAGTTAGCTCAGTATTTTTATCAATGCATGTGTATTGGGGTAGTGCATTTCTAGTGCAGATTACCAGGATATGCAGAGACTTCTTATGAGTGAAAAATGAAGCAATGCATTTGGTGTCTTGGGATTTAGTATGCAGACCAAAAAGTGGAGTACTGAGTACTAGAGAACCAGGGTTATAGAATCAAGCTGCTGGTGCAAAGCAAGTATATGGAATGTAGCAGCAAAGAAAGATGTGCCGTGGATAAATGGATAAACGAATATTATTTGAAGAGGCGGGAGTTTGTGGGAATATGAATGAACCACCTGTTGATTGCAGTTGGCACCGGAGACAGTTAATGAAGATCGAAGATAAACTAAAAGAAGGAAGTGCTCACGGAGTATGGAAACAGAGGAAGTATAGAGTATGAAGTAAAGAATGGTTATAATTTTGATTGGAAAGAATCTAAAAGAAAATTTCAGCAAAACAAGGAGGAGGCAGCAGTCAGGGTGGAAAGCATCAAGCAGGAGCTGATTTGGAGTATACAATGCACCTATAAAAAGCTTTAAAGTAGCAGAATTGAGATACTTAGACAGAATAAGTACTCCCTCCATCCCATAATTATTGTTCAGTTTGAGTTTTCATTTTCAGTTCAAATTGTACTAATGAAATTTCAAACTGGACAATAATTTTGGGACAGAGAGAGTATAAAAGTTGCATAGAAACAGGAAATGAGAATCAGAAACCTAGATAGGAATGGACTGTTTGTTTGTAAATTAGTGAGTTTTCAGTTTGATTAATCAATACAATTCACCATTTACCAAAAAAATAAAAATAATAATAATTATAATAAATTATTTGCTCTAACATGAGTTATTTAATTTGACAGATATGATAATTCGATACTTGTGCGTGGTTGTCCAAGGACGCAGGTTTCGAGTTCTCTGTGGTTTAGGTTTTTGTTACATTTCGGGCTCTCTATTTGATGATGATTACAACTTTGTCAAGTTTTTTTTTTTTAAGAGAAAAGAAAGAGATATCCCATCATTTTTATCATCATTTAATTATGAAAAATAATATGTATATTGAAAAAAGTAGTGATTAATGTAGAGTATTAAGATTTCCTATTTTGTTCTCACTTTCCTATTAAATTATATTTTTTTTCTCCAAATTTATACTTTTTGTATTACTATTTTTTTTCCCACTAATTACCAAATGTTACGAGTGAAATTACAATTTGTGCTTATGAACTAATCAATCTGCAAAGCTAAGAATTAAAAATAAAAAGAGCAAAGATTCATGTTACTACATGTATGCAGTAGCCAGTAGCCTATTCCATCTTGCAAAAAATTCGCAAGTAGTTTAACTGAGTGAATTATTAACATGAGGCGAGAATTAAATATAATTTGGGAATTTAGAAGATGAACTTGTCATGAGCATCAAAACTTCGATTATATACTATAAATAGGTAAGCATGACTGAATCAAATCAAGACATTTTGTCATACTATTTTGGTTTCATCAAACAAGAGTTTTCTTTTTTCAATCAATTTCTTCTTCTTCCTTTTTTTCTTCAAAGCAAAAAAGAGTTTTTAATCTTACTTCGTCTTCCCTCGAACATGCAACTGAGCGAATACCATTCAGTATATCGTAAAATTGAATACTAGCTACTTTGATAGCGTGTGGACGAAGAAAATGTTTGGTATTTGGGGTAAATGGGAAGTGTTTGGTAATAGTTAACATTAGTACAAAGTATGTTGGTTTTCTTGAAAGAGTGATTTCGTTCATAAAAGATCTATTTGGGTAGTAGTACCGTGTGGATCAATATCACGAGATTAATTTTTGCAGTAGATTATTTGATTTTTCTAACAAAATTTTAGTCGTAAGTATTTCTATATATGTAACGATTTTGCCAGCGGTTAAATGGTACTCCTTCCGTCCCATAATTATTGTCTAGTTTGAGTTTTTATTTTTAGTTCAATTTATAATAAAAGTGAAATCTCAAGCCGGACAATAATTTTGAGATAGAAGGAGTATTTTTTTTGTGGGTTAAACCATTATATCTAAGTTTGAACTTCTATATGATTTTGTCTCTTTGTTATATCTGCCAGAAAAACGAAAAAAGAAACTCATGTCGTCCTTTGGAACCCCATCGTCGGCCATCTCTACAAAATTAATTGAGCATGGCTAATTTGAGCAAGTTAAGGAGTTCAACTGTTGAAGGATGAAACTGTGAGCTTTCAGGAAGCTTGTGCCTTGACTTCGAAGCAATGCTTCCAAACTCCAAAGGAAGAGAATTTTAAGTGAAGTATCATGCTTGAAATTGAAATTTCTAGTATTATTAATTGAATATTCCACTCTAATAAGAATCATGCTCTAACCATTTTTTCAAGTCGGAAAATAATAGTAAACTATTTTTTTTAGAGGGAGGGGATATTTGTTAATATTATCAAATCGTTGCCCAATATAGAAGATGTGTTACCTGTCATTCTTTTCCCGTAATATTCAAGTACTATTTGATACACAGAAAATTAACTAATTAAACAATTTTTTTTTCAATTTATTCACTGGGAAAGGCTCGAATCCGGATTAAAACAGAATTTTTTTTTCCCTTTTTGCTGCCTTTTTTCCGTAAAACAAATGTGTTAAGGATTATAATTATTCTTCGGTCAAGCCACAAAAGTAATAGACTTTAACTGTGGCGTTGATAGTCCATGAAAATGGCTTGAATCTGTAATTTGAATTGTCAAATCTTGTGGTTACACCCATTTCTTGACTTCCTTTTGTTCTTGATCACTAATTAGTTCACGTGTGGTCATTGGGCTGACCATTTGTCTTCGAAATTAATCATTAGATTATTGTTGCTAATAACAGAAACAAATAGTTACACTAGCGATTTTATACAGTCAAGGATTCAATTTTACTCTCACTCAAGCATTACAATCATTTCAAGATTCATCGTCATTGTCTCTCTTTTTTTTATTTCTCATATTTAGATACTCCCTTTATCCCAAAATTACCGTCCAGTATAAGATTTCACTTTTAGTACAATTTAAACTAAAAATAAAAACTCAAACTGGAACGGAGGGTGTACTTTTTTCCGTCTGCAAATAACTGTTCAGTTTGCTGTACTAAAATTTTAAACTTCGAGATTATTCTAACTTTTTCCCCCTTCTTTTCAATTAAACACATGATAAATTTGCATGACTATACAGTATGCACACGAACGTGTGCGTAACGTTCTGCCTAACTATACCTGCTTGGCCATTTTTATTAACTTGCCGAATTAAAACAAGACGTTGAATTAATGTCAAAACCTAGAGGCGAAATTGACTAGTTTTCTATCACGTTTATGTGAAAACAAGAAATTCACTTATGTACCAATGTAAGATGCTAACGATATTATAGACTTCGGCGGGCTTGAAGTTGTTTGCTCAAGTGTCTACAGTTCCAACGAGGATAATTAACTTTGTAGATAGTAAATACCTGCAAATATGTAATGATTCTTACATATGTGATTAAGCTAGGAAATATAATGATTATATATGTATATTTACATTGAGATTAGTAGTTTCTTCTCCCCCAATTACTAATCAATTATCTTGTGTGATGTTAGGGTTCAGTTTCTCTTGCGGAGGAGATCATTATTATCTAGTTACTTAATTACACCATTCAATGGACAGAACTATATACATAGTTATTATTCGATTATTCCGGTACAACAAATTAATTACATTATTGTTATAGCGAACAATCAAGTATATATATATATATATATATAATTATTTATTTATTTATTTTGTATTGATTCCATTCCAAATCATTAAATATGGCAATTCACATAAGTCAATTAAAGTTAACCGCAGTTGGCCTAAATATACAATAAGGCCCAAGATTAGTCGCCGAATTAAAAAAAAAAGTGATTTAGCAGCCTCAATATATAATATTAAGACATTCACATTAATGAATACACTAATGAAGCAGCCTCAATTTGGCATAAATAGTAGTAATCCATATAACATAGTCAATTACATTAAAAAAAAAAAAGAGGAAAAAATTTATATTTGCAATTGGGGATATGTCCACACGTACCCCTTGGGTCAATCCCCAACTGGGTTTTATTTTTTGTTGACAAAAATAACTAGTGTCAATAAATAATCCAATTTCAATGGTATTATTTTTGGTTATCTTTCACAATGAAACTTGGATTATTAAAAATTCTGGTCTGTAGCTTGTGCTTACTGCTAAGCACGTAGTATGAACATAATCATTAATCTGTTTAATTGTTCTATGGTCATATAGTCTATTCTTTTGAGCCTTGATCAGTAGCTGTTGCACCGGATATATTCTTTCAAGTTGCACAACAAAATAATATGATATATATATATATATATATGATATATATATATATATATATATATATATGGGCTAGTGACAGGTACATACTTTTCCTGCAACATATTTTTAATTGCCCACTTTCTTAAATTAAAATTGGTACAACAAACTGGATTATAAAAATAAAATAGAGAAAAGCCTGTAATTGAAGTATTCATGCATATCATTTATTGATGAATATAATGCTTTGTCCGTTGTAAAAAGATAAGTCCCAACATTTGCTATATGTTCTGTTTTAGTTCAGCATATACACTTTTTTTTTTTTTTTTGAAGCGAATGAATGAAGTATATATAACTGTATCGCTACTGTAAGTTACTACTCTCTCTGTTCAACAAAAAAAATAAAAATAAAAATTTACGTTAATTAAATTTTGAGATTTATATTAATTTTAATTAAAAATTAAAAATTCAATGTGAACTATTATTCTGGAACGAAGAGAATACATATAAATATTACTTGCACGATACGCCTAGTAGTTAACCATATACGTAGGTAGATTGTGACCATTTGTTACAAGCACTACGTAGACTTTTACGTGTATCAGAACCAAAGACTTGTGTGGAGAACTGAATTTGAACTGATACTTTTAGTGTATGAGATTGAAACTTTGCTAATTAAACACATCCTGGGTCCTGTTTTTGTTTTTTTTTCTGATAATCACCCCATCCCAAAATAAATTGATGAGAATGTTGATTCAGTTATTTCTCGCATCATTCTACATCTTGCTCTTGTCATTCCTTCCGATTTCATCTCACGGAATCTCTCAAATTGGAAATACTTAATCATTCTTCAAGCTTAAGAGGACGTTAACATCTATCCAAAAGTAAAAGTCACACAATTCTACTTATGATTAAAGCCAAAAAAAAATAGAAAAACACATATCTCAGCTTCCTTAGAAGTAACCTTTTATATCAACAAATCTAAACTCTATATTAATATGTGACTTAGAATTCATCAAACTCCAACCACATTTTTTTCTTTCCATCAAGAAATTTTTTTGCTGGTATATTGATTGAAAACCACAAAAAATGGCTTCACAAACTTCAGGTTCTAGTAATGCAAGCAAAACATTCACAGGTTTAGGAAACCTAATTAGGCTCCTTCCAACTGGAACAGTTTTCTTCTACCAATTCTTGAACCCTATTTTAACCAACAATGGAAGTTGCAGCTCCACAAACAAGATCTTCTCCAGCTTACTGTTTGCACTTTGTGGGCTTTCTTGCTTCTTCTCAACTTTTACAGACAGTTACAAAGATGATCAAGGGAACCTTCATTATGGGATTGCCACTTTCAAGGGTTTCTGGCCAACTTCTTCTGATCCATCATCAACTACTTCTATTGACTTCAGTTCTTACAAGCTTCAACTTGGAGATTTTATTCATGCTTTTCTGTCCTTGATTGTGTTTTGTGTTCTATCTTTGTTGGATTCCAATACGGTTCATTGCTTTTACCCTTCTTTTGAGTCTTCTCAGAAGGCTTTAATGATGGCTTTGCCTCCGGTGATCGGTTCTGTCGCCGCCACCGTCTTTACCACTTTTCCGATGAAACGCCGTGGCATAGGCTATGCTGATAAAAATTCTTCTTCTTCTTCATCGTCAGGGCAAGGCCAGCAAAACCCGGCTCCAAAAGTTTAAGTGGAAAGTGATTATATTTATATATAATTGGTTTTTAAATTGTTTTGTATGATTTCTATATTTTAATCACTCTTACAAGATTATAAGAAATTAAAACTTGTAATAGTGATTAGTTAGGTCGTTGGAGATGCTTGAAGGAATTAATTGTCTTCCGTTGTATATGTATTTGATGGAAATTTTAAGTTTGTAATGAATTAGCTTGTATGTACTTATGGATTCATGTAATGCACGCACCTTACTATTCTGTGGTAAAATGCTTGTCTTACCATATAAGAAAACAAAAACAAAGAATCAAAGAGTTAATATAATATCTCAACTTTTGTTACCTGTATCTATTCCATTTTTTTTTTACAACCAAAGAAGCCAAAATCTAAATACAAGAAATCAACATTATGTATATATTATACTCATAATGTATATAATACAAGAAATCAACATTTGTTACCTGTATCTATTATATATACATATATATATGTGTGTGTCTGTATGTGTGGGTGTGTGTATGTATGTATGTATGTTTTTGGTCAAGGATGATCTCAAGCTTTTTTTTTTTTTGGCTTGGCTCGGAGATAAATCTTTGCGCCCACGTAGGCCCTTCGGTTGAAGATTCAACAACATTTTCTTGATCTCAATTATTGCAAATACCAAGTCTGATAAACATTAGAAATATATGAAAAACGTAAACTATATATAGTCAACTATATATATTGAAGCAACTTTATTGAGAGACAAACATCTTCCAATAGTAGACTCAAACTCGATAGAGATCTGATTAAGAAAAATACATTTTTTCTTACAACTAGACATTTTTGTGATGCGCTACAAAAATCGTAGTCGAATAGTTTGAGGCATAATAGTATTCCTAGTATAGAAGTGTAATAAACAATGAGTGGGGTGACTTTTGGCCTTATAAACAGGTGACAGATTTTTCATGGCACCGACGTGGGATTCTTTATCCCAACATACATGTCTCCTCATGTGTAGAAAATGTAGTCATTGTCCATATATAATGTACTCCCTCCGTCCCATAATTATTGTCCAGTTTTACTAAAATGAAAGATTTTATTTTTAGTCAAACTTAACTATATTTTACCTTGAATAACCGAATATACCCTTACATAAGTGATTGTTTAACCACAAAGATTTTATGGATAATGTGTTTTACTAAGGACAAATGTGTAATTTGATCCATAAAAAGTCAAATTGGACAATAATTTTGGGACAAAATTTTTTGGGCAAAGTGGACAATAATTATGGGACGGAGGAAGTAGTACTTTAACAAAATCATCGTCTCAAAATGATTATAGTATATTATGCTTTGAAATATTTTAATTCAATAAGTAGGATATTATTGTGCAATAAATGGACTAGCACAGTAGCACTCAGACGGCCTGTTCTATATATCTTTACCGGCATTGAGACAAAAATGGCGTTAGAGAACAAAAAATAATCGCCTTATAATATTATGTAGAAGCGTTTTATTCTTTTATTTTTTTTTTTTTTTGGGTTTAAAAGTTAAAACAATAGAATCAAATTAAATATGTACCGGAGCTGTTTTAGAGTCTTCTTATTTCAATTCACGTTGATTAACTGATAAAATACAAGATCGACTTCATACACAATTGGAGTTCAAAGTATACGTACGCTCGACTGATAAAACACAAGATCGATTTCCAACACTGGTAAGATCAAACACACGATGTTACACCTTTCTAGGTGACTATAATTGTTTAATCAATTAGTTATTATTACCGATAATAAACATAAAATTTTTAAGAATTTGATTTAGAACCATTGATCAACATAATACTCCCTCCATTTAAAATGTAGGTTTTTTATAAGTTTGGAGAAATATTTCAAAATATAGATCGTTTTAGGATTTCAAGGTAAATTAAAAGTTAACTTTCCAACTTTACTCCTAATAAATAATGCTAACTACTTTTTATCTAGTTTGGATTATAGTTTCAAAACAATTAATAATGGGTGAAATAGATATTTAACACACAAATTAATTTCTAAATAATTGTTTTCTTAGTTTACGTAAAGAGTCTAAAATGACATATATTTTGAGATGTAGGGAGTATCATGGTTATGAGGTAACCTTGTTACTTGATTTTTACTCATATATATTGGCTTCTGTTTCAAACATTTACTAATTACTGCTTCTGTTTAACTAATTCAATTTTAGAGGAATTGGAGCCAAACACTTCCTTCTTAGTTCTTCATTTGCCACTTGACATGTTAATCCTGAATTTATGCATTTATTTAAAATGGGAAAACAACTCGACACATTGGAAGAAATTGAAAGGAAACTGAGTGCAAAGGAAATTAGTCAACGGTCAACCAGTATAGCCATACTCATTTGCAAATGGTAGGTACGTACATTCATATAGTATTATCATGATTGATTGATTGATTGGTTGCATGCAGTTGAAATTATTATTTTCTTTATCTCGAATATTTAAAGACAAATATATATATATATATATATATATATATATTTTCTTAAACTATACCATCCTCAATCCAAAAGTGTAATTATCACAGTGAAAAGAAAGAAGAAGCTTATAATCTATGATTTTATTTGTATTTTGTTCATATGATTTACATGATCTTTGTTCATATATCCCAACTTAATTAAGAATATAAGTTTTTTTCTTTTCTTTGGGTACAATAAGAGATGTAAAAATCTAACACTCTCATGTTACGTTACTTATTGATAAGCTTAAAAATGACCAGAAAAAAAAAATTCTTCAACCAGAAGATAATAAAATAGAGACGAAAAGAAGACCAAAAGGGGTAGAGTTGAATGTGTTGACCATACCCTATGTCACCTTACACGTTTGATTCTCCTCAGTCCAAAGACTTGACAAAAAGGAAAAGTCGAAAACAAACAAACACAAAAACACGACTATACACTTTTCCCCTATAAATATGTCACACCAATTTTTCATTTTCCTCCATCCACAAAATCAACCCTAAAATAACTATACTCGCAAAACTCCATTTCTTTCCATCAAGAATTTCCTCTTCCTGTTTTCATTATCAAAAAAAAAAAAAAACCCTAGTATTGCATCGATTTCTTTTTCCTACTATGGCTACACAAAGTGATCAATCAGGCCCTAGCAATACAAGCAAAACATTCACAGGTTTAGGAAACCTAATTAGGGTTCTTCCAACTGGAACAGTTTTCTTCTACCAATTCATGAACCCTATCTTAACCAACAATGGAAGTTGTAGCTCCACAAACAAGATCTTCTCAAGCTTACTCTTTACAGTTTGTGGGCTTTCTTGCTTTTTCTCAACTTTTACTGACAGTTATAAAGATGATCAAGGACATCTTCATTATGGGATTGCCACTTTCAAGGGTTTCTGGCCAACTTCTTCAGATCCAGCATCAACTACTTCTGTTGACTTCAAGTCTTATAGGCTTCAAGTTGGAGATTTTGTTCATGCTTTTCTGTCTTTGATTATATTTTGTGTTCTATCTTTGTTGGATAGTAACACGGTCCATTGCTTTTATCCATCTTTTGAGAATACTGAAAAGGCTCTCATGATGGCTTTGCCTCCGGTTATCGGGTCAGTCGCCGGTGCCGTGTTTACCACTTTTCCGATGAGGCGCCGTGGTGTAGGGTACGCTGAAAGTTCATCTTCGAAATCGTCGTCGCCGCCATCAAACTCGGCTGTTGTTGCACCGGTGGCTTCCGGCCAGCAAACCCCCGTTCAAAATGTTTAATAAATTTATTCTTCTTAGATGTAATTAAATTTGAGTTGTGAAAGTGAGAAATTCTTTTGTTCTTTCTTACAATAATATGTAATTCACTTTAATGGTTAAATTTTAAGATCAAATCAAAAAAATTAATAAGTCGTTTAATTAATTTGATTTGGTCGTATGGAAGATGTATAGAACGATATATTGCATGTTACTCTGTGTATGTTTATGGTGGCTGTATTAACTTGGGATTGATCATGTCAATGAAATTACACAAGAGAATTTTTAAATAACGGTTATTTTAATTGTTCCTCTGATATCAAGATTATTTTGGTTATTGTATAATTACTTTCTCCGTCCTAAAAAAATAGTCTACATTGAACAAAAATTTTGCTTATTATGGATTATTTTTTTGGGACGAAGGAAATATTTCCTGACACAATAAACATGATATAAAATTTTGTTGGAACCAAAGGAGTTGCTCTTTTACGTGCAATTACAGAAGTGTCATGTTAACTGGTTTACGTGGGAAAGTAGTAAATTTCATTATACCGCACGTTATGAAAGTTGCATGTTCTTGGTCAAAGATTAATGAACTTTCTTAGCTTGAATCTGGAAGTAAAATTTGGGAGGCACACGCTTGATGAAAAATTCAACAACCGATAGTCCATATTATATCTTGTTAATTTTTCCATTTAATTATCTCAGTCTTTTTCATTATGTCCTCTTAGGAACCCTTTGAGATAAGGAGAGAAAATTATGCAAATGAGAAATGTCTTTTTTAAAAAAAAAAAAAAAGAAAAAAAAAAGAAGAAATAATTGTACTTCAATTGTCAAAAGATTATTTAGAACTTCGAATGAAAATCAGCTTGAATATGATATGTGCATTATTAAGACACCAATATCGATCCAAAAATGAAAAGAAAAAACAAAAGGTAGCAAGTTTGTATACGTAATTAATAAATTACAAATGAAAAAAAAAAAAAAAGATTCTTTCTAATACTTTGCTAATTTGCCACTTGATACATCCAAACAGAAAATAAGCATTTTTCCCTTTTGAAGAAGAACTAGTCAGCAAACGATCGACGCCTATTAAAGAACAAATAAAAAAAAAAATTGGAAAGGTAATCAAGCGTTCAATTTGTGAAATGTCAAAGAATTGTACTCAACTGGGAGCCATTCTTGATGTTGATATATTATATGTACGTTTTTCTCTTAAATCGTATTGGTTCTCATTGTCTTATATATATTCCATTTTTTTTCTGGGATTCATGCTACATCAATATTTAGTTATTTACGATAACATTGTCATTGTTAGATGTCATAAACAAATTAGAATAAGAATATATTTCTTCTGTGCTAAAATAATTGCCCAGTCTGAATTTTTATTTTTAGTAAAACTGAAAAATCCAAACAAAATAATAATTTTGGGAAGGAGGTGTTATTTTCTTTTGAAAAAAAAATAAAAATTTTTGCGCTTGCAAGGAGTTAGTACTAAGCTGAATTCAATTGTAACCGGGTTGGCATTAGATTTTAATGTTTTTGCTCATTAATTCTCTCCAGACCCGAGTTCGTTCGAATTGAGTTGTACTGAACGTAACAGTGAATTTGAAAAATAGTGGAATAAAATATTCTCAGGTTCACTTAGTTAATAATCCCTCCGTTCCATAATTATTGTCCAGTTTGGATTTTCATTTTTAGTTCAAATTGTACTAAAAATGAAATCTCAAACTGGGCAATAATTATGGGACAGAGGGAGTATATTGAATCTATGATTGAAAAATCGTCATTGACTGACTATAATCCAATGTCAAAAGAAAAGAATTGTTTTCGCTCAACTGTTCACTGCAGTCTTTCACACGAAAAAGTATAGGTGTTGTATCGTGGTTTTTAGTGCAGCAAGTACTAACATCTTCTATTTTGGTAATCTAATTCTCGTAGAAATTATCTCTCTCCTCCTCCCCCAAAATTACTACTTTACCGCTATTATTGTGTCTCGCTGCACAATCCAATCCTATGTGGTACAATAGCTGCACTGAATAATTATTGTGTCTGATTGCACAATCCAATCCTACGTGGTACAATAGCTGCACTGAATAATTTCTCCTTTCACACGGTCTCCTTCTTTTTTGGTCTCAGGCCAAATTTAGATTTGAAAAAAAAAAAAAAACTCTTAAAAAAAATGAAGAAATTAAGGAAGAAGAAGAAGCTCATGTATAGTACTCAACGACTAATGGTTTAACAGCTGGAAAACACAACTTTGTATACCTATCACACTTTATAAGTAATAATGTTTGTAAGGTCGCAATTACGTTGTGTGCCCTTGATTTAAAGACATAGAATTATTGATGATACGGTTGCAATTACAAATTGATAAAATACTGTTGATCGAATTCACATTAGTCACTATAATTTTTACGGAATCCTAAAAAGATTAATTACTAGTGGCTGCACGTAGGGCCAGGAGTACAATATTGGGTTTGTCTTTTTTAACTGTGAGTGAAGCTGTGAAGACACTAATTAGTAGTAAAATGGGAAGAACCTAAGCCAAACAATTTTTTCCCCTTTTCATACACACAAGCGGAGCCTCGATATACAACAATGATATACCAAAAAAAAAAAAAGAAAGAAATTTATCCCAAAAGAAGGGGTTCCCTAACTCTTGCATGCATTCCAAGCTGAGATAATAAAATGATATGTTATTCCTTCCATCGGCCTATCCTATGAAAACAATTCATTTTTTATATATTGTTTTAGTTTAACAAAATAAAATATTTTTCTGAAAAGGAAGAAATAGAATTTTGAATATGTATCTATTAAAATTTTTATTCTTCTAAATTGTCCTCATCTATTATAAAATCGTACATTTATTTATTTATTTATTTTTAATACATTTACTCGTCTACTTGCATGCATGGGCAATCATATTCTTTTTCAGCTCACTAAAAAAATATCTAGTAGGGGTCCGGTTCGGTTCCATATGAACAATAATCAAGTTTCAATATGTTCAACTACATTCTAATGATTGCCACGAGGAAATGGTCATCAACAAACCATTCTTTTGGGGTTAACAATTAATGAAATATATATATATATAAATAACTGTATATCAAATTCACATTAATTCTCTTTTACGATTAAACGGTGTGACATTAGTGTTAAAAGAGTACAAATACATAGGAACAAGTACTTCAAGTAAAAAAAATTGAGAGCCAGCTTAATTTCCTTTAACTTCTGATACAATATTGAGACCAGGATAAAAAAAAAGTAAAAACTTGTACTTGTTGTACTATATATAATATTCCTTTCATCATCAAAAATCCAAGATTACAACCAACCCCAAAAGTAGAAAAGAAGAAGAAAGAATGAATGAACCAACACACTCACACGAACTACTCCCCTCCGTCCCACAAAAATAGTCTACATTGAGTTTTCAAATTTGTATTATTATTAGTACAAATTTAAAAACTTAATATGGACTATTTTTTTTAAGACAATAACACTTATTAATCAATTTGTACTGTTTTTAGTACAAATCTCAAAACTCAAACTGGACTATTTTTTTGGGACAGGGTAGTAGTAATTAGCATGGAACTTAATTTGCTCAAAATTTCTTCAATAACCAATCCTATATTACAAAGTACTTTAATTTTGTAAATCATAATTAGAATCAATCATGTAACATCAACTAATTAACAAACGAAAACATTCACAATTACCAGAATTCAAACTTCTTAAACCTAATATTTATTATATGTAAAGAAATTCTTGTTCATCACACTCATCATTAACTTAAACATTTTGAGCCGGGGTTTGCTGGCCGGAAGAAGCCGCCGGTTTCACTGTTCCGGCATTAGACGACGACGAAGAAGAAGAAGAAGAACTTTCAGCATATCCAACACCACGGCGCCTCATCGGAAAAGTGGTAAACACAGCTCCGGCGACGGAACCGATAACCGGAGGCAAAGCCATCATGAGAGCCTTCTCAGAAGACTCAAAAGAAGGATAAAAGCAATGAACCGTATTGTTATCCAACAAAGAGAGGACACAAAACACAATCAAAGACAATAAAGCATGAACAAAATCTCCAACTTGAAGCCTATAAGACTTGAAGTCAATAGAAGTAGTTGATGATGGATCAGAAGAAGTTGGCCAGAAACCCTTGAAAGTGGCAATCCCATAATGAAGGTTCCCTTGATCATCTTTGTAACTGTCTGTAAAAGTTGAGAAGAAGCAAGAAAGCCCACAAACTGCAAACAGTAAGCTTGAGAAGATCTTGTTTGTGGAGCTGCAACTTCCATTGTTGGTTAAAATAGGGTTCATGAATTGGTAGAAAAAAACTGTTCCAGTTGGAAGAAGCCTTATTAGGTTTCCCAAACCAGTTAATGTTATGCTTGTATTGCTAGGACCTGATGATGATGAATATGATGTTGTTGCTGAAGTTTGTGTTTGTGTAGCCATATTGATTTCAATGTGGGAATATTTTTGTGGGTGTTTTTCTTTAGAATCTAAATCAAGGAGAAGGAAATAGGGTTTTGATGTGTTTGTGGATGAAAGAAATGAAGAATTGGTGTAACTTATTTATAGAGTTGGGAAGAATTGAAAGGAGTGAATTAATTTGGAAGGTTACTTCTAAGAAAGATAGAATTAGAAATGTGTTCTAATACTATTTTTAGCTTTAAATATAACTATTGGCATTGACTGACTTTCTTACTTTTCATAAGATTGATATATACATATGACACTATTCTTAAAAGCTTGAAGGGATGATAAGAAAAAGTTTCTTCTTATGTTGATTGGGAAATTTCATTCGGAAATTAAATACTCCCCACATCCCATGATTATTGTCCAGTTTGGGTTTTTATTTCTAGTTCAAATTATACTAAAAATGAAATCTTCAACTGGATAATAATTTTGGGACAGAGAGAATAAGTATCAAAGAATTAGATATAAAAAAATCGAACAAGTAAATTGAAACTTAATTCATCTCCAAAAGTGTGTTTCAATAGAATTTGATATCATTGTGTGTGTATATACAATATCGATGTCAAGAGTTATTATTTAACCGTTAACCAAAACAATTACATCAAATAGTAAGAATTCAATAGAAAAAACATAGGGAAAAAATTGGTAATTCGTCACATAAAAATGAATGATAAGTATTCCTCGTTGATATATTAATCAAGATCTAATTGACTTGTTTCTGAATGCATGCAGACATCCGATCCTACGTGTCCGAAAACCCAATTGCAAGAATTTTCTCTATGGTTTGAGTTGTTGACCATATTAATTAATGTGATTATTGACCAAAACTGGGGGCTGCTTCGTTGATCTAAATGTGTTATATATGAGCTGGCTGCCTGATCATTTTTTTTTGTATTAACATGCTTAATTAGGCGACTAATCAATGAATATTGTTTACAATTAAATTTAGTCCAATACATGGTTCATGCATGATTCCTATGGTTAATATAATTTACTCATATGAATTACGAGCAAGAAAAATCTGGCCATCCCTTTTCATAGTTTTTTTTTTTTTTTTTCATATTTGCAGGGTGTCCACCGTCGGTAACAGTGACTAATCGCTCTCGCTGAATTATAGGCACCTCGATAAGTAGGACAACTAACCAAAGTATTTAAGGTTGCTCCATGTCCATGGCGAGATTCGAACTCTCGATCTATGGTTAAGGGTGAAGGAGTCCCTTCCACTACACCACAACCATTTTGATTTTCTTTTCAAAGTTTTCTGGTTTATCGATCTAAAACTAAAAATAAATAGTTTTATGAATCATAATTTCATTTCATCGTACGTGTGTCTATTTTATATTCTTCCTATATATTTTCAGTTAGAATGCATTAGTCGTGGTGCGACATTTTCTTGCAATTACATTTTATTCTCTTGTTAAATCGACATTTGCTTGGTTTTTAATCTTTGAACCTATATTTTTCTGTCCCAAAATAATTATTAAAATTAGCAACCATTGTTCATCAAGATGAAACGTGATCACTTGAGAATCATGCGGTTTCTTCATGATACCAATATTCCTGTACAATATTTCTCTTTCATCGTTCAGTTACTCCACGTAATTCAATTGGCGGAATGAAAGAGAAATATACAAGTTGATTAAATTCAACTAGATTCTCAGCCTGCACGCTGTTAAATAAGGCACTATGTAACTTAGAAAAAATAATATTTATTATGATAATATCATAATTGAAAAATAATGTAAATATATTTGTAAAGTCATAAACATGAATTGACAATTTGAATTGTAATCAGAGAATTTTTTTTTTTCCCTCTAGTTAAGAGTTCTTTTGGATTTGAACTAGAAACTAATTTGTGAAAGGACAAAGTGCACTTTTCGTCCCTCAGCTTTTGAGGGTAACAAGATCGGTTCACCATGAATTTTTAATTGGTAAAAATAATCCTCTAAAATATTTTCTTGTCAATTTTAGTCAATTTAACAAAATTTTTGAAGACTTAACGGGTCCTTCCTGAAATATTTACGTTGGTTGACTTGTTTGATGGAATCCAAATTCATAATAGCACTGAAGGTTGTCTTAGAGCTCCGGATTTGGAGCATGAATTTTGGGACTAAAAATGGATTATTATGAATTGTTTATGCATTTTTAATGAATTTTTATTCCTATATTTTAGCTACTAATTTTAGGCGGAAAAACATCTTCTATGCAGCTGTCATGTGGCTTAAATGACAGTTCCTTTCAATAAGTAAAAATAAATTTAGACAATAATAAAATAAATACACAAAATTAAGTAGTTTTGAGAAAATACAAAAAAAAAAAAAACCCCTTAGATATGGGATCATTTCATGATTTTTAGAAAACCAAGGAGGCAAAAATACGCAAAGTGAAAAGTTGGGAGCTTTGAAGTAAATTGGGTATATTTCTAAACAGTAGGGACCATATGGTACAATTTTAAAACTTTAAATCATAGTTCTGAATGGTTGGGTTGTCTTCTTCCTCCAATTCCGTCAGCTCAAATTCTGCAACTAGCAGCGGACAGCTCAAAACATCATAATACAAACCTTTCTAGGTTGGGTTTTTTCTTCCTCGAGCCCTATCACTTCCAAAACTGAGGGTCTGAGATTTAAAGGCGGAGCCACCAAGGCCCTCGGTCAGAGATACCCTTATGGACTTCTCTGACCGACCGGTAGGGACGGCTCAATGTTTTCGGAGGCTTAAAGTAAATACGGAATTGAGGCCTTTTAAATATTGAAAAACTAAAAAAATATATAATAATTATTACAAAAGTACAAAAAAAGTTTGCTTCATATATTCATTAAAACTAAAATTTTTGGATGTTACTATATGACTTTTCATTCACTTTTCCTTTACACTTTTATGAAAAAACTGACAATCTTCTTTTTTTCACGTAAAATGCACGTGAATTGATCGAAAGGTATTATGTGTCAATAAAAGTTTGATTCGAATCTTCCATATTACGTGATATACTTATAAATTTATAAAAATTTAAATTTTACATGTACACATAATACCGTTTGGTCAATCCACGTGCATCTGAAGTGCAAGGAGTTGATCATTAATTTTTTTTCACTAAATCTAAAGAGAAAAGTGATAGAAATATTACGTTTGTGATGTCATATAATAAAATTTAAAATTATAGTTTTGAATGAATATAATAAGTAATTTTTGGTATTTTTTAGAATAATTTATTGAAAAATATAAATTTATAAACCATCTTTATTTTAATAGATTTGTAACATTGAGTAGTTCTTTTGGCAGTTGGATAGATTGCGAGTGATTGAAATTTGTAAATATGGAGAAGTTCTTTATTTATTTATTTATTTTATTATATAGGAAGATTTATTTGTTGGATATAACTAAAAATATTAATAAGATAGTATGATAATATAAATAAATTTTTAAAAATTTTGGGTCTTTCCAAAATGGGAGTCTAAAGCCATTGTTTCATCGGTTTTATGGGAAGACCACGCCGGGGTAAGCCGACACCCGGGCACTATGGTGATTCCGCCATATCATTCTGTTGACACTACAAAATTTCTTAATTGAAAAAGTTGAGGAACAAAAGGTGTATGATGTTTCCCATTACGAAGCATAATCTGGTTAGCATGTCTAAAAATATAGACCAGCAGTTAAGTACAGAAAGGCCGCGAATAAATGGGCGGGGATTATTATCATGTAAATATATAGGCCGCAAATAATAACAATTTAAGATATTAAGGTCACTTTTGATTTTTTTCTTCTTTTTTTTTTTTTTTTTTTTGGGGCGTGTTGCTAATGAGTTTCTATCAATCACATTACATAAAAGTTGGTTTTTCAATCGAAAAATAGTAGTATTTCCTAAAAAGAAGTTTATTATTTGCTATTTAGGTGCTCACTTGATGACAGAACATTGCTCAATTGCTTGTCAACCAGCTCACTTTTTTGTATAATACCATCGGTTCCAAAAAAAAAAAAGAAGAAGAAGCAAAAATTCCACATTGATCAGATAATTTGTACTGTTTTTAGTACAATTTAAAAACGTGGATTATTTTATTTTTAAATTGAAAGAGTATTACGAACTGATTTTTTTTAATCACTATTTAGTTATTTTAGGTTACTTAGTTAAAATGATAATAACAAGCTACACACTCATATATCAATATTCGTTGCTCCCTCATTGGTAATTTATTATTCATTTGATTTCAAAATGTTGCTCACATAGTTGTAAAAGGTTACTCGCGTTGTTGCTCAGTTAAAGCTGGTGCTTTTGAACTGGAAATTTTTTTTTTTTTTCACTCCAGGAAAAAAAAAAAAGAAGGAAAATCGTAGCATTACCCCAACAAATATTTTCTTTTTCTATCTGAAGAAATTTCAAGAGTGAGTTCCATATATACATAATTGTGGCGAATGGTGATCTTAATTTGTTCAAGCACGTTAAATTATCGTATTACTCCGATAATTTGCTTTATTATTTTTTTCCTTCCTATTTAGTAGTCCTGCTTATTGTATGGTAAAGTTGGACTATGAACAAGCTCTCTTTTACATGGCACTTCCTTTAGTCAGCTCGCTTCCATCACCATGGTTTATTGCTCATGGATGCCTTTATTAGCATAAGTTTAGCTAGAAAAAATTCTCTCTGTTTATTTCATTTTTTTTGTTGGTTTTTTCAGATTATTTATTTAATAACTGTCCCATCCGAACATCTCTTTTTACATTTTCAATACACTTTTTTATATTCTCAATAGAAAAAACACCTAAAAACGCATCTTAAAAAAACGAAACGACCATATGATATATAATATCAAGGGAATTGTTTCCATCATTCCAATGCAACCTTACATTTAAAGCAATCATTGGCAGAGTGTTCAACTAAATTTTACCCTTTGCCTGGAAAGCTGAATATTGAAGATGATGAGCATCTTTCTATTCATTGGAGTTCTGTTTTTGGAGGCCAAAATTGATGGATCAGAGTTACTCTCTCACAAGCAGTCTAGGGTGCTCCCTTTGAGCCATACTGTAATGATAAATCAGCCTTAAGTACTAGTTATTCAAAGAAAAATGTACTCTCTCCGTCCCGGAATTATTGTCCAATTTAGATTTTTTATTTATAGTTCAAATTGTACTAAAATTAAAAATATGAACTGGATAATAATTTTTGGACCGAGGAAGTACTATTAGCAGTCCAAATCACTTGATTCAGATGTGAAGTAATGTCATTAGGGTGTGCATTTCCATAAAGTAGCTGATCTGACATCATTGGTGACACTCATGAATTCCTGGGCTGTCATACACTCTGGTGGTAGTGACCTGATTAGTAAATCATTACTCAAGTTCCCGAATTTCGATCTAGGGAGGCAACTATTTCCTCCTATGTTACCTGGACTCGGATACGGGTGTCGTATCGGGTGCGGCGATCTTAGTGTCTGATTCGTCAATATTTTAGAAATCTTGAACATTTTAGGTTAAAATGCCACACCCGATACTTATACCCACACCAGTGTCGACGCGGCACGACACGTGTATTCTCCTCAAATAGAAGAGTTCGGGTAACATAGATTTCCTCCATTGGACTCTCCTATTCATGTTGGTTGAATGCCTGAAGGAAAACATGATATTGTTTGCAAGCGATTTGTGTTCGACAATGAGAGAATAACAAAATTGAAGGACTTAGCAACTTCTCTTCACTGGTGAAGGATCCAACTCATGTGGAACTCGTCGCAGCTTTTCTGTGGAAGCAATTTATTGAACAAGCTAAAACTCAATCAGGTGCTGCTGATGATGATGCAACATTGTTCATGGACCGGGCTGCTGTGAATTTTAGAAGCAGAATAAGATGTTTGTCCAGCACTTTACCTAATGCTGATGATAATGTGATCCCCTTTTGGAAACTTTTCGATTCCTAACATTTGGTTCATTCACTTGTACTGAGATTGATCCAGAAGAAACAGCAGGTTCTTGGGGCAACCTACTTCGGATCATAAGCGATACACTGAGGAAAGTGAATGAGGACTATGTCTTCAGTTCTGCAATTCCTCTTTTGAAACTTTTGGCCAACAGACTGCAATTACCTACAGCTGCAAGGCTGATTTAGAATTTGGTGCAGATTTCCAACCTACCCGACCACCAAGGGTTAGACCTTGGATGAACCATGATATTAGGGGGGGGGGGTGTTTCTCATCTCTTTTGTAGTAGCCATTATGTAAAAGAACCTTTCTTGCACCAAACGGACAAATCATACCAAAATCGACTGCAACTCGGACAATGTAATGTTTGATAAATTTTCTGTGTGCTTTATATGAAGATTTTTTTAATGCTTTGTTTTTTGTTCATTACAGTCCATTGATATACTACTTAAACTAACTCGATGTTACTTTTGCGTACAATGAGCTGGTTTGAAATAAACAACGTTACAGGTGGATATGTATGTATACTGGTTTTTCCAAAAACTACCAAAGTCCTCTGGAATTACAAGAACTGGTGATCTTTACAACCCTTTGTCTCAGTTTCTTCCTTCTCTTGTTGATGATCTCTTCAGCAGAGTGCACCGCTTTCACGATATCCACCTTCACTATGTGATGATCAGATGTCCCTTTTGAAGAAATGACAGAGTAAGATCCAGGTACAAAGTTGTAAGGCAAATCAGGAGATGCCACAATGTAATCCACCCGAGTTCCATATTTGCAAGTCCCTTGTACACCTGTTACATCAAGAAAAAGAAGGCAAAAATAAAAAATGAATGCATGATTTTGGAAGTTTAAAAGGCTGGAAAATCATGTCATGGAATGTTCATCTTCATTTATAGTACTTTGGCCTTTGGCAATGATGACGACAGGCTCAAAGTCGCCGGGGAAGTACTTTGCATCAGTGTACTCTTTTTCCTTCAAGAAGTTGGTAACTTCAACTTTTGGTGTTGGTTTCCCTAGCGATTCATAGTACTGCAAGAAAGAAAAGTTACAGTGAAAAAAGAAGTAAAATTCTGTCCAGGTCATCTGTTTTTGAGGTCATTGAAATGTCCAAAAATTTGTGGCAAAAAACTTCATGTTTTTTACCTTCACAATGTTAGCCCATCTGTCGAATGAATAATCAGAGGCATCAAGAGAGTTTAAACCACCTGCCAAAATGTGAGGATGGTCACTGGATTGAATGATTGCATTGATTTGCTTCATCCTCCAATTTTCATCTAAATGATCAAGTTGAGTGCAGTAGAAGTTCAGCTCTCCCATCCATGGCACAAGAATAGTAGCTTTGAGCACATTTCTGCCAGAAAACAGGACACAGGAATTGTATAGAAGAAAATTAATGCATGATGGCTATCAATTCCCTTAAGAATTGCGATTTTTGGTTAGTTGGTGGCCTAATATGGAGACAGTTTTTAGAGATATAGGAGCAATTTGGTACCTGAAATCTTTATCATCATAGATTTTCTGAACTTTCCACTTCTTGATTGGCCATTTTGACAGAATAGCATTGCCATATTCAGGAGCCCAGCTTTCAGCAAAGACATAGTTCATACCTAATGCCTCAGCCAAATCAGACAATGGAGTCATGTTTTTCTCTTCCTCAGCTTTCACATCTTGCAAAGCCAAGATATCAGCATCCACTTCCTTAAGCACGTCGAAAATGGTCTGTCTTCCAGTCGTCAGGCTCCCGTCATTCATCCAGTTAGCCATACCCAGAGGAAAACATATGGGAGATCTCATTGGGGCCATGCTGTTGGAATTGAAAGTCAAAAGGTTTGGTGAAGAAGAATCTTCCACAAAGCTAAGCAGCTTGTTCTGAGCCAGTGAGATCTCATTTTCAGGAAGATTGATCGAAACTCTTCTTATTAGTTTGCTTTGATTTGAACTTAGCTCAGGATCCTCCACTGCAGGATGCAAGGGAGATTGTTTAAGTATGCTCTTCGGGCGACTATTCACCGGCTTATAATTATCGTTTCCATGGAAGAAAACAAGTGATTTTTCAGCCTTAGGGACTGCAGGTGCAAGCGAAAACAAGGCAGCATTGAAAGTTGCAACTCGGATTGACCTTTTCCCAAGCGCAACTTTCACATCTCCATTTATATGATTGGGAGAGTTTCTGCCACTCACTTCTCTAAAATGACCCTTACAATTCAGCTTCCCAAACCTTCTGATCACAACTTTAGCCTTTCGACGCCTCCCAAACCACCGGCGTATCTTTGAGCAAAAACGCCGTAACCTCCTGCTGAGAACTCGAAACACCTGAGCCAGTTTCTTATTGCAGGCTGGCTCCGAAATCTCTGTTGACTGCATTGAGTGCAATGCTTCCATATTTTCACCCCAAGTAAACCTGAGAGATTATGTCAAGAAGTTAGTTTTTCAAGTGCTTTTATTTGGTGAGCCAAGTTGAACATAAGCTAGGTGAGGGGCCGGCCAAATACAAAAAGTACATCCCAACTGCTCCAAAGAATTGAGTTGGAAGTTGACATTGTTGCCAACATAGTTGATCTTCTATGTTATGACAACAAAATTGCAACTACTCCCACCAGTAAATGGACTTTTTCCTTTACAACCAATTGAATCATAATATCATATTATAAAGTTAAAAAGGAAAAAAAAATGTTTTAAGAGTTCAATCCAGTGTCATTACCATGCTGAGTTGAAAGCATTTCGAGGGTAGAACAACTAGCCAAAGAAATTAACACCCAACAAGAGTCAATATATTTGTAGTGTTAGGAATGATGAGAACTGCCTTCACATGTAAGTATAACTGTAAAGACTAAAAGAGGTCAAATGTGGACTTCAAATTGCTAATCAAGAACATATTTGACACTAGAGAAAAAGCACCACTTACAACACACTAATTAGTATTATAAGCAACTAACTTAAGAAGTCTTTAATGTTTGGTCCAAAGCAGATTAACATAATTTTAACTAACTTCCATATGTTAGATGATTCTGGACTTGTTCTGGGTATCATTTTCTTTGTCCATTTGTCAACAAAGTCAAACTGATGTGTATGGTATGTACCACGAGATGGTGAACGCAAAATACAAATTGGGAGAAAAGTTTAGCCAAATTTTCTCACCAATCATTGGGATATCCAACCTTTACTATTATCATCATTTTTTTTCCCCTCTTCAGTCAGCATCTTTCTGTAGTGTTGATTGTTGACATGATCCCTAAAACGCATTCCTGCAACACCCTTTTTTTTTTTTTTTTTTGGCTAGTTTTGGTGCAAAAATAGAAGATCAACCCCATAGAGATTGAATTTTGCAATTGATCATCTTGGATATTAGTGGTTTGCCAGTTGGGATATTATGGTCTGCCTAACAATTTATCCAACACCAACACGGCATGACGGCAATCACGCACAGTGTGATGCACCAAAAATAAAGACTTTGAATATCCAGAGTATTAAAAGCTATTCTCCAGCAAAATGTTACAAGGAAATCAAGCAAAAAAGTGTGTTTTCATAAGCTTTTGAGAGATAGAATTCAACATCTTAGTGCTGAGGGAATCTAGGAACTAACTGCATTATACATTTTATATTAGTTTGAGTATGAACAGCTACCTAAAAAGATATTATTCTTCTTCAACACACCATTGCGAACGGGAAAATGAAGTTTCAACAGGCATATGCATATGAACAATACTACATATGTTCCATGATCCATGGGAAAATGAAGTTTGAACAGGCACATAAAGTGCATTCACGCATATATTTCCTGCAAAAAGAATAAGAAAATATAAAACCCACGGGGAAGGATCTAATTGATCCCTGAACACAAGAACTGAATAAAGAAACATGTGAGAATCTCCACAAGTTAAAAACATTATGAACAGTTGGAACTTAACAAATGAGGAAGATTAATGCTACTCTGGTACATAATTCTATGGTACTTTCTACCGCATGCTCTAAAGGTACATATGATGTTATCCAGGCAGTCGATCTAAATTTGGACTGGAAAAATGTCCGCAGAAGCATGGTTTTCTTCCTTCATTAACTGAGCTAGCCAAATGCTTTAGAAAAAATGCATTTCTTACTTTTGCTTGGAACTCATGGAGCACCAGTTGACTCTCAATTAATACAGCCTGGTGGAGTCTTTGATGCCACAATTTGTTTCATGAAGGAGATTAATTCTTGTTCTACACACTAAGAACTAAACAGTCCATCCAACAGATTAGATGACGATTCCTCTTTGCTGTTTTGGTCAAAGAATCCATTACTAGCACTTTCTCTTTTAAGTCTTCTCTCCTCACTAATAGATTCCGATGTTTCTGCACAGTAGCTCCTCCCCTGCTTCATTGGTCTTTCTGCCACAATAAACTTACTGCCTTCACGGCTTCTCTCAGAAAATCCTGCCCAAACTGAAAACAGTGAAGTTCGGGGAGTTAGGTCTCCAGGATAGAAAGACCAACTATACTTTGGCTCACTTTTACCCCAACCCTTTTTTTCTTTTCACCCAAAAAAAAATCCATAAACTTCCTAAAAGTTCTGATTTTTGGTCCCTTCGTGAATTTTAACTTTAGACTAGAAGAAACCAGCATATAATTGGGTTAAATAATCTGTTACTGTAGCCCATTGCATCAAATTAATTCGAAGATGGATCAAATAGCAAAAAAATGACTACTTCAAGAGGTTTATGAACGATTTCTTGAGATATTTCAGTAACTAAAGGTGGTTGATGGTAAAACTTATGGTTGTAGCCCGGACAATTTTTTTTTTTTCCCAAGAGTTAGGGATATAGCTAAGTTGACCTACTGAAACTAATTTTTTAGATTATTTACCAAATAAACCAGTAGATGCACAAAAGCCTCGAAAGATGCCAGGCAATTACCTCCAAAGTGATGTAGAACAATAGATGCAGCAACTGTAACGTTTAAAGATGCAGTTCCACATCCATATTGTGGAATGTAAACAAAAAAGTCGCATATCTCACATTCTTTTGCGGAGAGCCCTGTTCCCTACAAAATAAAGTCACGTCAACATTCACATATAGATATGCAATGAATTCTCAACATAAATCATACGCACAAACTAATTATCATTTATCTTCCACTCCTACATGGATCAGTGTAACTCAAAATGCTAAGGAACGTTCTACCTATCTCAGGCTCAATTGTTAAGATAATGTCATGCTATGGTAAAATCCTGATCTTCCAAACTTAATGGTTATCAAAGTAGTTTTAAGAGACATCCACCATTCCTGAGAAATCATCATAAATCTCTACTGCTCACAAACTACTTAAGTAGACAGTTAAATTCCGGAAGGGAAAACGGAAAAGAAGAATATACCTCATTGCCGAGGAGAAATGCGGTGCTTCTCTTAAAAGGATGCTCATTTACAGCCAAGGCATTATCAGTGATCTCCACCCCACATATATCACAGTCCCTCTCCTACATCACAAACCCAAAAAAAATCAACTAAACAAAATCAATCCAAGATCACCAATCCCAACAGAACCTATCGCTTAGAGTTAACTACACATACTTCTTCCTAGTTACACAAGAAAAATAAAACCCAATGAGACATTCATAAATAACCAAACATCACAGATTTCCAGCTATAACATTTCCCCAATCACATCATAAATAATCTTCTATTCTGTGAGCAACCCAAAATTAAAACCGAACCCACATAATCAATCGACATAACCAATTCAAAAGAATTGTAAATATTCCGGGATTCAGAAGCCCATAAAAATAAAGACAGAATTTTGATTTCATTTTAAAAAATTGACGAACCTTGAGGAAGGATCGGGCCTCGGGGAGTGAATGGAAGTGACGGAACTTGAGGTGGGAAGTGGAACCGTGGCTTCCAAAAGCGTTGAAATCACGGCGGCCAACTAGAATCAGCTCAGAAACGCCGAACGCCGTGCAGCTTCTGGCCAAAGTCCCGACGTTGTGCCTCTTCGCTATGTTGTGTATCAACACATAGCTCTCGAATCCCTTTCCGTTTTCCATTACACAAATGGATTCCTTCTATGTGTGTGTGTGTGTGTGAAGTTTTGAAAAGCCAACAGGAAAAAGGGTTCTGCAAGTCCTAGGGTTTTAGGACGCAAAACGATCGTTCCATGGACGGCGGGAATGTTTGGAGGGAATCGGAGTAAAACTGTAAAAACCGAGACCCAATCACGCCTTTATGATGGAAAAAAAAAAAAGAAAGCGTCACTTGGTTTCTAATGTGAAAATTTAAAGCATTCACAGTGGTGGTAAATAACAAGTATATAAATATTATATTATAATGTTTGTTATTGTATTGAGTGTGATAATATTATACGGTGTGCGATGAGAATTCTCACACCGCATAATACATTTTTTAGTGTTGAAATATAATTAATGTGAATTTATGATGATACTAAAATTATTTCATTTTATTATACTTTTACAGTGTAAACTAATGTAGTGAAAAGTAGAGTAAAAGTATAATATCGAAAATTTATAACGCTACTCTCATAATAGTGTAAACCATTGTGGATGCTCTTAAAGAAACAAACAATCAAATGCAATTTTTGTCAAAACGAAAAGAAAAATGCATATTGAGCTCCTTAATTTATTACTCTCTTGTCTCTCCCACTTAAATGACAGTTATGTTTTAGTTCAGTAAACAAGATTCTAATTTTAGATTATAATAAATTTTGATATAATCTCAATAATAATGATATAACAGGGTTAGTAATGAAGAATGAAATGGTGTATTAGAATGTATTCATTCGGAAGAGGTGTCTTGTTTTTTGTTGGGACAAAAATGAGTAAATTATTAACGGGGTAATTGAGCATAAAAGTTTATACAAGGGAGAAACTTGCCAGATTGGAGTTTGATCAAGGCAAGTGTAAAAAATTATTACAAAGTAAATCTTATTTGAGTTTCCTCAGAGAGCTTTGGACATGTACAAGGATCTTTCCACCCCTTTATCATCAACAGGAAAGCTTCATTTACAAATGTTTATTTGTTAATCCCTCAGAACTTGCTATATATATACACAGACAAGTTAATGGAAATAATGCCTGCAATGCGGGATGGTTTTTCTTCCCAAAACTCATCATAATCCTCATAATTACACAGCAACTTGTGCAGCAGCTAGCCTAGCAATGGGGACCCTGGCAAGAATAAAGCGGAGTTACGAAAATGTTCAGTTCGACCTCGAAAGCCAATGTCCGTTGATGCTAATATGCATCAGATGATTTGTAGTAATTTAGGAAAATCCGGCTTAATATATCTTTATTTAATATCAGATACTATTTTAATAATTGATTATGTTTCTTATTAGATCATAGTAATATTAAAATGCTAAAAGATGGTTTATTTATGTAAAATTTGATCAAAAGTAGTAAATACCCGTAAGCAAACGTTATGCAGGTAGCACAACACGACCTTAGGAAAATGTTGATAATATTATCTAGAAACTCCAAATTAGGAACCGTTTGTTGTGTAGTAAACTAGACTTGCAGAGGTTTTTAATGATATAAAATTTACACAATGATTAATCTTATATTACTACAGTTTAATCGACAAAACATGACCCAAAACCAATCCATCTCTAGTTTTGTAACCTATGTTGTACTTAGGCAATGATTCTTATATTGGTCCTTTTTAGTATTTTTATATTATTTTCCAATGATAACTAATTATATATGGTTAGGATCATTTAAAGCTTATTATAACCTTTCATGTAGGAAATAAGAAAAAATAATAAGAAACAATGGAAAAATCCAACATAAAAGAAGTCTATTGTACCATATACTAAATAGTATGGGGAAAGTGATTAAAATTTGGATTAAATTAGTTATATTAGTAAGATCTTAGGAAATATAAAATAATATTACATTGTCAATAGTATTTTATTAATAGCATAAGGCTTCTTGATACAATGCAGGAGAAGTCTATTCCGAGACAGAAGTTCATAATGATACTTGTGAGTATTCTCACTCTTTTTAAAATTATTTTAAAAATTGGGAGTATAGGAATATGTTCAAAAGGCACGACATACTTGAACATATACTTGTAAATATTATTGAAATATCAAGCATATTGTTGAATGACTCGGTGGTGTACTTTACCGTCCTAGATATATGTTTTACTTGTTATCGTATTTGAAGTAAAGTTGAATTGTTTATGTGTAGAATGTTGGTTTTGATTATATGTGATTAAGTCAATGTTGAATGTTTCAATGGTGTTTACCACATCGGCAGAGTTTGTAACGTAATTGTTGAGTATATTCCGGTGGTATACTTCATCGCCCCGGATATGATTTGTGCATGCAAGAGTTAAGAGTTGGGCCCTATCTTGGTTAACGAAACTAAACGAGTCAAGCATCGGGCTTGATTGGATAGCTAACCTTGGCTGGAGTTATGATGCTCATGAGTCATCCAGAGTTGGTACCAAAGAAGACATAAGGAAAAGAGTTATAAAGAGTTAATATTTGAGCTAAATGCTCCAGAATTATGATCCGGCTTGATTTCACCGTCTACAGTGCCATATAGGCCGGAGGCGGCCCTTTGTCGTGATCCCTGTATCCACTCTATTGTTATTTGATAATGTTGAGTGTTTTGATTGTATATATGTTTCATTGTTTTTATATGAAAGTATTTTACAAGTGAATTATATTTTCGTTAAAACTGTTTTACTAAAACTATCGTAGTAGTATAGTGAGAAACTCATTGAGCTCGGCACTCACTCCCTATATATGTATATATTTCCCCCTTCCCATCCCAGGAACACATGAAGAGATATGTGCTATCGAAGAAATGTTTATAGGAGAATTGCGTAGGAGTTGAGATTATCTATAATTTCACTTGAGTTTAGAATAACAAGTAGGTTGAATAATGTTATTGTGAAGAGCTTTCACTCCAATATTATGTAGAGGTAAGGTTTAATGCATATTAAGATAATGTATCAACTGAAGTTGAAATTTTATCCTCCTTTTGAAAAAAAATTTAGTTTTATCTAATTTTCTGTTGCACAATTAAGTGTTAGTGTGCCTTAGATGTGAGCCTGGCGGACATCTCATTGTTACTAGCCTGAATTATCTTCACTTTGACTTGGACTTTTTTTTTTAAATGAAAAAAAGAAGTTTAGACATAACAGGCTGGTGAAACCCAGAGTTTTACAATAAAACACTGCAAAATAAAATAAAATAAAATAAAAAAGGATTTCTCGTAAAAATACTATAAGATCCATCATTATCAATGGGTGAATCAGGTGAATAACCTCAATCAAGAATTATGAAACTTGAAAATCTTCAGCGACTTTAGGAATTTTAAAACCAGCTATTGCCTAGCTAGCCAGTTTGAACTCATTCCTATAAGTTCAACAATTTTTAGCCATAGATGTGATCTAAACGCTAAAACTCCATCTTAATTGAAAAGACAGAAAATTTGGCCAATAATGAGACCTAAACTTTAGACAAGATTACTCAAGCAAGAAACCACAAGTTTTGTATCCTTCAACCTGAATTGATACAATAATACATAACTAAAAAAATCTGATGAAATTCGAACCCCCCTTTATGTCGTTCATAACATTTTATCATTGTTTGTGCAATAATTACAGCGTATAATATTCAAGGTCACCATACTACAGATGGCGATTTTCAGCTTTTTTTGTTCGATTGCCATAATGAAGATACTTTTTCAATTGCTCCAAACCAAAGTAGCTGATGGAACAATAGCTCCAATAGCTCCAAATCGGAAAGAGAGAACAATAGCTCCAATAAGAATAATTCTAATAAAGGCAAACATAAGTTGACGACAGCTACATAACACAGGAACCAAGCCACCCATGGCACCAATAGTTGTTCTTTTGTGCAATTTAAACAGAAATTGATCCACCTACCGAGATATCACGCATCTTATAAGTGAAATCTTGGATAAATTTAGTGTACCTGAATTTGGCTGACAAGAAAGCTGGAAACTTGAAGAAATCCGTGTGACCTGCAAGCTTGAAGAAGAGATGCGTCGCTTGGAGGGTAGAAGCAGAGATAAGCGACTTGAAAGCTTCTTTCTTCCTGACAAAATCCAGCCCTAGAGTTCTTCATTCCTTTCCTCTCTTTCTCTGAATTTTTTGCAGGCCCTTTTAGTCTTCAGTTTTTTTTTTCTATTCTTTTTTCCTAATCCACTCCTCTATCCTTTCTTTCCTTCCTCTATTTGTTTGATTTTTTCTTTTCTTTTCTTTTTTTTTTTTTTTGGCTTTTGCAGGTCGGATTTGTGATGGAGTACTATGTCTTCGTGTGCCCTGCCTGCAGGATACAATGTGGTCGCCGTTCATTCCCTCAGAAAGAAGAGGAAGCTTGAGGAGATTTGCAGTGGCGTGCCTGCAAAAGATACTGTAGATTGTTTCGTCCCTTGATTAGATTTTTTATTTTATTTCTTTAATCAACAATTTCAGACTTTTGGTTATTGGTCCTTGCCATAATCTTGTATGTGATAACTGATATGAAAATCACCTAGTGCGTGGAAGTAAACCCCAAGATTTGAATTCTTGTATCAAAAAGCAGTCTCAACACACGATTAAAAGGGAAGAATCAGACCTCAAAAATCCGAAACAAAAAAAAATATGATGGAAAGATAGAAAAGGAAAAGTGTTTCGATTTGTAACTCCTTAGATACACTCCAAATAGCCCTCGTCTTAATACTAATGATGAAAATGATTTGATAATGTTCTACGAAACAACAAACAAAGCTCCACTATTCGAGAAACACATAACTCGAAAGCACGCTTGTTACTAATGCAAAACTCTAATCTTGCACAAGCAAAAAAACCTGACAAGATCCAAAAAACAAGGAGTTTTTCTCACAAACTTGTATTTAATAATGATTCATCAAGCAACCTCAAAACTCACGGCCATGACCCCGTTTTATAGGACTATAGGTCGGCCAAATAGAGTACAAATCTTATTAGAACTCTAACAAAGATTTCTTAAACTAGAAGTTTATGAAAAAATGAAAATTCTATTAATTAAATAATTGCACATGTCGTAATTATTTAATATTTATTAAGAGACCAAAAATTACCTATTTTAATCTGTTTTGGTCGAAGATATATAAAAGGAAATGAATTAAAAGCAAAACCAATTAAAGCGGGAAGTTTCCAAAAATTGTGAACTTCAGCCGTCGACTTTGTTGTCGGCTTTATGAACTCGACGAAAAACTCGATGCCACAATGTGTACTTTGCTGTTGTTCGACGCGACGCTCGAAAAGCTTCTCATTCTTGCTATTGACTTTCCTTGTCGCTCGATGAGCTGCCCGACGTTTGGATGAATTTCAACACTTTGCAAGGTTTAAATAAATTATTCAAGGAATTTTGTCCACCTTTTGGGATTCTTCTTGAGCTCGAACATCCACAATCAATGATTTTAGCATTTCATCTCTTTTCTTTGCATGTGATCTTGTCATCGGACCTCCAATATCAACAAGCGGATTTTAAACACGAACATTGTTTGGATCTCCTTGGATTTCCGCATCAATAATGGTGACTGATTTCTGTTAATAAAGTATGAATCTTGTGTGTGTTCGTGGTGGCTGATTGATTCACTGTTTGTTGATATAAAAAAAAAAAAGAATTTTTAAGCATTATTAACCTATCTTATGATTATTTATTTTTGTGTTCGGAAAAAAAAGCCGTTCTGGGGAATTACCCATTGTTATCTCAAGTCATGTCGTCATTGAGAAGAAGGTTGAGTGTCTTTATGGCTCTTTGGACCTGCGCCTTCAACAATTAACAAAGCAAGGGGTATGTGAAGTCCTCAAGTCTGCGTTTCACTAACTTTTTTTTGGTTTTAGATTCTTAATAATATCACTTTTTTAATAACTTTTTTTTTTGTTTTTTAGGTGTATGATGGTGCCAGGAACAGTGAAATGCTAAGTCTGCTTTCCTGTTCTTGTTGAAAGAGCTTAAAGAGGTGACTCGTAAATTTTTTTTTTTTGTTAAATATCATTCATTTTATTCTTATCATTTGTCGTCTCTCCAAACATGAAATCGCTAGGGCTACTTTGTTTTGTGTACAAATGTCTGATTATTCAAAATTTGAAACTGAGTTCTCAAAAAGAGAACAAATTTACAATTATAAAAGGGTGGGAAAAATGATAGATGATTGCAACTTGAATAGTCATGGATTGGAGGCAGCAAAAAATAATAATAAAATGACACCTCATATAAAAAGAAAACCGAGGTCAAAACTTCAGTCGAAACCCGGTTCTTTACCTTCAACTAGAATTATCTCCGTCCGTTGAACGGATTATGTTACATGTATTGCGTAAACTTGTAAAATTATGATCACATGTGAACTGAGTGTTATCATCGTAATATGATAAATTTTGTGTCAAGTTTTGTTATATAATAGTTCTTGTCCGTGTTTTGTTGTATAAATGACATTCATCCTTTTTTTTTTATATTTCAAATTCAAGATAGTGTATAATTTGAAAGATAAAATATTAGTACGACTCAATCGTAGTAAAATTTTAAAAGTAATAACCAATAAAATTGATAATAACTTAGTAATATAATTTCGTAAATTTTTACAAATAAATTTAGTAAACTTAAAATGAAAGTTTTATCGAACTCAAAAGGAAAAAACAAATGTAAAGATATAAAGTATTTTATACAACATCTCTTTAGTAATTTTTTTATTAGATTTCGTGAAAAATACTACATTTTATACTTATATGAGATTTTCGTGTACTGAAATAAATTTTATGATTTTTTTAAAAAAATCCACCACAGTGAACTCTGCTTAAAAATGTGTGAAAATCATTCTTAGCAACCAATAAAAAAGCTAATGGTAGACACCCTGTAAATATGAAAAAATAAAAAAAAAAATAAAGCTAAAAATGAAAAAGATGAGTTTTTTTCATTATTAGTTAAGTAGATAATCAAATATATATGGAATGTAATAAAGATGGGTGAAATGTATGGATGAAAGTTAAATTGAAATAACCAATTTACAAAAAAATTTAACATTTTAATGAAAATGAATCTTTGGGGTTGACACGTGTCAAAAAAAAAATTATAAATTTGACTTTTGACAAAGAAATCTCTGAACTATCTAATTGAGCGACACGTATCGATTGAAAATTCTCATTAATATATAATATAGATATAGATTTCCGGTCATTGGCGATTCATATTTATTCAGACATGAGGGAAATTCTTCATTATTTTTGTACTAAATCTTTGCCTCCTTTTTTCGCCCTTAATTCTTTTTGGTGTTTGAACTATGATTCATATAAGTTTGGCTCTTTACATGTTTTGACTTGATTCTGAGCAAAAGAAACAGAAACTTGGTTGTATTAGTCCTTAATTATAATAGGCACGGTACATTTAACTATGTACCGCATTCTTGAATGTGATGTATTATTATCACCATCTCTGGATATAGTTCCTTGTTCTTCAATATTCCTGCCCTTCTTCCCAGTGGCTGCACTGTTTATATTGGCCATAAAACTATGACAATATCCGGATTGAGGTTTTTTTTCTTATTCTGGCTAGTATTATGCTGCATTTGCTTTCTTTATATCATCTGTATCTGTTTACTGTTCTCTTAACGTATATACATATGCTACATCAGCATATTCTGTGATCAATTTTCTTCATGAAGTACAAAATGGAAAATGCTTTTTTTTTTTTTGGAAAAAAATGGAAAATGCATATTTAATATTACTCCATTTTGTCCAATACAAAATGGAAAATGCATAATGCTAATCCGTGCTAAATAATAGCTATGTCTTAGTTGAATAAACAAGAAGTGACATTCTGATCTTTTTAATACATAATCTCAATTCTCAAATATATTATAACAACGTTAAAAATGAATATCAAGGCAAGGGTAAAAATTTATTACAGAGTAATCTTATTGAGTTTTCTCAAAGAGCTCTGGACATGTACAGGGATCTTTCCGCCCCTCCTTTATCACCAAAAGGACTTCATTTACATTTGTTTATTTGTTAATCCCTAAGAGCTTGCAATATATACACACACAAGTTAATGGAAATATGCCTGCAATGTGGGATGGTTTTTCTTCCCAAAACTCACCATAATCCTCATAATTACACAGTAACTTGTGCAGCAGCTAGCCTAGCAATCGGGACCCTGACAAGAAGAAAGCAGAGTTATGAAAATGTTCATTTCACGCTCGAAAGTCGATGTACGTTGATGCTGCTATGCATCAGATGATTTGTAACACTTTAGTATAATGTTGTAGGTAACATGTTTCCGTTTGTGACTACTGCTAACAGAAGATTGTTAGTGTGTCAGACACTGTGATATATTGATGAGTTCAAAAGTGGTACCTAAAAGGAGAGCATGAAACATAGTCAAGCCCAGCCTCCGCGAAGAAAGCAACAGAAGAAGGTTCTCCACCATGTTCCCCACAGATTCCAACCTGATTTGTCACAAAGATGATTATCAAACAACTAGGTTGCAACTCAAAAGAAAAATACAGTGAAGCCCGATTCTGACCTTCAAGCTAGGTCTAGCAGCGCGACCTTTTTCCGTGGCCATCTTGATCAGTTGGCCAACACCTTTTTGATCAAGGACCTATAAAACAACAATGCAAGAGATCTCTTTAGGCTAAAGGGGAAAACAACTTGCATGTTTTTGTATGATGACAGTGTAATACTACCCGCCTCAGATGGGGATAAACTTACCTCAAACGGATCAGCTTGGAGGATGCCTTTAGATATGTAAATTGGGAGAAACTTGCCAACATCGTCTCTACTATATCCAAATGTCATTTGGGTAAGGTCATTTGTACCAAATGAAAAGAATTCTGCTTCCTTAGCAATCTGAAATTACAAGTGAAAAGAGATTTTTAATTCCATGATGATTAGCCCTATTATGTATTTCATCAATCTTTAAGAGTGCTACCATCTGCATTCAGCATTTTCAGTGATTTATGTGGCGCTGATTCTTTTAGTTAAGTTTAAAACTTCCTCTTTGAGAAATCTACGATCAGCATACCTCGTCTGCAACAAGGGCAGCTCTTGGAATTTCTATCATGGTGCCCACCTTGTAGCTCAACGTTGTACCCATCTCTGAGAAGACTTTTTGAGCGACGCTGCGAACTAAGCTGACTTGGTGACTTAGTTCCTACATTCAGAAGTTGTAATCAGAAATAGCGGGTTCTAGATGAAGAGCAGCTGATGTTGGTTCGAGATATCTATTAGACTTGCCTGTGGAGTTCCAACTAGGGGTACCATAATTTCTGGAAGAACTGTGAAGCCTTGGTTGCTCATAGTGACTGCAGCCTGAAATATGGCACGGACCTGCATCTCAGTCAACTCTGGGTATGATATTCCTAGTCTGCCAGAAAAACATACACAGATGAGAGAAAGTTAACCAAGATTTTGATCCAGGCATCTATACTAGGAATGATTTTGAAATTATCAAAATATATGCATGGTCGCATTATCTTTTCTGAGCAGGATCATTATTATCCCTCTAGTCATTAAATAGTGAAAATTGCCAGGTTCATTAGCACCATTGTTATTCTGGTTACAAAACCTAATATGAATTCGGTTTAAACTCTGTTGACATATGTTCTACTGTATCTGTATAATGATGAATTAATGGAGCTTCATGTTAATAACTTCAGCAGTTAGAAAGTCCCTAGAAGAAGGGGGAAAACAAAAACCTGCATCCGCGAAATCCAAGCATAGGATTAACTTCTGATAATTTCTCAATCCTCAAGTAAATTTCATCTTCTGTCATGCCTGTGTCAGTAGTTAGTTGACCAACAATCTCGTCTAGGTGGCCTTCGGGTAGAAATTCATGAAGAGGAGGGTCTAAAAGCCTAATTGTTACAGGGAGACCTGCAGAATTAGAATGATACTTTTCATGTGAAGAAATTTTAAGCAATTCATCTAATTGGTTATTTCTCTATGCTACAAAAATATGAATTTTGAAAGGTATAACACTTTAATGATTTGCCAAACTATACAATACCATCCATTGCACGGAAAATGCCCTCAAAATCAGATCGTTGGTAAGGCAACAACAAGTCCAGGGCTGCCTTCCTCTGCTCAAGGGTACTTGCCATTATCATCTGTCTTACAGCCTTTATTCTCTCATCAGAAGCAAAGAACTGAAAGGGACAGCAAAAGAGCATTTGATTAACCTTTACACAGGAAAGTACTTTTCATTTACCTTTCTGCACGATTTTATACTCCTATACTAATAGAGTAAATTTATCCGTGTCCAATTTAAAAGAAAGAAAAACTGTTACCATGTGCTCTGTGCGGCATAAACCAATTCCTTCAGCGCCATTGGTTCGTGCAGTGAGTGCATCTTCAGGTGTGTCCGCATTTGCCATCACCTACCATGGTCAGTAAGGATGCATCGTGTTAATTCAGTTCTAAGTACTTAAAGTCAGAGTTGAAACTTGAAAGTATTGAACTTTTATAGACCGTCATCTCACCTTAATCCGTCTTTTTTTGTCAGCCCAAGACATGAAGGTCTCCAAATCCCCGGTCATGGCAGGAGGGGAGAGTGGTTGTTTACCCAATATCACTTCACCAGTAGACCCATTTAGAGAAATCCATTCTCCTTCATGTATCACTTTGTCTCCCACTACCAGAACCTGCAGTTTGGTGTCGGAAATGTTACAGGTCTAATATGCTTGATTAGGCCGAGTCTTTCAATGAAATTTGTACCAATGTACCTTTTCAGAGTCATTAACACGGATGTCGGCACAACCAGAAACACAACATTTTCCCCAGCCACGGGCTACAACAGCAGCATGGGAAGTCATTCCACCACGTGCAGTCAAGATTCCAGCAGCTGCATGCATCCCTCCAACATCCTCTGGGCTGGTTTCAGTTCTTACCTTCAAGAGCAATCAACTTTCTACTTTAATTACTGCCACTGAGAAAGATAGCAGCATTAAACAGCTATGTAAAAGTGATTATGTACCAAAATGGCGCTCTTTCCTTGAGCATGCCATGATTCAGCATCTTCAGCACTAAACACAACTTGCCCTATCGCTGCTCCAGGAGAAGCAGGAAGGCCTTTTGCAATCACTTTATCTTTGTAACCATCTGGATCTTCAAACTAAAGCAATAAAGTCATTGTTGAGTTAAAGAAGACTACAAGACTCACAACAGGAATGAATGCATCACAGAGCTATAAAGAATGTATCAGTTGATATTTGCTTCAACTGGGAGCTGTTGTAGAGACGGAACAAGTAACCTGACTTCAGAAACATGATTCTTTGCTGATATTCATACCTGTGGGTGAAGAAGTTGGTCAAGATGCTGTGGCTCCACCATTTTTATGGCAGCGCTAGGATCAATGAGCCCTTCATTAACCATGTCCACAGCAATTTTAACTGCACCTTTGCCTGTACGCTTCCCTGAACGGCATTGCAACATCCAAAGCCTATTCTCTTGAACTGTGAACTCAATATCCTGTCGAAAGAGAGATTCTGAATACGACCATCTTACAGTTACAGAGATTTATTCCTCAAGGGTGAAAAGTTTACCATCATATCCTTATAATGTCTTTCTAAAATTTCACAATTCTCCACAAGTTCATCGTAAGCTTCAGGCATACATCTCTTCATGGTATCCAAGTCTTCGGGTGTCCTAATTCCAGCTACAACATCTTCTCCCTGGTAGTTGAAACATAAAGTTTACTTTCATAAGAATATACAGATTGCATTTGACAAATCAGATAGATTTATTAACTAGTTAGCAACCTGAGCATTTATTAGAAACTCTCCATAGAGTTTTTTTTCTCCAGTACTTGGATTCCTAGTAAAGAGAACACCTGTTCCAGAAGTATTTCCCATATTTCCAAAAACCATGCTTTGGATGTTAACTGCAGTTCCCTTCAATCCAGTTATCTGGTTAATGCTCCGGTACTTTATGGCCCTCGGACTGTCCCACGAATTAAAGACCGCATTGACTGCCAGTTCCAACTGCTTCTTTGGGTCTGTGGATGATCAAGATGAATGGATTTTGCAAACTCAAATACATACAGCATGATCTACACAAACATGAATATTCTTCTAGGTGCTGATTGTGAAAATTTGTACCTGAAGGAAATGGTTCTCCTTTAGCTTCAACATAGACAGTTTTATATTGTTCCACAAGCTCCTTAAGATCAGAAGCTGAAAGATCAGTGTCCAGCTTAACACCCTTTGCATCTTTCAACTTTTGCAACTTCTCCTCAAATAGAGAATGAGGAATGTCCATAACCTTTGATAAGGCAAAAAAGGATACTGAATTACTATTCATGAATACTATTTGATGACAGTGAATCATTCAAACTACTCTAAAACACATGGGAAACCAAGGAAGATATATATGCCTTCTTGAAAGAATATCTGGTGCAAATTAGCAGGCAATCTGAATGCTAAAAGAAATAGTGCCTTAAAACCTTGAAGCAGAAATGGTTTGGCGGACACTCACAACATCTCCAAACATGTCGAGGAACCTTCTATATGAGTCATACGCGAAACGCTCACCACTTTTCGCAGCCAATCCAGCAACAACTTCATCGTTGAGTCCAAGATTTAGGACCGTATCCATCATACCCGGCATAGAAATCTGGATTTTTCATTACATTAGTTTACTGATCGTTAACATTTTGCCAATTATTCTTGAAAAAAAAAAAAAAAAAACAGTTCCAACAGCACAATTATGGATGAATTAACATACCGCGGCACCAGATCGAACAGAAAGAAGAAGAGGCTTGGAAGGATCACCAAGAAAAGCACCCATGTCCTTTTCAACAATTTCTAAACCTTCCAATATTTCCTTCCACAATCCAGGTGGTAACTTCTTCCCATTCTGCTGATATTCTTGGCATGCTTCTGTGGATATGGTTAGCCCTGGTGGTACAGATAAACCAATGCTTGCCATTTCAGCAAGATTTGCTCCTTTCCCACCCAACTATTACAACAACAAAAGAAACACAGAACTCAATCATCTGAAAAAGAAGCAAACAATCTGATTCATATTACCACATCAGAAAGCCTGTTCAAACATGGAAGGCTTTGAACTGTAAATAATGGCTTACCAAAGATTTCATGCCTTTGTTGCCTTCACTCCTTCCTTTCCCAAATGTAAATACTCTCTGGTGATAGGAAAAGCATTCCATTAGTACACAAAATATAAAAAAAATCAAAATCCATTATGATGCAAAATCCCTTGAAATTTACCTTCATTTTGTCATTCAACGGATGCATTAAAATTATGTTTTGGTCTCAGCTATGAGAATTGCAGAGAAGAAGAAGAAACAATATATAGCATTGGGTTTTTACACAAGTTCATAAATTTACTCAAATTTGTGGATTCATATGATTCCTCGAACATTATAACCAATTTCTTAGAGCCACGTGTATCACTTACAAAGCTAGATGTCAAGTTTTCTCACTAAATTACAAACAGAGTACCTCACTGATTCATGCATATCTAATGAATGTTCTTGCCTCGATTAACTACTTCAAGTTTATCCCTTCAACCCATTTAGCACACAGTTTCCAGTTCTTCTAGTTTTGGCCCTTATTAATAAAGCACACATTTCAACTGCAAAATTTTCTAGCGGCTACCAAAAAGACAAAAAGGACATATACTCAAAATCAAGTTCACTATTTTGATCAGCATTTTATGTTCCCTAAAGACAAAATTCAATCTTTTTATTAGTTGACTACTTTATAGAAACTTGTCCTTTCCTTAATTTAGGCAACTAGAATCAACTGTATCAGTGTCTTATGAATCATATATCATTAATACACAAATTTTGCAATTTCTGTTATAGAATTGTATCAAAGCAGAAATTTGTAAAGAGCTAATCATGGATCCATAAGGCTATAAATGAGTTACCTTTTTAGTAGTAGGTTCAGGGTCTGAAACAGGGGTGCTAAGGATTGCTTGGGATCGGATTATGGGAAGATCTTGTCTTCTTCTTCTTGGCCTTGAATTTGTTGAGAGCCCAAAATTTTTTCCTTTGAATAGATCGATTCCACAAATGTTGGAACTGGCTCTGAACTGATCATAATCTGATTCCGCGTACTTCCCTCCTTTCATCATTAGTAATCTTCTTGAACTGTAACTGTTGTAAAAAACATCCTCCGTTCTGACTGATTTCAGCATCAGCATGGCTTTTGCTGATGATGATGATGATGAACTCATCTTCAACCTTAAACTAAACAAACAAAAACATTAAACTCCACAAAAGAACTCTAAGCTCTACATAAAGTGAAAACATTGATCATGCACACGTTAGTTCTCTACAGCTGAAAGTGAAATCAAGTAACAATTTTTCTTCCAAAACAGAACAGAAGATTACAAACCTGAGATGGGTTTAATGAATTATGAAGTTTAGAATCAATGGACAGTTAAAAATTTCGATTTGAATTTTTTGTATGATTAAGAAGAACAGAGTTTGGCTAAAAAACAACGAAAAATAATTTGAAGAAAAAATGGAGTTTTTTTTTTGTTATGAGTATATTGTGTGGTCTGAAATACAAATATGGCGCTAAGATGCTGAAAAAGAAAAAGGAGAATCAAAATTTTGACTTGCAAATTGTGGCTCCAACTGTGTTGAGATTTGTCCAATCAACTGTAAAGATTCAACTTATGGCCCCTCTTTTGATTAACCATTACTATTTTTAGCATTGATTTTTCTAGTTTTTAGATAATTGAAAACCTTATAGTTTCATTTCATCTGTAAAAATTAATTTTAAAATTCTAGTTAATTAAATAACAATATAATTTCATCGACTAGATAGTTCAGTTAATAATTTCGATCCATCATTTGGACTAATGATCAAGCCATTCGAACAAGACTAGAATATGAACAAGATCAATCCATTTTACCTTACTAAATGAAATTTTAATATTTTCTTGCCATATCACCCTTCCAAACCCATGGGAAAAAAAGAAAATTATTTCAAGGAAAATAAAATATTATCCAAATATCTGGCACGGTTATCAAGGCAAGCCGACAGATTCATAATAGACCCATGTCATTACATTTTGTTATTTAGTTAGCTTTTTTTTCCTCCCTCATTTTTTCATGTGAAGCTTACAAATTTTTATATGTTAATTTTTCTTTTCCTAATATTTCTATTCTAATCTAATTTTAAAATTTTGAATCTCGAAAAAACCCTCAACATTAAATTCAGTAATTTCTTTTGAACTTTTTGACTTGACAGATAAAATAATATTCCCTCCGTCATGAAATTATTGTTCAATTTAGATCTAAGTTTTAGTATAAATTAAACTAAAAAAAATTCAAACTGGACTAACGGATGGAGTACCAAGTTTTGCTCACCAAAGTTTATTTATTGAACTTTTTGCTTAGGGGTTTTATTTGGGAAAAGAAAAATCCCTCCCAAAATTCTGTAAATAAATACTACTTGGCATTACGGTTTTCTTTTTTTCCAAATAAATGGGACAATCATTTTAAGACACATTGCTTTTGTTTTCCCAATTTTAAAAAGTTTTAGGTTTTTTTTTCTAATAAATTGAATAATTTTGCATTGCCACGGATTATGGCGGATAATTGTTCGAAAAGAAGAAAATTAGAAAGTGCAGAAATTTGGGACCCACTAGTCACTGTAGATTCTCTAGAAGATTCCTCGCAAGATTCCTGAACACCTGGCTGAACCTTGGACACGAGAACAGTAGAGTTTAAAACCTAAGCTAAGAAGTCATCGACTCATCGTATTGTCTGCCTTTCCTTTTTCTTTTTTCTTTTTTTCCCCTTAAAATAAATTTGAGATCTTTCGAATATAGTGAAATTAAAATTTATGAATTTAGGAAATTTGAGATATTAAATGTTATAGAGATTTTAACAAGATTTGAACTTTTTAACCCTATTAAGTATTAACGCAACATTCGAACCATAATTCTGAGAGTTTGCTTGTTATTTCACATTATGTTGGTTGGATGAAGCTTTTGATCAATTGAATTTCTTGTTCTTTGTTTTTCGATGATGGTCATAAGCAACACTGGAAAAGTACTATGATAATGTATTTCGTGAATAAGCAACTCCGATAAAAAAAAAAAGAAGTTAGATATTTTCGAGCGAATCTGCTATCAACAAAGCTAGATAATAAGCCGCAAAATTGAATCCTTAATTCAATATTCACACTTCCATCCACTCTTTGGTTCAGAAATTCACATAAAAGGAGGCTAAAAACTTCAGATAGTTCTGCTTCTAACAAGCATCATTTAAAAGTTTGATGCCCAAATTTCATGGGGAAGCAGCAAAGCCAAATCTGATACCTATCTACAAACAGAAAAGCAGAAAAAGAACGCACATGAAATGTGAAAGCCCAGAGAAGCAAGTTCTTTATTTCATTTCATCGTATATATGTAAAGGGTAACCATCATTTACAGCCCTGCAGTAAACACGCCATTTTTCTTTAGAGCAATCATGAAATGCACACTCAAAGGTAACTATTAACGTAAGTCTCATGACCTGTGTAAATTGGGGGGAAAAAAAAAAAAAGCTCTTCAGATGCTCGGAAAACTAGGTCAAGCACGAGCATAACGTACAGGAATACGCCGCTGGATAGGGCTCCTGCAGGAAGGACAATCCTCCATTCCCTGCTTCTCATGGAGCTCATTGCAAGTTGTACATACAACCTGATGGGCACATGGCAAGAAAACTACAGCCATCTCCTCTGACAGGCACATCACACATTCCCTTTCCCGTTTCACGGATCCAATTCCAGAGTAGTAATCCAAATCACTTATTGACTTAGAAATGCATATAGTGTGAGATTTCTGGGGTGTTGGGAAGCTTTTGGACTCTGACAGTCGGCTTGCGTAACTTGTATCTATGCCTCTTTTGAGTGCAGCAATCTTGGTGGAATCCATCTTCAATCTTAACTTCGAGATTTCCATTTCGAGCTTCTTGATATCATCTTTGTGCTTGTTCAAATTGTTCTCTCCTTTCAGTTTCATTGTGCCTTCACGTGATTTCAGTGTAGATTCAATTTGTTCTCTTTCTTTCTTTAATGCACTGGCTTGTGATATAAGCTCCTCCTTCGCCTTCATCTCCTGATTCCATCTTGCCTGCCATTTCACTTGCAAATGAGGAAGTGCAGTAGGAACCACGAAAAGCAATTTGAAACAGCAGTGATTCTTTCCTCTCAAACATAAATTTGCATTTTAGCAAAAAGGTCACAGAAGTTCAAGGAAAGTCAACAGCATCAAATGCTTCAAGGTGCAATGAAAATTTTCCAGTCTTAGAGAGTGAGAAATGAACACTGATAGTGATAATAATTACCAAAAATACCTTTATACTCTCAATATACCAGAGTTACTGAGATCAAACCTCGATGTTACATGTGTATATCGAAAAACTGGCAGTACTAACAACATAAACTTCTTCAGAGCTGAGACACATGATTCAGAAGCATCAGTATCAGCCTGAATTTCATCGACATAGGCAGTTCGCAACAATCTCATTATAGCAAATGTGATGAAGAACCAGAAACAATGAATAGCATTCAAAACCAAGATTTCTACAGAATGCTGACAGGTTTTGTATCTGCTCAAGGACTAAGAAACAGGTGGCACACGCCTCAACCCAAATCCTAACATCGACTAAGAAACAGGTGGCACGCGCCTCAACCCAAATCCTAACATCCCGTATTAGATACCATGGGGCTTCTACATGATGACATGCACATAAAAAGATCATGCATAAGTTCCCGGTGGTACTGTAGTAACCTGAGAATCTCTACATTGCAGATCAAATCTTAATTTTCCCAAAAACCTTACTCTCAGAACTAGGAGCTATCAAGGGCAGTCATTAATGTCAGATATCCAATATATAACTTGAAAAGTGAAAAAAGAATTAATGTTAGCAGCTGAGCTTCCCTGAAAGACACCATTAATCTCCCAATCATTTGGTCAATGAGGAGAGTTATGTCCATATGTCAGATAGATCTAGAAAATTTCTTTTTGATTCAAAGAACAAAAGTCTAACAGTACGACTTAAGTTTAAACAAAATAAACAATGGCATGCATTAAACAAGCTTTCTGTAAGTAACTTATGAAAATTTGGCATGTTCAGTTCAATAACAGCAAAAGGAATGTCCACAAAGTGGTCGAACTGCCTCTGACAACAAAGACAATCCAATATGTCACAAATATGAAAGATGGGGACTGATACAATCGGGATGCAAGAGTATAAGCAAATTGCAAGGCAAAAATGTGCATTGAAAGAATATAGAAAAAGGTTTGTGTGATTATACCTCAAGTTGATTCCTCAGATCTTCTGCTTGCTCTAATATTTGCTTGAGATCAACAATCTTATGTTTTTCAACCGCCAATTCCTCTGATAATATCAACTTTTGCTTTTCTTGCGACTGAACCTTCATCATATTCGCCTTCTCCCTTTTCAAAACATCCTCTAAATTAGCTGCTGAAGCAGCTGCACGAGACTTTGCAATTCCCATCTCTTGCCGCAGAACAGAATTTTCTACTTCTAGTCTACGGACAGCAGCATTTGCTCTCTCCACTTGACCACTTGCTTTACACAATGCATTTTCCATTTCAGACAACTTTTTCATTGTATTTTCCTCTAGTGTTTGTTTTTCTTTCTTGAGCCGCTCCACTTCTTCTTTTTCTTGTCTCAGTGCCTTAAGCTCTGCTTTATCCTTGCCGAGCCTACGAGCAGCCTGCATAACTTTCTGATTGGCCCACTCTGTCCACTCTTGGAGCTGATTTTGTAATTCGCATTCCTTGGATAGAAGCTTTTGAATCATTTCTTCTTTTTTGTCCTCTAGGAGCTTGTTTGGATCGGAGTTGTCTTCTTGTTGAACATTACAAGCTGTATTTGACACCTTATTGACAGGGATTGTAGCATAATTATTTTCCATAGGTAATGAAAGAGAGAGCTCGGTGTCAGCAGCCAATAATGCAGGAGAAGTCTTCACCGGATGCAATGAGGAATTGAGATTTGGTTCTGATGATGGAGAAATGACGTTCTTATTATCCTTGCTAAATGCTGGAAGAGTAGGGAACGGAATGGTTGTTGAAACACTTTGATTATCTACATTGTCTTGTGCCAATTCAACTCCGTTTTTATTTCCAACCCTCAATGTATTCCTGCTAAGACATGTAGAATCTGCAATATGCCGTAGTTTCTTATCCAAAACTAGACTACCTAAATGATTGAGTTTTCCAGTTCTCGAGGTTACTTTAGAATATGTTCGATGATGTTTTTCCAAATGAAGGGACTTCTGCCGAAATACGTACTCTCTCTTCGTCATCCCAGAAACTTTTCTACACGTCACAAACTTTTCCTCTGAAATTGGATTATGGAGTGATCCTGTCAAACTAAAAGTCTTACCACCAACAGATGAAGTAGGACAATCTTTATCAGAAAAAAGTCCACCGGCAACAGCATTTGCACTTGAGTTTGAAACAGCTGATGTTCGTGCCTCAGACTGAAAGGTGTGCACATAAGGATTTGAAACCACTTCAGTCGCCTTTGATTGACCATTTGTTTTGACGGGCAAACTTGGATCTAAAATTTTATGTTCAAGACTTGAAGATACGGGTGTTGAGCCAGATAAAGCCCCATGAGGCACTCCATCAGTAGTCATACCACTCATCTGATCAGTTTCAATCACGCAACCAAGAGAAATATTCATGTCGCATACTAATAAAAACCACATTGCTTCCCCAGTACTAGCAGAAGGTTTCATTTGTTTAACAACACAAACAGATTCTGCAACCATGTACCTCTCCAGCTCAAGAATATCCTCAAAATTGATATCCCTCAATGCTCGAATCTCTTGATCACCTCTAATAAATGCTAAAGTACTATCCACAAGATTTGAGACACTGTCCTTCATCCCATGGCATTGACCAGCCTTTGATAAAGCTGTAAAAACTACTTCCTCATTATAACCATATGCAACTATTCTCCTCATTGCATTTCGGAGGTTTGAATCCAAATTACTATAAACAAGCTTCTCCAACTCAGACTCATTGGGATCATTCCAATCAGCATTCTGGGCAGCACAAGCTTCAGAATCAACTCCCCTCTTGGGTAGCCCAAACTCAGAAACTCCAGCTGCACAAGACAACCCGAGGTCAAGCTGCAAGGCCTCAGCATTCTCATGCTTTACGGTACTAAATTCTGAATTTATTGAAGTACAATGGCCGCGCACATCATCCAAATTCTCGGCAGTAAATTCATACGTTGTGCCTTCTCTCAGAGGTTCAGGAACGATCTTCGGATCTGTAAGGGGTGCCTCGGCCCTGAACTTTCTTTTATTCCTACTCCCCTTCTCTTGAACTGTCATTGTAGGAGACAAATGGCTGGAACTGATGCAAGGTTTCGCAACCATAGATTCCATCCTGATAAATGTCAAAAACAATACAAAATAGATCACAAAACTACCTTTAAAAACTGATGACATTGATATAATTGCTCACATTAAACATGGCAAAAACTCAACACTGAAATCCAGTCATCAAGTTCACCAAAATCAATGATTATCAATTGCCACAGATTAAAAAAAAAATAAAAAATAAAAAACTAGCTCAACCTAATCACTTTGATACACTATATCCAAATCATCAAATTGAATTAGCATAGGAATACAGAGTCAATAATCCACACTTAAAAAGTAACACCAGTGGCCCAATATCTAATTGGAAAGAGTCAATTCAGCACCTTATTCATCATTCAAACACAAATTCAAATCAGCAAAAAGAAAGAAACCAGTCCAGAAATGAAGAAACCAATAGAACAACCATGGGTTCCCACCTCAATGCATGTAACAGAAGCCCCATTAAAATTCCCAATCAATCCAAATTGATATGAGCAATCGGAGAACAACCCACAGATCAAAGTATCAAGAGCATTAAAATCTATTAACAATTAATCAAAAAATCATGCATTTTAATTAAGAAGATCAGGAACAATAGTGATTGCTCAGGTCGATAAAATATTTCATCTTTCCCAGAGGAATTTTGATTAATACATACCAGATTTGAGCTCTGATCGTTCGTTTTATTATTCAAAAAAGGCTCGAAATGAATCAAAAAAGAGAATCTGATTGTGAGAAAATCAGAACTCTGTTTTCTCTTCTCTCTATATGTTCTTCTTCTCTCCTTTTCTTTTTTCTTGTATTTCTGAGACAGCAATTTTCGGTATTTTTTTTTTTTTTTGTCCTTCTAATTTTATTTATGCTCTTTTTTATTTTTTCTACTTGTTACCAAGGTTGGTATTTCTTTTGGCCAAGCCGTCCAACTACGGTTACAATTTACATTAAATTATTTCTTCAAAATTATTACAAAGTTTTTTTTAACCATTCGAAGGATATGGTAAGACCATATTTCGGGATAAATAATAATATCAATTTCGATTTCACTCTTTTTAATTTATTTTTCATTATATGAAAGATACCACAAGATATGATAATTATCTTGAAAATACACTAATGATGTAGCAGAATTCTGTAATTTAGCATATAGTAAGATGTGTTGTAATAGATTAGTTTCCTATTAATATAAACATGTACGTTTCCTTAAAAAAAATTCGTGTTGTTATCATTTGATAAAACAAGGCAACATTAGTAGTAACTGTAGATTAAGAATTAATTATTTTTTAAATCAATTACTATGGATCAAAATTTTTAATGTACATTTATGCTATTAGGAGGAAGGATGGTTGCTCTTCTTTTTCATCCTTCCATGTCACAAACACACATCATAAGATAATAATAACAAGAATAAGAAGAAATTAATAATGTTATGGCAAATAAAGGTCACAATAAGTGGTAAAATAGTTATATAAAATTTTATGACAGGCGAAACAAAAACATTGTCATTTGCTTAGTTTTCTATATCCAAAAATGAAATGATTTTTTTTTTCTTCCAATTTTTTTATCCTTCATTTTCCCCAAACTTTTCTTCTTAACAAGCACGGCCTTAAATCAATTTGTTATGTTTCTTTTTTTCCCCTCTGTATTTTACACAATAAGAAAAAGACATTTAATCGGTCTTAGAGGTTTCGAACTCCCCTAGGAGATGAAGGCACTAGTATTCGTCCAAAGCAAATTGTCTGAATTTGGTGAATCTGATTCAAGGAATTTTTTTTCCCTTATTTTATAGCCAAATTATTTATTCTCAAATTATACCCGTATATATATATATATATATATGTAATGAAAAGATATTCTAATTTAACCTCACGCTATCGCTCACATCAAAATTTGATGTATCACTATTATTCATAGAAATAGAATATTATATTATTTTATTTATTCAGTATTGTTTAAAAACAAATTTAACATGCGTATCACGCAAAGGTGTGTTACATAACTTAACTAGTAAAACAGAAATTTCTTAAAGAAATCATACCATGAACTCGTCAAAATACAAAAATAACTACTGTATTACATATATATATATATATATATATTTAAAAGATAGAAAAATTCATCAAGAGTTGTGGCCTTTTCACCTGTAGTATCAAATGTCTCTTTTCTTTTATCATTACCGTTGTTTCATTGTTTCTCAAAATATATAGAGATCATTCAATATTAAAATTATCAAGAAAGATCAATATATGTATCAATTATATTCACCTCACTCGTGAGTTGAGTTGAAATTTTATAGAGTTTAGTTTACCTTCATCTTTTACATAATTATTAGTATTAGTCGAATTACAATAGATTTTATAAGACGAATACGTAATTGTATAATATAAATTTATATAAAAATCTCGTATAGCGCACACAGTTTAATAATCTTCACTTAAACGGAGTCTTGTTTGTAAAAATCATCTAAGAATTTTTTTTATTTATTTTTAATTTAATTCTTTCAAAAAAAGTTCAATATCATAATAATAATAATAATAATAATAATAATAATAATATTCAAAAGTCAAAACAAGAATCAGAGCTTCGGTTTGAGCCGTTTGGCGAATTCTGACTTTGAACTGAAGTTATGGACCAGCCACCAAACCCAACGCCGGCGCCGCCACCTCCACCTCTCCACCAGGCCGACGCCGACGAAGATGACGACACCGTCAAACAGCTTGAAGAATGCTCTTCGTTGTATTTGGCCTTACAGGTAATCTGCACTACTATTTTTTTTTTTGGTTCCAAGTTGTGATCTTTAACAAAGAAGATCCATTTGCTTTAATTTTTCCTTAAACCCTAAACCCCATAAAAAATAAATATTTTTGCAGGATTGTCTAGTCCAGACCAACAGAAACTGGAAATCTTGCCAAAAGGGTTCGTTTCCTTCAGTCTAATTTGCTATTTTAATCATTAGTCTCTCTCTCTTATTGAGCCCTTTATTTGTGATGGTACAGAGTTTTTCTTTTTGCCTTCTTATTCAGAATTCAGGTTGTATGATGATTTTGGCATTTGGATGATTGATTTAATGTAAAAATGTGGTATAATTTCTGCAGAAGTTCAAGCTTTGAAGGCCTGTAATGAGCGAAAAAGGAACAGCCAGAGGAATTGAGGATTAATCATGTTGCTGATGCCCGTTGGCCTGGTAAAGTTTAAACATTTATAGTCACATTATTGTCTTAGCAACGAAGCAGTTAGGAATGATGGAATGAAGGATTTTCAATGTATGTCCATTTGTCCATCTCTTTCCCATGGATAATCTTTTTGCCTCAATTTGTACTGTTCTGGATGTAACAAATGGCGATTCCTTAAATTAGAGTTATGGTTTCAAATGGAATAGAGCATTTACAAACGTATGTTCATGTGTTTCCCCTGGATGGCCTTCTTCCTTTTGTACAAATTTTTAGTGTTTTTGATACATGAAATGGCATATCGTTTTCTCTTAAAGCCAATTGGCATTGCTACCCATGAATGACAGTAATAATGAGACCACCAAGTGAAGTTTTTTGTTTCCTTAGAGCTAATGCAAAACCAAGCGATTCCCGAGCCTAGGTTTATCTCAAGCTAGATATTGGATGAGAAAAACTTAAGGAGGTGATGAAAGGTGTCAAACTATAAACCTCGAGACCAAATATGACAGATCTTGAACAACAGAAACTAATGGTAAATAGTTCATGGCTGCATAACTTGATACATTAGGAAAAAGATCAATGCAGAATGGAAAACCAACTTGAGATTGCATTTCCTCTCATAAAAAGTACTACATAGCTACTCACATGATAAGATGGAATAGAACCTTTAGAAAAGTATATAGCAACTAGTCCTTTTTTCTTTTTCTTTTTTAATCACGCTTGGATGAACTTGACAGAAACGCTGTTAACGCAATGGCGCTCATCCGTTGGTGTTTGATAACCCTCCCCTTTGAAAACATGCCCCAAATGACCTCCACAAGCAGTGCATGTAATCTCAGTCCTCATTCCATCTGGATCAGGCTAGAAAGAGAGATTGAAATCTTTCAACTCTAAGCAGAAATACGTTCGCAGGTTGAAAAACTACACTTTAAAATTTAAACACAACAGAAATATACTCACAGAACTAGAGTAATGACCCCTGGAAAACTAAATGAAACCTTACTCGTCCTTATACCCAAAGTCCAGCCCCCAACGTCAATGACACAACTTCGGCCCATAAATCTGTGTAACGTGGTTTATAAGGTGATCACCAAGTTAATGGCAAATAGACTAAAGCCTCTGATGGGACAGATAGTGAGTAAGACTCAGAACAGCTTCGTCCCTGGTAGAAAATTGGCTGATAACACAGTGATATTTCAAGAAATTATTCATTCTATGAGAACAAAAAAAGGAAAAAAAAGGTTGGATGGCAATAAAGGTGAATCTGGAGAAAGCTTATGACAGGTTGCATTGGGCTTCTGCTTCGGTAGGACAAACAATCTGGAAAAATATTTGGGTTCTCCAACTATCCATGGTAGAATCACAAGAGCAACATACAAAGAAATCCTGGATAAGATGAGAGCCAAGTTGTCAGGCTGGAAAGCTAATCGTGTTTGTGATGCGTTTAGCTTTGTAGAAGAAGGAACAACATGGGTGATTGATAATGGTAAATTAGTACGCTTCTGGGAGGATGTCTGGCTCGAAGGAAAAAATAAGTTATCAAGCTATGCTGTCAGATCAATCCCGGATGGCGACCGTGAGTTAACAGTGTTGGAGTACATACTTGATGATGGAACCTGGGACATAGCCAAATTCAACCACCTTCTTCCCCGCGATCTAGTGGCGAACATTAGAAGCATGCCCCCACCATTGGAAGCGCTGGGACCTGATCAACCGAGATGGCTCTTTGAGAAGACAGGTAAATTTTTAGTTAAATCAACTTATCAATTACGGACTAATAACTTTGCAATGCAAGAAGAAAAAATCTAGAGAAAAGCATGGACATGGAAAGGTCCCCAAAAAAATCAAGACATTTCTATGGCTCCAATAACATCTGAGCTGATACATTAGCTAAGGAGCACTAAGTGAAAACGGGAATTATATTTTTTTGATGTTACCCCGTCATGTATATCTTTGTTGGTTGAGCAGGAGAGATTGACCTTAGTAGACCTTGTAGGATTTAAGGCTATAGACCTTCATTTTTGTTGTTAACAAAAAAGAAAAGAAAAGAAAAGAAAAGATACGCTCTTCCTAACATTATTTCTCGTCTCGATAATGAATTTTTTTTATATCTTTCATTTTTTACAAAAATAAATAAGTTTATGCAACATCATTGTGCATACTCAAAAAGAATTATTGTTGAATGTAAACCATGATTGTAGAGATGAGAACTGAATAAATGAATTTCATTGTATTACAAAATAAGTGATAGTCGTTAAAACTGGTCATTAGTATTTAAATCTGACGTCTTTAAAATTTCTCGCGTCCTCAAAAAAAAATCTTATTTCTATTTATCATTCTAATTGAACAAAAATATAAAATTTATTTTAGTCATGTATAATTGTTGACAAAAAATTAAGACATCTAAAATCAATAACAATAAGTGATGATCTTTAAAATTAGTCATTAACACTCATCTTAAAAATTTATCGTCTATTCAAAGGAAAATCTTGTTCATTTTATCATTCTAATTGAACAAATGAACACAATAAAAGTTATCCAGCAGTAGAAACTGGGAGTAGTTTGACATCAAAAAAAAAAAGAAAAAAAGAAAGAATTTTCATGTTAAGCCCCCACACCAATTTCCCTCCATTCGACCGCCAACACCGAACAACGTTACAAACAACACCCCCGGAAAACCCTCACTGCTTGACAACACATCATGTCACACAGTCACGCAGAAAACAACACTCTCAATTCCCCCCTCGATTCTCACCTCAACTCACCATCTCCGAATTTCCCCTTCTTCTTTAGCTTTACTTTCTCCCCGACCTAAAAATCGCCATTGTTTCTGTTCCGAAGATTCAAACAACAACCGATCACAATTAGTTCGAGCAAGCAACTTCAACACCGCCGTCAATATCTCCGTCAATCTCTTCGGCAAGGGAGGTGCATTTGCAGGAAGAAAGAGGTAACGACTCTAAAATGTTTAATTACCGATAATTGGTGGAGTAGAAGAATAGTTGTTTAGCTAATTCTTGGATTCTTGAGTTGTATGGAATGTATAGATGTTAAAAACATGGTTAATTTCGGGGATTTTGGTTGGGTCATTTGCTTTCATTTTCTGTTTCTGATTCGAATTGTGGTCTGTGGTTTATAGAAATGCTTCTCTTTTTCAATTCTTTTCAAACAGCCACTGGTTTGAACTTGTTTTGACTTTGAATCTGTTCTGGTTTGGTCTGCCAATGGTGTCAGCTATGAGTTTGCATATGGTGTATGTATGTATGTATGATTAGTTGGAGCTGGTTTGTCATCTGTGACAACCTTGTCATCAAAGTCTTTCAAGTTTTCCTTCACTGTAGCATTTAGCAGAAAAGTCAATTTTGGTAACTCTGCATCATCTGAACAAATTATTGATTCCTTCATGCGCACTTAATTTATCTCTCAGTTACTGTCAAAAGTGGTTCTGCAGCAGTCCACTGTGACGCTGAGGAGTCGAAAATAAGTTATAAATGCTGATTCACTTGTTAATTCTGATCCAAACAGGGTTGCAGTAGACATGGATCCCAGGATTCAGCATCTTTTGTCCAGGGTTCGGGAACTTAAGCTTCATCTGGAAGAAACCACAGATCAGCCCGAGCAGATGGTTTCGGAGGCTGCATCCAGAAGCGATGGCACACTGGACCTGGACAGAGAAGTGCAACTCCTACTCGAGCGACAGAAGCAGAAATTGGAGACAAACATTAGGAAGAAGCTCGTTGAAATGGAGACTGATTTGCACGAAGGAAAGGCTAAAGTAGAGAGACGGAGAGCTGCTCTACATGTATTGGAAGTGGAGAATTCCACTCTTAAGCAGGACATGGTTGCTGCCGAAGCCCAAATAGCTGGGACAGCAGCTGCTTCAGAGGAGTTATTTAGAAGGCAGAAGGAGCATCTGATGAAGCTCAAGTCCCTGGAGACACAGAAGTCGATACTTGTAGAGACACTAGCTGCTGAAAAGGGCAAGTTCGATCACTGGAAAAAGAAAGTAGAGCGGGCTGAAGAACAACAACATCAACGGCAGGTAGGGATCTCAACAAATGCAATATCTGATTAATATATTTGATTTTGTTTTCATTGTATATTGCTGTCTTCCAATAAGTTGTTCAAACTCTTGAATCCAGATTTTATCATTTGACTAAATCTTCCAATATTATGACCTATTTATTTTTATTGTTGTTTTTTTCGTTTCTTTTCTTTTCCTTTTTTTTTTTGCTGTTGTTGTCAGAGGCAGTCGAACCTCTTTGGGACGAATCCTTTTGCTACTATATAGCTAAACGTGCCAACTTTCGATTCTCGCTGGGGCCATCCAATTTAAAAAAAAAAAAAAAAGCTTAGGGCATAGTGCTTCGACCTCTGTTCTTTAAAATAAAAAGAAATTTTCAGATCCAACTGATTCCGTTGTAGAGTTTCAGTTTTGTCTTTATTTGTTGCCATATCTTTTGTGGCACTAAAAAGAGTAGTCACTGCTTCTGCTTCCATTTTGAGCTTGCTTTTGTTTATGGTCTGGTGTGGGTAAACAGAATCGGCAGCACATTTTCTTTTTCTTAACTCTGTTCCAGAGAAGGAGAATTTAACGTCTTATTATTCCAGGAAAAGTGGAAAATTTTGAACCATTAATTGGCTACAGATGCCAAGAATGTATTAATAAGAGTTTTGTGTGTAAACTGTTAATTATATTGCTTGATGGGGAACAGGGTGGGTAATTGAAAACAGACGGAAAGGCAAACCCTAGCTGTAGGGATTTCGGAAAGACAGAGTCTTTGGAAGCTTCAAAAGCTTGGTTTTTATAAAATATCAAAATAACGTCCATCACAACTACTGCAGAACCACCCTATTTATAGAGAAGCCGGGCTTCTTCCTAAAGCTACTAAAATTGCCTAAAACTAATTCATAATTAAGGTAATATAGCAAATAGGAAATTAAACTAAAAGAAACTTTATTCTAAGAAGATTCCAGCTATTTTCCTTAAACCTAATATGAAACTACCCATATTTCTGAAATCTTCCTGCATCAACTCTCCCCTGCTTGAAAGAAAACTCGTCCTCGAGTTTTGCTTTGGGTTTTCCTCTATCAAAAGGAATTCCTGTTAAGTACTGCAATGCCTTCTTTCTTCTCCTCCTCCATGCATAAAGAACTTGATGTCTTGGAAACCTCTTGAACCAATAAAGTCTCTTCACCTTGAATAGAGATGCAGGTTTTAGTGTAAAAATAGATTCATTGGTTTGATAGCAATCACAGACAAGCACTTTATTGGACAAAGCTATTTGATGAAAATTGATGTTGTGTAGAACTTGATTTTCATCTGATATCTGTGTTTCCGAAACAATTTTCCTCAGCTTTCCCCGATCAAAAGGACATCCTGCAGACTCTTTCAGTAACCTCTTTCCTTGATTCTTTCCGAGGGTTAAAGACTTTATCATTGTAGTCCAAAACAACCTCCTTCTGTTGTAGACTATGGTTCTTCATTAAAAGTACCATATTATTGACAAACAGGCTCTTAAAGACATCCACAAGCAAATAGACTTTATCATTATAGCAAATAGGAAATTAAACTAAAAGAAACTTTATTCTAAGAAGATTCCAGCTATTTTCCTTAAACCTAATATGAAACTACCCATATTTCTGAAATCTTCCTGCATCAACTCTCCCCTGCTTGAAAGAAAACTCGTCCTCGAGTTTTGCTTTGGGTTTTCCTCTATCAAAAGGAATTCCTGTTAAGTACTGCAATGCCTTCTTTCTTCTCCTCCTCCATGCATAAAGAACTTGATGTCTTGGAAACCTCTTGAACCAATAAAGTCTCTTCACCTTGAATAGAGATGCAGGTTTTAGTGTAAAAATAGATTCATTGGTTTGATAGCAATCACAGACAAGCACTTTATTGGACAAAGCTATTTGATGAAAATTGATGTTGTGTAGAACTTGATTTTCATCTGATATCTGTGTTTCCGAAACAATTTTCCTCAGCTTTCCCCGATCAAAAGGACATCCTGCAGACTCTTTCAGTAACCTCTTTCCTTGATTCTTTCCGAGGGTTAAAGACTTTATCATTGTAGTCCAAAACAACCTCCTTCTGTTGTAGACTATGGTTCTTCATTAAAAGTACCATATTATTGACAAACAGGCTCTTAAAGACATCCACAAGCACTGCGCTAAACTCATCGAGCTCTAAGACCTGAACTTGTTGGGTACAACTCAACTTTTCCTGGACAGAACCAAAAGCTTTTGCACTCTCAACAAGATTCTGGCAGCCCAAATCAAATCTGTCAACACCAATCTGCTTGTAACACACCTTTTCCTCCTTGTTTCCTAAATCACTTAAAAGACAAGGCTCGCCAAACTCAATAACATCCTCCTCAGAGACATCCGAACACTCATCCCAGTCTTCCGGTTACTCATCATAGATTGGTGGATTGTTCCAATCAAGATCATGCTTCTCCCATGGATCATAATCTAATCCATATGAGAAAATCCTATCCTTCATATTACCTTCCGGTAAGTCTGAATAATAATCACTGCAATCTAATTGTTCTTCAAGTTGACTGTGTTGATCTCTGGGACCATGGAACGGACTGACCTCTTCTACCTTATGTTTAAACACCTCATCAACACCTTCCGGTGGATCAGGATCTTCGATACCTTTGGGTATCAATCCTCGTGCTGCCGCACGGTTGTCACGTTGTTGGTTCTGCACCAGCAGCCTGAGTTGTGCAAGTTCTCGTCGCAATTCTTCAATCCCAACCACATATTCCTGATTCTGAACTCTCCTAGGGACAGCACGCACCATCGTCGTAACCTAGGCTCGTGATACCAAATTGATGGGGGTAATTGAAAACGGACGGAAAGGCAAACCCTAGCTGTAGGGATTTCGGAAAGACAAGAGTCTTTGGATGCTTCAAAAGCTTGGTTTTTATAAAATATCAAAATAACATCCATCACAACTACTGCAGAACCACCCTATTTATAGAGAAGCCTGGCTTATTCCTAAAGCTACTAAAATTGCCTAAAACTAATTCATAATTAAGGTAATAAAGCAAACAGGAAATTAAACTAAAAGGAAACTTTATTCTAAGAAGATTCCAGCTATTTTCCTTAAACCTAATATGAAGCTACCCATATTTCTGAAATCTTCCTGCATCAACTACTCATCATAAAAGTTTCACATATTTACACACATATACATTCGCCTAACATTGCTATATCTCTATACATTGACAATTGACAAACAGATGCTCTACTGTTTCCTGATGTTGATTACACAGAGGGCAACTGTCATCATCAATCTCCATGCCAAGTTGTTTAAGTCTATCTCTTGTAAGTAACCTTCCCTGCCAGGTCAGCCAAACAATGCAGCAGTTTCTTGGGATATTTAGTCTATTCCAGATGATTACTGAAGCTTTCTGCTTTGGTACCACCCCTGTCAGGAATTGGACACCAGAGGCTATACTATAGACACCATTCTGATGAGCCCTCCACCTATCTTCAACAAACCCCTCCCTAAGCTTTTCTCTGATCCCTAAAAGTTTTTTCCAGTGCCAACTGGAATCCTGAATTGCAGAAACTTCCCAAAAACCTCCCTTCTTCAAGTACCTTTACATGGTATTGAGTTGATTAGCGTAATTAATGTGCAGACATATTCTGCCTAGTTATTTGGTCTTTAATTATAAATGTCATGAATGATCTTTCGCCTTCCAGCCTGCGGTCTGGATTTGTAGTTGCCAAACAGCGACGACTTGTTTGACTTCACGCAAGAGAATCACATCCTATAATCCAAAATGAGGATGAGTTTTGGGGTTAGCTCAGCCTCTCATCACAACCTTCCGTCGCTTTTAGCATGAATTTCGCCTTGCCCAAGAGGGGCAAGATGACTTGATGTTATCCTCTCCTTCCTCTAGCTTATCATCTGCACTCTGTTCAGGATCATGTGTTTATATGAACATCACACATTTTTATACACTCGTATCTTCTTTTAAGTATTTTTTTAATCTCATGCCTGTTTTTAATAAGTCAACAAAAATGAGGAAAGGCTGGTTTCCCAATGCACTCAAGTCTACTTGACACAATATTAAAATGTTGATTTTGATAATTACTCTACTTTCCAGAAGAAGCGAACTTTCTAGAACCTTAGATTCTCATAATTAGTTAGTCTCTCACACTTAGATGTAATTAACACTGTCTTAAAAGCTAAATATGCTATGAATGAACCAATTTGGTTGTGTAATTATTAGGTTGAGATGGCTGGTGCTTTGATCTTATTGATGGCGGCGACCTTGAAAACATCATTGAGCTCTATGTGAAGCATATCCAACATAATTAGGCAACAATTCTAAACTCACAAAATAGAACAGATCTTGGTCACAATTAGCTATTTAGATTATGACCAAACTGATATTGATACTTGCGACTATCTAATTCTCATATGTACTACCTGAAAAAGCCGTTTTTGTCCCTTCGGGACATATGCACCGAATGATCTTTACTAAAGGTTAGTCAATTTATTTAGACTTACCATAACATGTAAATATAAAATCAGTGGAGCTCACTATAAGTACTTTGGAGTTGCAATCTAGTTACTTTCAGGTTGACCTTATTAGTATTGCGATCTCCTGATAAGTTGGTGTTCATATGGCCAAAAATATGCTTGTACATTATCGACGCATTTAAATGGAATCATTGTAATCATGCTTGTTATTGTGAATGCATTGAGGAGTACTTGCTCTCGGTCATGTGAATAAATATTAGAGTGAACCAGATATGTTATACACTAATGAAATGGTTATCCAAGTAATATCCATTGCCTGCTGAAGAAAAATTTTGCGACGATGAGATATTTGTGAATGGGCTTGATATTGAAGCTTAAACCTGATAAAGTGGGCTGCAAACCTCCCACTATTAAAACAATTGAAAGACAGCTATTGCTATGCTAGCAAATTTGGCACGTCCCTTTTGGGGAAGTTGTTTACCCGTATTAATTGTTTTTTTCCTTGTCAAGTTTATAGTGGGCTTTTCCAATATAAGTGTTTGCTCTTACTAGCTTCAGGCATTTTCTCAAGGTTTTGCAAAAAAATGAAGATTCCATCCTGCGACGTCCACATTTAGGCACATCAGTTCTACCACTGTACCATGAAACATCTTGTGTGTCTATTTATGTTCATGTCATTATGTTGCGTAACTTAGCAGGTAGTGCCCTATGTTCGGGTATGGGTGAGGATTGTTGCCACGTGGTTTTGATTTAGGTCGTTAGTTGTGTTGCAAAAGGTATTATAAGTTGGTTTCTTTGTTACTTGTCCACAATACAATTTGGCGGTTTGCCGTAAGGCCAAGTAATTATGGACTTGGGTTCAAGTGATTTGGTATAAGCATTGACTTTCTTTTCTTGATTGTTTATTTTTCACCCATCTTAGAGCATTTGATGTTGCTGACTATCCTTGAGCATCTATCATGTGTTTATTGAACTTCAAATTTATGTTTGAGATGTAATTGGGTTGCTGTTTTTTTTAAAAAAATGCTTTTCACAGTTTTTATTGCTTTTTCTCATTTGATCATTTGATTGCAGGCTAGGTTAAATTTTGTTGTGGAGAAAGAACTGGATGAGATATTGCTGAAAGTCACCCATCTAAGGGGTATGAGAGAAGGCATTGAAACCGCAGGAAATGTGGAGATGGACCAGATCAAAGTAAAGGCAGAGAAGGAGATAAAGGACAAGGAGGAAATTAAACTCCTAAAGAATAAAATTGCGGCACGTAGGCTGCAAATTTATTTTGCTAAGGCTGCTGAACTTCAAGGAGGGGCAGAAGCTGCCTTTTTGCCGCGGGAGAGAGAGTGCATAATGTGCCTCTCAGAGGAAACATTTATTGTATTCCTCCCATGTGCTCACCAGTTACTTTGTTCAGCCTGCAATGATCTCCATGAGCGGCATGAATGTAAGAATTGCCCCTCGTGCAATACCGGAATCCAGCAGCGTATGCGAGTGCGCTATGCGCGTGCTTGATGCAGTTGCCTCCCTGTATTAATTGTTGATTTTTTTATTTTTTATTTTTTGTATCGTGACATTAAGAACTTGTTAGAACTTCTTTTTTTCCCCAATGGACCATTTTACAAAAACTTAATGACAGAGATACGAGGCCTGGCCCTCCCTGTAGAAACTAGCTCCAGCTGTTTTGTATATTATGGTGGCTTTAGTGATTTCAAGTTTCTTATGGATCTTTGTATGTTATGAATTTCGAGTTTTCTGATGGATCTTTGTACGTTATGAATTTATGATCGCTCTGTGAAGTTGTGTTTTCTGTGGTTGGATACATTGGCGGGAAAAACCAGCTTATATGAGTATACTTTTATATGAACCTGCTACGCTAGTACATGTATGGACATCAATGAGGCTCATTAAAATCTACCTCACCTTTCTCTGATTTAATTTTCTTCCTTGTTTTCAATAGGTTGAATAAGTACAGAAAAAAAAAAAAAAAAACTACTCTTTTGAGTCTTGATCCCAGAAGAAAAGTACTCGCTGTTTTCTTCCTCGATGGAAGGAGTAAGTATTCTGTATTAGAAATTATCCATTTACTTCATGGACATCTAGTTGCGCAGAACTCACGAGTTCAACATAGTAACATAACACCTCTAACAACAAAAAAACACCCAAAAGAAAAAGAAAAGAAAAGAAAACATAATACGAGGTGAGAGACAAAGGGCTTCCTATTTATAAAGAAGGAAAAAAAGAAGAGCATTATCCCATGGTTTTACACGAAAGAAGAAAAGGTTCACTAACAAACTAACTACACAAAATGGCTGTCTACCGGCTTGCTTGGAGGGATTCAGCTACCCCGTCTGTCTAAAAATTAAGTGCCTACCTAATTGCATCTAACAGCTCATTATCACCAGCAGTGTGATTAAACTAAAAAAAAGGGAAAACGGTCAATGATAAGGTAAATTTCTACGCACTTCCTTCAGGTTCTTCAATTTGCATGTCCGTCAACAGTTGAGTCCCTGTTGTTTCAATCTCTGTAATACCATTGTGCCTGCTGTTTATGCCATGACAAAGGAAAAAAGAAAGAGTTTCAGAAACTAAAACTTGACTTGAAGATGCAGTCACATTGGCAGGGTAAGGTAAATGCAATAACTTAACATTTGAATGTTGTGAGCAAACAGATTGCACAATTCACTAGATATGTAAAAACCATAGCACATCGCTTTGGGATTTAGCCGTACAGTTAGAGTGGGATCACAATATCTATGCACAAACCAATGATGATGAGACAAGAACCATTCTTGAATTTAGTCAAATCTATGCATAAACCTGACAATGATGGTTCATGGCCTGAAACAAATCAATCCAATCTACAATGTGAAGGAACCACCCTATTAGCACCCATTGCAACATTTTGCTGGTAGAAAATTAAATTTTTACAATGCTGTTGCCATATATGATCCATATATCCAACTCAACATAGTGGGGGCATAGAAGCTTGGCGCTGCTGTGTAAGTATAAAAAATCTTGTGAATGTAAAGAGATAGAACAAACATATCTGCACAAGAGTAAACCATAATACAATCACAATGATTCAATATATTACCATTGCATCATATACCAACAAAAAAATGAAAGAAGTAAAAGAGCACAATAAAGGACAAGCAGTGACACCCCTTTGCCCCATAGTAAGCAATATCATCAGAATCACCCATAGATTTTCTAAGGCATTAAAGTTCTGAACCCTGAAGAGCTCAGATCATTTGGCTACACAAGACAAGAGAATATAGAACCATCACGTTACTTAACAAACACAATACCATGATAAATAGAAAAGTTAACAATTTTAAAAAGTTAAGGAGAATTTTATCAGGGAGACGTACTCGCAAGCCCTTTTATTGTGACCCAGACCCTTGCATTTGCTACACTGCAGTTGGCGTTTGATTACATCCAGGGTATCAGTCTGTTTTGCCTTCGGTCTGCCCGGTGTACGTTTTACTGGTGGAGGGGTTACAGCAACGGCAGCTCCCTCTAATTCACTTTTTGCAGGTTTCTCAACATTTGGCATGGGATTAATCGACTCAGCATATGTTGCACGGTAGCTTTCAGTGGTAAAGTAACTCAAACAGTAATCATATGGATCTCTATGAAGCAACTCTAAAACGATAATGGCGTGACAGCAGGGTAAACCTGTAAGCTGCCATCCTTTGCAACTACAGTCCCAACGATCAATGGCAACTATTTCTACAGACTCACCACTAACATGATATGTGTTTCCTTCTGAGTGTATAACTTGCAGTGATCGAGCCTTTGAAGACTCTCTCTGAAGCTTTTCCTCAATCAACGGGCAGAGTCTTGTTGTCCACTGACTAGATTCAACGCGACGGGTATAGATCATTTCCATCATCTTTCCTCTTAATACATCAACCATCTGAGTTATAGGCAATTCTTCTGCCTCAGATACCCAGCTGTGGAACAATTGTCCAAAGTTCGATGTCATATGGTTGTATCTCACTCCGGGGAAAAACGCATTTGCCCAGTTTTTTGGCTCACTTTGTACGACCCAATTGTAAGCTTCAGGTGAGATAGCTTTTATGTTCTCAGCACACCGTTCAAACGCATCAAGTTTTGGAGCAAATGCAGCAGATGACAAATCTTGGACCATGAGGCGTCTTGCTTCATGCGAAAATTGCCCTTTCAAATCCCTGTTCAGTTTCTTGGCGAGATAGCGGAGGCAATAAGCATGATAACAATCATCACCAAAGATATCTTGTAACGCCACACTAATTCCTTTCTCTAAATCTGCAACAAATGTAATTTGCCTGGATGTTGAAACAGCAGACTTAAGTTCTGAGAGAAACCAATGCCAACTGTCATCAGTCTCTTCATCTACAACAGCAAAGGCCACGGGAAAGACACCATCATTACCATCTGCAGCTGTCGCAGCCAACAGCGTGCCTTGATATTTTGAGTAAAGAAGAGTGCTGTCCAGGAAAATAAGCGGACGGCAGGCTCTGAAACCAGATATCGATGCATGGAAAGCGACAAATAAACGTTGGAAGGTGGAGTCCTCCTTTGTGGTGAACTTTGCGATACTGCCGGGATTTGTTTCCATTATCTTTTCACAAAAAAAAGGTAGTAGGGTGTAAGCCTCAGAATGGGATCCCTGAAGCTGCTCCCTGGCAATCTCCTTAGCACGCCTTGCTTGGGAGTAGTTGAGTTGAATGCCATACTCACGTTTTATGTCCATGGCAATGTCCTTAGGCTTGTAATGGGGAGACACTTTAAGCTTTTCCTTGATCATATTTGCTACCCATCCCCTCGTAGCACGGTAACCAGCTTTAACAGAGGTTCCTTCACAAGTATGCTTAGGATTCATTTTCTTGATACAAATGAGCTGGGTAGTAGCTAGCCGAGAAGCGTGTACCCTCCATGGACAACCTTCGATCTTGCATTTGACAGTTACCCGGTGGCTGTCATTCTTCTTATACTTGTAACTGAATCCGTGGGCAATCGAGTATTTATGCAGAGCTTCCCGGAATTCAGGGAAACTATTAAACCTTTGGTCAACACCAGTGATAAGATTCTCCCATTGAATGGCAGCTCGGCGATGCTGCTCTTCGCTACCAGATGGATAACTATCAAGTGGTGACTGATTAATTGGGTCATCCATCTCCACATCACCAAGATCACGAGGACCGAACAAATCATCAGCTAGGCCGGGAACCACTGCCTCTGATGCAGTAGTTCTGCTTGACCTGCATAAATCAAGTTTTCAGGAAAACGGCATAATCACTTAAGTGGACCCTTTATCCTTCCAAATATAAACAAAAAGAAAATCCATCAAGCAAATCAAACTAAAAATCATCATCATCATCATCATCAACAAGAAGGAGTAATACTCTGGGATCACGGTGAACAATCAAATATAGGGAAGGGCTAGTCATCATGTTCTATCCACAACCACAACTAAGCTATACAATGTATATACCAACAAACAAACTGAAACAGACAAGAAGAAAGAAAGGAGGGATTGAAGAGGGCAAAATAGTAGTACCTACTGACGGGCGTGTTGGAAACATTGCGGGCAACAACAGGTTGTTCCTCGGCAATAACAAAGACTTCAACTTGGTCCAAATCCTTAAAGAAGTTGAACATGCGCTTGAGGTCCTTATCCTTGGAAACAGTGATGAGGGTCTTCTTGTTTCCAGGGAGAAAATACTTGATGGCCATGCCATTAACACTGCACTCAAATGTCTCAGACAATTCTTGCTTGAAATCCTTCAACTGAGTGTTCTGATCCAAGTCCAGTGCATGAGCTTCTCCGCCAGAGTAATACAACGAACCGTCCTCCTCGTTCGTAGCAAAACCTCCTCCAGACTGACAAATAGCTATAATTCTCTTTGCAGAAGCCATTGACACCAACTTTTATACTTCTTTCAATTCATACAAAAAATAAAAAATAAAAAATTGAATGGCTTTTCGAACCCACCACCTGCATTGAACATTAAGCCCAAAAAAACACAAAAGATTACAACTTTGCATGAACCCTAAAACTCAAGATAGAAGACGAGGGAGCAAAATTCAATAAAAACAAGTGAAGGGTTTTGGCCATCAGGGAAAAGGGATGGCATAATTGCTAAGAAACAAAACTCTGGAGAAAAATTTTAACATAATTCAAAGTTTTTTCTTCGATGGTAAAAAAGAGGGGCAAAAAGGAATACCTTGGAAGTAATGGGGTCACGGGCACGGATCTGAGTGAGAGATTGGGTGATGAGTGAGGAGAGTGACGCTAGGAAGTGAAAGGAAGGAGGAATCAAAAACAACCAAAAAGAAATCTGATGGGTGCCTTATTGACTTTCAGAAGAAGAGATTGAGCTGCTCTGCAAATTCTCTATTTTGTTGGGAACTCAATTGACGACTCGTAGAAGAAGAAGGGCTTTTCTCTATGACCTACGGTATATAACTATATATAGTAGGATCCTTATGAAACGGTGTCGTTTGTTTTTAGAATTTATTTTCTTTTTTTATAGTTCTCATGGCGGTTAAAGGATGGAACTTGGCCAAAAATTACTAATCACACAAATTTTATTCTGTAGCAAATTTTGTTGCATAAAGATTCAATCTTGGGACATTTTTACATATGAGCTGAAAATTTGGAAGGAATTATGGCCTACTGCTTCAAAAAAAACCCAAATCCCACATGTCAATTTTTCCTCAGAAAGCTTTCTGCTTGCAAGATTTTTCCAGGTGATTATTTCAGTTGAATTGGAGACTTTAGCTTTCTTTATATGGCTTTGCTTTGCATAAATGATTCATGTTTAGGTGCCATGAGAGGTGAATTGTAGTCCAAAATTTGTTTCCTGCTCTGGTGGGCTGAAGTGAGCTATGTAAAATTCTTTGTAAGTATTGAGAAGAATTGTGCTTCTACTGTGAAATCTTGAAATGGTGGAAATTTCATGGGTTTTAATGAGGAATACGCTTTGATTTATCATATAGTTACTGCACATGTGGTCGTATAGGGCAAAATATACTGTTGAATTTTGAGATATCTAGTCTTTTTGTTCGGTGGGGAAACCTGAGATCAGATGGTTAACTGATTTTCTACCATCAGTGCTCTACAATTTGGCAACAGCCTTCATTCATCTTTGGTAGAAAGATGGGCACTGTCTCCTGTCTTAAAATTTGTTTCAGAAATGAGAAAAGTATAGGGGCACGGTTGTTTGATGATAGTTGTATGGAAGTCTCTTTTTTTCTCACTGAATATAGAGTTACAAAACCGCCTACCAAAATCACACATTTGGCCTAATCTAATTTTTAATAAGAAGAGATCCATTCTCTTTTGCTGGCTTATGAAAGAACCTATCAGTCCGAACTATTTGGAGCAGTTGTAATTCCAATAATCTGCTTATGGATGTCTGTTAATCTTGGTTACAGTTCTAGTTGCTTTGGTTTCTCATTTTATGAAATGAATATTTGCATTGATCTCAGACTTACTATGCCTCTGTGATGTTATTCAATGTATTTCTTTAGTTTAAGCTTTTTCTGCAAAATCCATGGCTTGAATCAAGTGTGGTTATCTAATTGAATGCGGAGGGAGTAAATAGTCATGACTGTTGATATGTTGTACCTGTTCGAGCTCTTATATCTTGGGCTCTGCCTTCAAAAGCTGTCTCAAAGACCTACTGCTTGCCTTTTATTCCGCCCAACTAAGGTTGTTTTACTTCATTACAAGTGATAGAATATTTTTGTTTTTTTCCCCACGAACTGATGTGCAGATGTTCTCTCTTAACCTAGGGATTCTACTACATGTGGAACTGGGAAAAGTAAGTTTCTTTGAAAACTGTGTTGCTCAGATTCATAAAGGGCCCTCCACGACTATTGACTGGTCAAGTATAAATTCAACTGGTTTTTCTGCTAGTACTTTCCAATCCAAGATATTTGAATTGCAAGATGGCTTTGGGTCTGCATTTGATGAAGAAAGATTGAGGATCTTGTGAAGCGTCCAAACAAGGTAGACCTTCCCACTTCTTTTATTTTGGGTAAATGTTAAAATATATTTCAACAAAAACTCGTCCACATCTTTGTTCTTGGAATTGAAACAAATTAGCCTTACTTTAGATATTACAATCAGAACTACACTTACGAAGCCTAACACTTAGGTTTAAAACAAATAAGAGAACTACTAGCTAATACTCAGATCAGCATCTATGGATTAAATTACTACTATTTTCTCTACGAAACTCTGTCCTGCTACAAAACTTTGTCCGTCCTTCACTTCCTGTTTGATTTCAGTCACTACGCATTCAATTGATTTCTGGTTCCCTTTAAATATTTCTTGGTTTCGAGCCCTCCAAATGTGCTAAATTCCTGCATTAATTAAAGCAAACAAACATCTCTGCTTGGCTTTACTTCTTTTCCAGAGTTTTACTATTCTCTTCCAGTTATGCAAACAGATTTATTTGCTGTTTCTGTATCCAAACCAACAAACTGTTCAAACTTCCCTCGTGAATTGCTCCGTTTTTCAATTTTGCTGTGTGCATATGCCGATTTCTTGTTTGCTACATTAAATAAAAAAGACACTGATGCCTCTTTTATAAAAGCTGACAACTTTATCTAAAATTCCTATTGCTGGAGGTTGGATCGTATAGGTGCTGGTGAATTTGAAACTAAAATCAAGGTCCTTTTTGGGCTTAAACATGCTATCGTTAGGCAAAGAAGCCAATCTCCGTGTATAGTAAAATGAGCATCTCTTTGACACAAAATAGGATATTGAAATGAGTGATTGTATCTTATTCTTCTATCTACTATATGAAGAAGCATTTGTTATGACCATAATACATAAATATGAAATCAGTTGAGCACACCATAAATATGTTATGGATGCATTTATTTATTTATTTATTTTCAGTTTTGCTTATTTGTTATACAAAGTATTCTACTCCAGTGTTTATGTTGCTCAAAGTATGCTTGTGAGTCAGGCAACTCCTCTTTAGGTTAAACCAAAGGTTATGCTTATGGTTGTCATGGTATTTTGACTCGGAAGAGTATAAACTATTTGCCATTCATCCAAGTACGAAAATAAACATGGTATTTCGAGTCTTTGACTACTAATGGATTTGGTAATTTAAGTGAACATAGACCCACTGTTCAAGAGTGTCTGACAATAAGATATTGTGCAATCGGCTCTCTAGTGAATGAGTATGAGATGGAGCTTAAACTTGATATATTGGACTTAGAAACTTGCCATTGTAATAATTGACAGTTATTATAGTAAAATCAGAGTGTGTTCTAGTCATTTTTTCCTGCCAAGTTAGAGGTTGGATAGTCTTTGTTTGCGTGTCATCAAATTTTACTGTTTCAGAAATTCTTTCAGCTGCCGAGTAGATTTGTTAACTTACAAGATTTTTGTGCGATATCTATATACATCTTGATAAGTGTTATTTTCTTAATCCCTTTAGAAGCTGTGAAGTATAATAATTTGAAACCATTGGTCTTTAATGTTTTTCATGTTTTAATTTCATTGTTTCATGTGATGCCACGTGATCAGTCATAAATGCACAGACCAGTAATTTATCCATTATTTGCGAAACATGTTTCTTTACTCCGACCATAAGTCAAGAGTGTCCATAAGTTTACAAGTAACGGTTTCTAGGATAGATAAAAGTTGTCACCGAGTGTGCATGTGTGATTGCTAGAAACAAGGGTTTTGTTTACATCGAGGTTGTAGATGGTTCCGCTTTAGATCGTGAAACAAAGGACTTTTTCTCTGTTGTTTCTAACGGCATGGAGCTCGAAAAGGAAACATACAAATATAACATCCTTTCATTGAAACTATGACAACTTTCACCAGCTGTACTATTCCGTTATTTGTAGAACTCTTGTGACACTGACAACTGGGGGAAGATAAGGCATATCGTAGGGTATGCTGCTTGATGGGGGTCCTATAAGAAGGATAAGCCTTCAATGCCTGCTTCTCATGGAGATCCTTACAGGATGGGATCAAGGTAGGAAATCCACATAGGTCCCCCTGTACATCGTTTAAAGCCTTTGCTTAGTATCTCTCCAGCCATCCTACAGCAGTCTCCTTTGAGCTTTTGGATGTCCTCTTTCTGCTTCCTTGTATGATATTTATCAGCCTTTAATATCACGGTGTAAATCTTAGCTTTTCCGGCGGCTTCAATTCTTTCTCTTTTTTGTCCCTAAGACAGGTCACTTCCAGCAGGATTTCATCCTTCTCTTTCCCGACGCGATTGAATCCCTATCTTGCAATTCCACTTTTGGTTATTGTTCCAACTCCATGTAACCTCTAATTAAGGCAAGTACAATGTGTGTGTGTGTGTGTGAAGGTGGTATCTCAGCCGAAGCTATTTGAGCACAATACTTTTTCTTTGACAGCTTTTGAGTTTAGACATTTGCATGTTTGGTTTATTGAATTATTCACCTTTTCTATTGTGTTTGTCCAGAAATGAATTTGGCATGAGAGTTTACTGCATCAGACTTCATGGTGAAGTTGTGATACGCTCTTATTCGAGTTGGTTCGGGATGTACTGGAAGTCCAAAGGTATCTCTGGAACAATGGTTAGTTTTTTAATTCGTTTCTTGGATTGTATCGTATCTTAAAGCATTTGATCTATCGACTTAATTGAATTTCTGTGAGATACGTAAACTGCGAATTCATGTTTGATTTGAAATTGAATTGCTCCTCTTTTCAGTGTTTTTCATTGATCCTCATGCATTTTCTTATTTGTGCTGTGAAATTGCAGGGCTAGCTTGAATCAGGAGGTGAAAGAAAAGGAAGAAAATTCTGTTAGAAGTCACGTGACCTGGGGAAGGAAAGACAAAGAAATGAAGCTCTCGGAAAAGCTAAGGAGAGGATGCAATGAAGTTGAAAGCATGTCCCTTATGGAACTAGAAGTGCTGGATACTTAAACGAACTAGAAGTGCATCTCCCTTATGGAAAGGAGTGTTTGATGCCTTCCATCTAGTGGAAAAGGGGTTTGACATGGGTTGTTGGTGATGGGGGAACACCTTTTTGGGAAGATAATTGGATAGAAGGGGTTGATAAGCTACAGGATCACACATTGTGCCCAATTCTGGAGAATTTGCGGTCAAGGCAGGTTGTGGATTTCATCAAAGGCGATGGATCTTGGGATGCGGAAAAATTCAGACCATTCTTGGGAAGCGAAGTAGTCTCTCAAGTGTTAAGGATGCCACCTCCGATGGATGCATTAGGAATGGATCGTCCTAGATGGCTTCATAAAAGTCAGGTAAGTTTTCGATTAAATCAGCCTACTTTTTAGCTCTTGATGAGTCTCATTTGCAGGTCAACAATGGCTGGCGAAAGGTGTGGAATTGGAAAGGTCCCCAAAGAATTCGAACTTTCCTATGGCTGTCCATCATGGGAGGCTTACGACGAATGAGTTGTGTAAAAAGAGAGGATTGATCCCGACAGAAGTGTGTACATGTTGCAACCGGGCAGTGGAAACCACCGTGCACGCATTAAGAGACTGTTCCCTGGCTAGAGATGTGTGGCAACAATTGCTGCCCCCAGTCTCCGACCAGTTTTTTATCAGCTGGAGCTAAAGGATTGGCTGCGCACAAACCTGGAGAATGCAAATCCCAAATGGCGGACCATGTTTGGAGTGACCTGCTGGATGATATGGAACTGGAGAAATGATCGAGTATGTAACGGCAGTCAGATTTATGTTCAAGAAGCGGTCAGAGCAGCACAACGTAGAGCAGAGGAAATTGACAGAAGCCAATTACTTTTGAAGTGGCAGAAATTGGGAAGGGACAGTGAGGTACAGGTTGGATGGAAGAGACCGCCGTTGACGTGGTTTAAGGCCAATTGCGACGGTGCAGTATGTACTACGACAAGGGAGGCAGCAGCTGGAGGGATTTTGAGAGATGACAGGGGCTTTGTGGTGAAAGCCTTCAACAAAAGTTTTGGTCATTGTACTGTGAGACAGCAGAACTGAGGGCGATCCTCTTAGCATTAGAGGTCGACAAGAAGCTAGGAATCGCAAAATTAATATGCGAATTCGACTCTATAGCAGCAGTAGATCTGATCCAACGTATGAAGGATCAGAATGAAATCCCTCTGGACCCAGAATTAAGAGGGATTCATGCCATTTTGCGCTCTAATTGGGATGTATATTTTGTGCAAACGTGTAGGAATAATAATGTGTGTCGATATTTTTGCTAAGACCGCATTAGGTGTAGATAAGAGATTATGTTTTTTTGATGTTCCTCCTCGGTGTATCCATATGTTACTGGAGAACGACTGCAAGGGTTCATACAGATGAAATCGTTGGCTTTAACTTTTAGTTAAGTTCTTCACCAAAAAAAAAAAGAGAGAAAAAAAAAAAAGCATGAATCCGAAGATACATAATGATGAAATCCAGAAGTTCTTGAGATTATTATTTACTAACAAAACACGACTGAAATGAAATGTAAATTCTTAATACCCTGATAAAAATGGTACAAAAAGAAGCATAAGAATTTATACTACTTTTTGTCCAATATTATTATCCGTCCACTCTGTGAACATAAAACGGTACAATAAAATGGACTATGAAAGACAGGATTTTACATGGATGGTACGATAATTGGTAAAGATTAAAGGTGTTGTCATTTTCAAGAACAAGTACAACATCGAACAGTTTCTGGATCATCAAAGAGACATTTGCCAATGTAGTTGCCCTGTTCTAGGCAAGCGTATAAGCAAGCATTTCCATGATCAACAACATAGGTTGTACACAGAAGCATTTGGTCCAGAGAATTAAAGAAAATGCCACCAGGACATTCTCCCATGGCCATCTTCACCCCTGTGCCTCCTACAAGCCGAAAACTCGATAAGTTAACCAGAACGGTACTTGACAGACATGTCTTAATTTTGTTTGACAATGAAAGAAACAAAAATAACTAATGTAGCTTAATTAAATATAGTACGTACCAGGGTTGAAACCAAGCAGGATGGAGATCAATAGTGCAGGAACCAAAGTTGTTTTGAGCTTCATTTCTTCTTGTTGAAAAAATGTCTGCAATACACAAATTGTTGAAGGAAAATGTTTTGGAAATATGGTTTTCTTAGGTTGGAGGATTCTCAAATATGAAATTAAATTCATATTTATAGCCATGGAGAAGCCTTTTGGTTGGCTGAAAATTTTTTTTCTCATACAGTCAATGAATTAAAGTTAGTAGAAAACTTCTTAGTTGGATTAAAGTTAACAGAATCATTCATCACATTAACTGGATTTAAGACAACATTCCAACTCAATAACGAATGAATTCCCTTGAACCATGTTAATTTCGTACTCTTTCTATTTTAAATTAGAAGTCGTTCTATGACTTTCAAATAAATTATGAATACTTTAGTACTTTTTAATTTTATCCTTAATAATAATGATCAAAACTCCCCTTTCAATTACAGAATGTCAGTAAATTAATAACTTCTAGCAATTAATAATTTTTTCTGGTGCCAAATTGGGATCAATACAAAAAGTAAAAACAAAAAAAATCGATAAAATAATAAGATAATAATGTCTCAGAAAATTTTTTATATTTCTATAAGTCTCAATAATACTATAAATTAATAATACCATAAATTTAAAAAAATAATTATAATAACTATTAATATTTAGTAAAATGTGAACTATTGATACTTTTTTTAAGTCCCTAAAGATGATTTGAACGATATATGAATTTTTAGTATTCAGGAAAAATTTTGATACTTGATTGATTTTTACGTAAACACGATTGCGAATTAAATGATTTAGTGAGGGTTTTTTTTCTCATATAAATTCTTTAAATTAATAAATTATTAATTTATCGATTATTTAATAATTCACTAAATTAATAAAATTTTAGTGGTCCCAACACTATTAATTTATAGAAGTTCTACTGGAGTTGGTACAAAAGATAATTAATGTATAAATTATTTTTTAATGACTGGCTTTTCAAGAATTTTTTCCTTAAATATATTTTCTTATATATACCTGGACAAAAATAAACCTTTCAAAAATTTTGTGGACAAACTTATATGTCCCGGATTTAGGAAATCCGAATGGGGGTAAACTCGGATTTCGGAAATCCGAACCCCAATAAACTCGGATTATAAAAATCCAACTTTGTGTTACGTAAATCCGATATTAAGTTAATGACAAAAATTAGTGTAATTAATCTAAATCCGGATTTTATAAATCCGTATTTATGAATAAAATATTACTTTCCGGATAGAGAAAAAAAATATGTTGAAAAATTAAATTTGGGAAAAACCGGATCACGGTAATCCGAATATACGTAGAATCGGATTACCGAAATCCGAATCTCCTCTGTTTTCTGAAAAATGGGGACTCTCAGTTGGCTACAGACTCGGATTTCCAAAATCCGAATCCTTTACAAAAAGTCTGAGTTCGGATTTCGTAAATCCGAGTCTTTGTCAGAACTGAAAAAAAAATTGGACTGGTTTTCACCAGTCCTAAACCAGTTTACAGCACCAACAACAATGAAACATTGGAAAACAGAAATTTAATGGCAACAAAACAATAAACGGCATTCGATTAACAACAAAACAATCAAGTTTCATACAAAAATCAATACAAAAACTACTTTAAATGTGCAAAATACATCAAATGTCTCATTTTTTCCCTTTTCCTTTATTGTGCGCATCCGGAGTGCATTTGTTTGGACCCTGCCGGATCCTGTCTCCACTCTTAAGATACGTGAGTATTGAACTCTGTTGTGGTTGCGACTGTCCACCAAACTGAGCCTCAAGTTGGGGTTGGGATTGGGACTCCCCCATGGTGAGAAATTTAACTCCCGGTTGTGGTTGTGACTGTCCACCAAACTGAGTCTCGGGTCCACCAAGGTCAAAGAGTCTCGGGTCCACCAAGGTCAAACTGAGTCTCGGATCCACCAGCGTCTTCAAAATGAGTCTCGACCTGAATGCGCGAGCCTCGAGAAGAATGTGCTTGATCCTCATTTTGTTAACCCTCAGTTTGTTGTTGCGATGTCCGAGGGGGGATTGTGACCTTCCTCTTTCTTCCTCCTCCAATCTTATCTCTCGACCACAGTTTCGCTTTTTTACCCGGCGGAGGTTGTGAGGGCAAAGATGGATCTTCATCAACCAGGATTTGGGTATCCTCCACCTCCATCTCATCATTTGCGCCCAAGATTAAAGCAGCATGTGTTTGATTGATGATATCGTCCAAATGCTTGTCGAGTTCTTCGTCTAGGAGATTATCATCTTCTCGTTTTTCTCTAAACCTCTCGGTACTCACGCGAATGTTGTTCAATACTTCACCCTGAAAAGAAATTGGGACGTTAATTAAGAGAGTAAAATTCTAAAAAAATAAAAATGAAAAAAAAATAAAATGAAAACATAAGAAATAATAAAAGAAATCTAGAATGAACTCACATATAATTTCACGCGGCTCGAAGAAGTCTCGTATCCTTGAGGTTCATAATTACCGGGATTGGATATCAGTCTGACAGTGTTCACCATGAACCATTCATAGTACCCCTCATATACGGAACCAGGATCTCCTTCCTCCAAATCTCGTAGCACGTACTCTTCTTTCCTATTCCAATGACGACGTACTACGGAATGGTGGTCCACCCAATTATTGCTAGGATACCCAGACATACTGTGGGTGTGATCGAGAAGGAATGCTGCGTTATCTTTAATCATGGGAAGCTTGGGAACATCCTGTATGTATCCAAATTGTCTTACGACTCTGCCCGACTCGTGAGGTTCCCTAATAGCCCAACAGAACATCCAACACCAGGTCGTCCAAATGGCTTGGCCTTGTGTACAGAAATCAGGGAGTTTATGAAGAACATGTGCATATGGTTGCCACCGAAACTGCATGAAAAGAATTTCATTAGATGGTACAACCGGAACGAAAAGAAAGGGGTAATTAATCTCAAAGTAAATATAAATACCAAATTACAAATACTTACATCTTCAACACGCAAGCTTGTTAATTGATCTCTAAAAGGTGGGGTGCTGCTCCTTGGGGCGTCGCCGTAGGTGTACCTATATTCCCACCTTAATGAACAAAGGGGTACATTTGAATTAGTGAAATAAATGAATAAGAAACAAATAGAAATAAACATTGAGTTATTTTGAACTGAAAATAACCCTGCATTCCGGTCGGATGTCACAAAGGGGTACATCTGTGACATTGCGCTCAACAACCCTGCATTCCGGTCGGATATCACACTTACGATTCTATCATACACAACCCACAACCTCAAATTCCTCATAAAAAATGTCCAACTCTCTACTGTCTCCTCATCCACAATCGCAAATGCAACCGGTAAAATGTGCTTGTTTGCGGTATAGACCACCGCAACAAGCAATTTACCCTTGTATCTACCACGCAAAAAGGTTCTATCGATACAAATGACTGGTGGACATTCAAAAAACGTCTCAGCCACTTGTGCAAATGACCAGAAGACGTATTTAAATGTCCTATTTCCCCTGTTCCAACCTTCTTGTCCCTCCTTCCATTCCCACTCTACTACAGTCTCAGGATTAGTAAACTTAAGCGCAACGATATACCTACACAACAACAAGTCATTGTTAAAATATTTCAATACATGTAAAAAAAAACACTAAAAATATTTCAATACACGGATAAAAGTTGATATTTACCGTGGAAGTTCTTCGAAATTCGAGGTCCAATCACCATAGACCGCTTCTATAGCTTTCCTCCTCCCGTGCCGCGGCCTTTTGTATGGGACATCTACTTTCAATAAGGTCTTCACATCTTTCTGTGCCGAGGCTACCGTATAATCTACGTTGTCCTCAACCTTTCTCCTGATGAGTCTAGCAATCAAAGACGCGTCCACACACCGATTGTCATTATCATTCACGGGAGTCATGCAATTATGTGCATCATGCCATCTCATAATTTTATGAAGGCTGTGAGCTTTCAATGACACACGCATCTTCCACTCACATGGTGGTTCACCATCCTCACTTTCCACATTAAACGTTCTGCACCGCACAGCCCACGTCCTTGGACTACTCGCGGCGACCGTATATTTCCTTTTATGATGGATGTTCCATAATTTCACAGCATGCTTTGCTTCTGATTGAGATTTGAAACAAACACCAATGTCCATTCCTTCGGGCGTCTCATCCCACATCTTAAGAGCAAACTCATCTTTGTCCACACATGAGGCATCCCAGTTCCCCATCTTACTATATACATGGCGTCGGGCCAATGGATTACAATCCCTTTCCTCATTTTCCAACCTTTCATCATCACTTTCTTCAAAATCACTCTCTCCGGAGACATCACAGTCTTCTTCGCTTTCACTCGGAGCTATGTAGTCGGAATCCGACTCTTCCCGGTAGTCATCTTGTGCAAATAAAGGTATCTCCTCTTCATCACGGTTTCGAGAAGTACTAGCACGTTCCCCCCTTGGAAAACCACCAAATGACACGTTTTCCAAACTCGTTTCTCTTTCTTCTTGAGTGATATCTTCCAAATCTATGTATAAATCCAAACATGACATTGGATCTACATGGTTCATGAACTCTACATGCGAATCATTCTTGATCTTCACTACACGCCTACCACCGGGACTATCGAAAATCAAAGAAAGGTGGAGTTTCACGTGTGCTGGATCCCAACTAAGTGTCATAGAAATCTTACTAATCAATCCCTCATATGACAACCTTTCTTCGACAAACAAACCATCATCCGGCATATTTGAAAAAGTGTTGATGCTACCGTTCTCTATCACATACTTACTTGTATGATACAAATTAAGCATGTATGATACATTACGTGCCATTGATAACGGTTAAAAAAAAATAAAAAACTAATCATTTCTTAATAACAAAATCAACAAATACACCATACATACTCCATTCATAATTCAAAAAACCTATAAAATACTAAAATACTTATAAATCAACTTCGATATCTCATTAACAACTATGATTTCTCATCTCTAACCTCAAAATCAACACCTAAAACATCCAAACAACCAACCAACATAAACTCTAATCTATCATACATCATTCTAACAATCAAAATAACACAAAACTAAACTAAATAACATGGTTTTGCAATCTAACCTCTTTCAAATAACGATTCCCACGTATCTAGAGGCAAGAATGCATCAAAAGCTCCAATTCGCCCTTGTTTGAGCTGCAAAAACAGAAAATCCAACTTAGTTCTCGAATGAAAACTGCCTGAAATTTTTTTTTCTTTTATAGCACGTTAAACTCGGATTTACGAAATCCGAATCCGTAAGTAACTTGGATTTTTGAAATCCGAATTACATTAGTTTCGGATTTCATGAATCCGGATTTAGTCAATTCAGGATTATTTTATTCATTTTTTGGTCCTCCAATTTATGACACATGCCTACTTCCACCAACTAAAATTAAAGGCAGCCGGATTTCCAAAATCCGAATTCATAAAACCGGATTACGGACTTCCGATTTTTGGATTCAAAAATTTCGTGCCGCGATTTATTAATTTTTAATTAAAGTCGGATTTCACAAATCCGACCGGCACTGTTCATTTAAGAATTTTTAAAAAATTATTATTCAACAAAATTTATTTAATTATTATTTTATTATTAAATATAAACTCAGATTTCCAAAATCCGAATCTTTAATTTTAATCAGAACTCGGATTTCAGAAATCCGAAGAATATAGTTCTGTCCACAAATATTCTGAAAAATTTAAATTTGTCCACGTTTATTTTAATTAATTTTTTTTGGAAAAATTCCCGGCTTTTCAATATGTGTAAAATTGCTACATTTACTTATACTTCGAAATGGAGGCGTATCAGTTTAGAAACTCTTCAATAAATATACAACAATTACATATATGCATAGTAAAAGACGGTTCAAGTTCTATCGTAAACAACATTACCATGACATATGCATATTTACACATACATTTCAAAAGAATAAAAAAGTAATATCACCTGGACATAATAAGAAAATTAGGGCTTTGCTAAATCAAATTGTAGTTCGACAATATATTAAACTCCTTTCTAAACCGTTAATGCATGTCTTCAATGTCTTTGCTTTTGGATCAATGAAGAAGGGTTGAATTATAAATTTTTTTCCCTTTCAAAATGATTCTTACAATAATAGTATAACAACAAACATTATAATTATTTTAAAATGGATTAAAAAAATATAATCATGCAAGAAAATTATAGAGCCAATAATCGTCAAAATCCAACATACTTCTTCCGTCCCGAAATTATTGTCCAGTTTGGATTTTTATTTTTAGTTCGAATTATATTAAGAGTGAAATATCAAATTGGACAATAATTTTGGGACGGGGAATATTATTTTTCTAACATAAATGAAATTTTTATTTTTTTTATTTATTTACTTTTTTGGTCTGGGATTGTTGAATCACAATCTAACTTTCTTGCATCACCTTATGGATTGTCCTAAGTTGATTAGGTTACTATCTTAAGATTATGAGTAAACCTTCAAGATTATCCTTATTGTGTATTAAGAGATTAGGACGGGAGATGGTATTTGCCAGGAGGTTGAGGGTTTGACTTTCACTGTGCATCAAATTTTTATTTTTATTTTTTTTTAAAAAACAAATGGAAACTGGAGGTCAGCTTAACCTAAAGAAAGAAGGAAAAAAAAAAAGAAGAAGAATTAATGGGGGCACAAAAACCATTTAAATGAATACGAGGGGTCGATCTGGCAAAATAAGGAGTATACAAGCCGGCTCAGAAGCCAAGCCGACATACAAAACGCATCACACTACAAAAATTTTAATTGCAAAACAAATTGGGAAATTCCCCCAATAGAAGAGAGCTTCATCAAACAGTATTTTCATGGCTTTTCAAATCTTGAAATTCTGAAACCCTTCAAAGCTGAAACTTGGGCGGGCAAAAAATCCTCGTAAACTCACAAACCCAATTCAAAAAATCATCTTGAGCTTCATAAAGATTCAATCTTGATAGAAATTTGCATGGTTGATTTGTTCTTGTTCATCATCCTCTCGTGTGGGTGGAGAAACAACAAACATATGAGCTGCAGAAACACATACATAAACTTCCAAAAGCTTTGATATCGAAACAATGTCTTACTCCGGTTTCGGAAGGCAATCAGGCCCTTTGGCGCCTATAGCCCAAAACCCGTTTGCCAAATTGTCCCAGAAACCTTCACCACCTCCTCCCCTTGCAAGATCCCCCAGGTGCTAATTCAGTTTATTTGAATTCTTGGTGTTTTCCTTGTGATTTGCTTGTATAGTATTGATCTTTAAGTTGCTTTCCTAGTTGAAATAGTGCTCCAAGATTTGATTTTTTTGCTCTGGACTGAGCTGTATAGAAAACTTTGCTTCTTATGTTCCTCTCCTTCTATTTGTAATTTATGGAAGAATCGGTTGATAGATTGCTTGCAGTGCTTCTTTTTATTGCTTATTTTTGTGCTGCCCTATTCGAGAAGATACTCGGTTGAATAAGAAAAGGACTTGATATTTTGTGTAAGAGCGAATTTTTCACTGCTGCGAACTTTGGATTAATTGATTTTGTAAGGTTTATTGTTTGCTTCATCTGATAAAGGACCTAAAGATTATCAAATTTTGAATTTGTAGAAGTATGATGGAATAGTTATACAGTATTCAGTTATAACTGTTGGAGTGTTTTGGCTACAAGGTTAGGACATTAGTACAATTATTGTATTGAGGAGTGAGCACTCTCATTGCTTATGAGGCATGTTCCTGCATGTTCCGAATCTCCTTAGTTTGTTTTTTCTTTTACATGTGACTCATTTTTCTTTGAACACAATTAGTTGGGCTTTATTGGGCGCTTGAGTTACAGTTATACCTATCTAGAACTTTTATTGATGCAATGCCATTGCTAGCATTTGTCCTCAGCCGAAATTTGTATGAAATTATAATGTGAAGATTCCCTCACCTCCTTTGGCTTATGAAAGAAGCCTTTTGACTAAACCAACCAAACATCCTGGAGGACTTTTAGTTCCAATGATCTGCTTATAGTTGGCTTTTTGGCTGTCAGTTGGGATTTATCAGTTTCGGCTGTTATGACTTCGCTTTACGTTAAAAGAAGTCTGATTTTATTCGTAGAGTACACAGTTTAAGTTCTGCAACCTTGGCTTGTTCACGGAGGTTCGAGTGGTTAATTGGATAGAAAATAGTCTCCCGCATTTGTGTTATACCCCTGCAGCTTATTTGTGCACCTTCTGAAGCTGTATGAAAGACCTACCACTTTGTTCGATGCTTGCCAGTTCATATTGTTCTATGTCATTGCTAGTGGTGGCATAGAATCAAATAATATTCTTCACGTACTGAAGAGCTGTAGTTTTTTCTCAACCAAGGCAATCTCCTTCCCCGGGAACTGGGCCGAATGTAAACTACCGAGACTATGATGCTCTGATTGATGAAGGACCCCCCACAGTTACACCTTTCACAGCTTCAAGCAACTTTTCAAATGGTTTTCCAGCTAGAGCTTCTCCAGTCCAAGATATTAGAAGTGGCAGATCACCTCCTCCTCTGTTTTCTGATAAAGAGAAAATTAGAAACTCCAAAACTGTGAAAATAAGGTAAATTTTTTCCTCCTAATTAACTCCATTGTTCATATTGATGTGCACATATACCACATTCTTGTTTGTTGTTTGATATTGAAAAATAAAATATTATAGCATGCAAAATTCTTCTCATAATCTGAGTTGTCATAACTACATTTTTGGATTAGGTACTTGGAATTGTGTGTGTTAACTATTTTTCTCCTTGTGGTAGTCGTGCAGGTATTCTTCCTAACAGTCAAAATCGCTTGGCTCCCGAGCTAAATGGGCCATCTTTATCGCCATTCCAGCGAAACTCTTACCCAGATGTAGCTCAGCAGTAAGTTTCTGTACAAAACATTTTACTCTAGGACTTATTCTTTAAGGAGGATGCAGCATTGTCTGCAATTAAACTGAGTTGCATTTTAGTGTATATCTTGATTTAATTAATATGCTACCCTCTCTTTGTTAATTATCAGGTCTACTTTGCATTCACCTGCGTGGCGTGAACAGCTGACACCCTCAACTAATTTTACCACACAACTGGCCCAACCATTTATATCACCTGTACAAACAACTGTAAATAATGATCCCAGAAGAAGGTCTCCAGTTCAGTATTCAGATCTTCATGCGCCAAAAAGAAGCAGGTCTCCAGTTTTCCCTCCCCGTGAGGATGGCTCCTCGGGGGACTTCGTTATAGCATCTCAAAATCCGCAGAGGTATAGGAGATATCTAGTGCCATTGCTATGCTTTAGTCTATCTTTGGAGCCTTAGCAGCAGAATTGATGATTGGTGAAACCTCTACAAAGACCTATGAGGGATAGCGTTCAATATGCGCCAACCATACTTCGGCTATTAGATTGATATAGGATTCCTTATAATTTTGTGCTGCTGCTATGCTTTCTTCTCTATTCCTCTCCCTTTTATGTTGCATCTGTTCCTATGTTTGCAGAATCGATAAGATTGCAAAAAAATTAGTTTCTCCAGCTGTATGTTACTCAAAGCCTTATGGTCTTCCTCTAAAGAAAAGCCATTCCTTTGTTTTATGCTTTAAAAACCTGTCGCTATTCAGAAATTTTAGTCTGTGAAATGAGCCCAAAGATCTTTGTTTGGGAGATCCAGTGTAGATTATGGTTTTCTTTCTAAACTTTTAGATGGAAATCGCAGCTCTAATCCATTGGTTGGAAAGTATTGAAATGTGTGAATGGGAATTATAAGAGTTGAAGCAACAGTATATATTTGTAAATGCTACAAAGGACATAGCCCCTAGAGTAGTCACTGAAGTGTTGTTAAGGCTGTAGGTTCATGTTGTAACATTTTGAACATAACACGCTGTTTGATGTTTCTTGTCATTCCTTATATCTGGCTGTATCTACGTTGATTGATGGTTCTCATTTCAAGGCCTTCTGCATCACCTCCCAAAATGAGATCGAGCAATAATTTTGCACCTCCTGGTCCGCAAAGTCATCAACAGCCTCAAAAATCTGGTGACCTTTATAATGGAGAAGTGAGTGCAAATAAGCCTGTAAGCTCTCCAGTTGCCAAGAAAGTCAAGTTCCCGTCTTCATCAAGAAATGATCAAGTTTTGGTGGAAACTTCCAATATCCGAGAAGATGAGGCAGACAGGTATTGGAGAGGTCATGTGGACTTACGGTTAATTTTATTTTGTGTTGTAGTACTTCGTTGCTGATGTAAAATGGTGGTTTTTTTTTTTGTACAGGGAACTGCAGGCAAAAGCAAAGCGGCTGATGCGATTTAAGAATGAATTAAGTAGAGAGACGGAAAGTGATCTTGGTTTCAAAAATCAAAAGGCTCCTGCAAAGAGACACTATCCTGTTGTTATGGCGGAAAAGAAGGTAAATGGGGAAGATGCTGCTGATGTGATGGGTGATTCCTTCAATGGAAATGCACAGCTGCCTGATAATGAGGATGGGAGCTCTTCTGGCATTATTGTTGGATTGTGCCTGGATATGTGTCCAGGTTTGTCATATTACTTTTACAATGCAGCTGTTATAAAGTTTAAAGTTTCGGTATCAATGATGGGGATTGGTCCAGTCAGATTTTATTACCTAACTAAGAGATAATCAATAGAGTGTGTGGTGGTGAAATTAAAGACTGTGTTGCAAAGTTGTTATATATTATTCATTTCAAACAAATGTAGAACAAAGAGGCTATGGTCAAGTATCATACATACTGCTAAGATTTTAGTCTCTGTGAAGTTCAAATGCAGAGCTGCAGTAGTCAGTGAGTAGAACATGTGTATGTTTTGTTATAATGCCATAGCTTGGAATTGTGCCTTTCTCTGAGATGATGAAGGCTGTCCCTTGTTAAATTATTTTACATATCATCAACTTTCATTTGTTATATTTTATACAATTTTATCATGTCAATTGAACTGGATTATCTGTTTTTCATCTTATAGAGTCAGAGAGAGGAGAGAGAGAAAGAAAAGGAGATCTTGACCAATTTGAGCGTTTGGATGGGGATAGAAATCAAACCAGCAAATCCCTTGCTGTAAAGAAGGTAGATACTTGAGTGACGTTACAAATCAACTCTAGAAGCGTGTGCACACCTAATATATGTTAGACATTCTTCCTTTTCAGTACACTAGGACAGCAGAGAGGGAAGCTGACTTGATACGTCCAATGCCAGTATTGGAGAGCACAATGGATTATCTGTTGGGTTTGCTGAATCAGTCCTATGATGATAGGTTTCTTGGCCTGTACAACTTCTTATGGGATAGGATGCGTGCCATAAGAATGGATCTAAGGATGCAGCATATTTTCGGCATTGGAGCTATCAAGATGCTGGAGCAAATGGTTTGTCTTCTTATATTGAATCATTTAAAAGTTTGTTTTAAGGATTATGAGTGATCGGTCATGTTAGGTACTTAAAAATTTAAATTGTTTGTCCATTCTAAATTCTGCTTTGTGTGTTTATGGGGACCTATTATTGCCTTACTAGTCATACGCAGGAAATTGAATTTAGTTCTAGAGAGCAACCCTTGTCCGAAAGTTCTGCACTGCCCTTGAGTTGTATCTGTCAAATTGGCTACACTGTCTTTGACAATTTGTTTTCAATGTTTTGTTGTCAGATAAGACTTCATATAGTAGCCATGCATGAGTTGTGTGAATACACAAAAGGAGAGGGCTTTTCAGAAGGATTTGATGCTCACCTCAATATTGAACAGATGAACAAAACATCAGTTGAATTATTTCAGTTGTATGATGATCACAGGAAGAAAGGAACAAATGTGGTTACAGAAAAAGAATTCAGAGGTTATTATGCGCTTCTCAAACTTGACAAACATCCTGGATATAAAGTAAGTCTACCTTCAGAGATTACATATCTATTTAATTCTTGTTCTGGATGTTATCCATGAATCTAAGTAAGAGCACTGTGCCAGGTTGAACCTTCAGAGCTTTCACTTGATTTGGCTAAAATGACACCGAATATTCGACAAACTCCTGAAGTTATGTTTGCCCGTGACGTGGCAAGGTTTGTCTCAAACCTAGAGTTTTCCAGGCTTAAGAAAGTGATCTCTTTATTTAGGTTCATTGTTATCCCATTGCAGAGCCCGGAGAACGTGTAATTACATTGCATTCTTTAACCTTGCACGGAAAGCTAGCTATCTTCAAGCTTGTCTAATGCATGCTCATTTTGCAAAGGTAACTATCTATTTTGGATTGTCTCAGTCAGTTGATGCTTGTGTAATTTTAAATATCTATTTTAATGCCTTTGTCGCTTTTCTTTAGTTTCACAACTGTTGACAGAACGTGGAAGTGATCGATTTTATGTTTGTAAGGCTGCTCTGTATACTCTGCTTTGCTGATTGTTTATTGAACTTTTTTTCTTTGACCAGCTAAGGACACAAGCTCTTGCTGCTTTACACTCTGGTCTTCAAAATAACCAAGGGATTCCTGTATCTCAAGTAGCTGCATGGCTTGGCATGGAGGTATACCTTTAAATGATAATCATTTTTTCCCACTTTCCTTTTGGGTTTAACGATCGTTATTTCTTTGAGCATAGATATCATCTTAATTTTAGTTCTTGCCATATGCGTGCGACATTAGGAGGAGAACATAGAAGACCTTCTGGAGTACCATGGTTTCACTGTAAAGGAGTTTGAAGTCCCATATATGGTGAAAGAAGGCACATTTTTGAATGTTGACAATGATTATCCTGTCAAGTGTTCAAAACTGGTGAATGAGAAAAGATCAGGATCCATTAAAGAGGATGTCTCCTATCCTCGTTTAGCCCAATCTCCACTTCCCCAGGATACTAAACTAGTCAATATGAGTAAGGGTGTGAAACGGAAACCGATGCATACTCAACCTATTGATGTAGGAAATCATATCCAGGAAAATGACGAGGACATGCTTGATTATGTCCCATCACCTAGAGCTGACATTCAAGTAACACCAACACCCAAAATTGCAGCTACACAAGGGGTTGTAATTGTGGATCAGCCATCTCCTGTGAGTCCTCGCCTGTGGGTACCCTCCACACATGATTCACCTAGTTCACCGGGAAACAGGATGGGAAGTGAAAGGAAGTTTAAATTTGATTCGCCTTTCAGAAATTCATTTGGCAGAAATGCACAAGTACTGAATGATTCACCTAGTTCACCGAAAAACAGGATGGGAAGTGAAAGGAAGTTTAAATTTGATTCGCCATTCAGAAATTCATTTGGCAGAAATGCACAAGTTCAGTCAGAAAGAATACCATTAGAGATCATTCCTTCCAGTGAAGTGACGATGGTATCTAACATCACAACAAAACCAACTTACCCTGTTCCGGTGGATTCAGTTCCAGAACTTTCGACAATAGAAGGACCAAGGGAAAATGATATTGATCATGATGAAGAAGTAATGGCTGATGAAGTTGAAACATATTCTTATGATCAAGAAGTTGCTGAGGCAAAACTGAAGCTGATTTTGAGGTTTGTATCATTTGTTACATCGTTGGCATAGTATTGGTGCTTTGTCTTATTGGTGTTTTTTCAACACATTTCTTTACCAGGATTTGGAAGCGACTTGCTTGGAAAAAAAGGGAACTTCGTGAACAGAAAGAACTTGCTGCCAATGCTGCTTTAAACTCCTTATTGCTGGGCCCTCCAATTTTGCATTTGGATATGGTTAGTTCTACTACTTGTATTAATACCCGTAATTTCCAACCACTATTGCATTTGGCGTTCATAGCACATGATGTTGGCTTCATGCTCATCTACTTTCAAAGTTGTGAATTTTCTTTAAATTAATGGGCGCTGTCAATGCCTGGGATATTCAACTGTGTTTCGATCACTTTATTGTTCTCGGTCTCCCTTTCTCTCTCTCTCTCTCTCTATATATATATATATATATATATAATGTATGTAATTCCTTGCCCATACTTCTGGGTATGCCATGGTTTAGTTGCTGTCCTTGTTGGCTACGTTAGTCTAAGAAAAATAGGAAGAAAGGCTGCATGAGAATGTAGGGTTTGACTTGATCAAGTTTATTACCATGCACTTTACACCCCTTCTTTCTGTCACCCTCCAAGATATACATTTTAGAAAAACTAGTTCGAAAGGGTGTGGTTTGTCTTTAGAGTTTAGACATGCAGAACAGAAGCATCTTTGGTGTACAAGTTGTATGTCAAATGTAATTAGTTAATTTGTTCATGCAGTAGATGGTGTACAAGTTGTATGTCAAATGTAATTAGTTAATTTGTTCATGCATTAGAACTATAATATCTGGACGCTTGTGCTGTTTATTTTTCTAGTTGATTTTGTGTAGTGATATTCTGCACTTTCTGTTTGAAGCTATCAAAATCTCCTGTTGATTTTGACCTCGATCGGGTTATGAGCGAGCGATATGAAATCCAAGAGGAGTCGCTGTCAAGTCTGAATGCTTCAGAAGTTGTGGCAGCGCAACTTAGTGCCAAAAATCCTGATGCTAAATGCCTTTGTTGGAAAATTATTTTGGTAACTCAGGACAGCACATATGGCAAAGATGCAGGAGGAAAGAAAAAGATCCCTCCAATTGATGTAGGCTCGTGGTTGCTCTCTAAGCTTTTGCCTGCCGGAGTTAATGATGAGAATAGTGGTGACTTGCTGGTTTCATCTCCGAGCATGGCAATTTGGAATAAGTGGCTTCCTAGCCAATCTGGTGATGATACAACTTGCTGTTTGACCATAATAAAGGATGTTGAATCAACGGATCTGAAGGATTCAGTTGCTGGTGCTAGTGCAATTATCTTTCCTGTTTCAGATAGCATCCCTTGGGAGCACCAAAGGAATCAGCTTCATAATGTACTGATGGATTTGCCTCATGCTTCAAGTTTGCCTTTGTTAGTCGTCACTGGCTTGTGTGAAGGTGATTTAGATAGCTCCATAATTGAAAAACTGGGGCTTCATGACATTGAGAGAACCTGTATAAGTAATGTTTTGGTATCATTCCTCAAAACCCACCAGACGGATCAGTTTAATGGTTTTTACAGTGATGAGCGGCTAAGAGAAGGTCTACAATGGCTAGCAAGTAAATCACCCTCACAACCACTTCTCCGCAGGATAAAAACACGCAAATTGGTTTCCCATCACTTGAATAATTTGCTCGCGGCTCTTGATGATACAGATGCTCACGAATTGGGTCCCAACCAGTGCATTTCTACTTTCAATGAAGCCCTGGACCAATCTTTGCTGAAGATAGGCACTGCTGTCAAAGCAAATCCTAGTTCTTGGCCTTGTCCTGAGATCTGTTTACTTGAGGAGTATGGTGGCGTGAGCAGAGCAGTTTCAAGGTATTTGCCGAGCATAGGATGGAGTTCAGGGGAAAGAATAGAGCCACTTTTAAGTGCAATAAATGATTTGAAACTTCCTTACTTTGAGGTTGATATACGATGGTTGAGCAACGGTTCCAACTCAGTTGACAGTATTGAAAAACATAGATCGCAGCTAGAGAGTTGCTTGATCAGATATCTCACCGAATCAAGTCAATTAATGCCATTGCCTTGGGCTACAAAAGAGGCCAGTGTCATGATGCAAAAGTTTACTAAGCTCGAGCTTCGCAATTCTGCTTACTATATCATACCAAATTGGGTTATGATTTTCCAGCGCTTATTCAACTGGAGGTTAGTGGAATTGTCGAACAACCCAATTTCTTCAGCTTACGTTTTGGCTCAAGATGATGTTGTTTCCACTCATAGAATTGATCGTCCTTCGGTACCATATCTGGTCCCTCCCTCTCTTGATGAAATGGTTGCAACTAGCTACAGTCCTCCCAGCCCGGAAACATATGACGACAATATGGACTTGGATGCCCTGGAGCCATATTCGGAAGTGTATAAATCAGGGGGCATTGGGCTGATGACCGAAGGTGTTCTTCAGTCGCGTTCAAATGATTCGGAGAGCCGTGAAGATTTAGAGCTGGCTACTAAAGGTAGCAGGGAGTTTAGTATAAGGAGCAACCTCAGAGTGGCGAGGCCTACATACGCCGTACCAAGCAATACTACCGAGTTTTCGTTGGCCCCGAAGACAGTGACAGCAGCAGACAGATTAAGCGAATTGCTGGATAAATGCAACATTGTGCAAAGCACAATTCAAGAGAAGTTGTCAATCTATTTTTAGTTTGCCTATTCTTTTTTCCCAATTTTGTAACATATGTAGCTGGAAATATACTGACCCACTGCCAGAAAGGAAAGCAGAAAGGAAGACCAAACCAAACATTACATGTATTTTGGGTCTCTCATTTCCGACTCTGGGGGGGTCATGTAATTTTATTGTGTGTGGAAATCATAAGAAATATACAACTCACAGGGGGGGTCATGTAATTTTATTGTCTGTGCCTTTTCCTTCCCATTACTGTTCTTTGGTCTTCTCTCTGTTTTTTAAACTGGTAAAACTTTTGGATTTAAAGGCCTTGGTAACATTCAGCCAGGCAAAATGATCTTTATAATACAAGAAAGAAAAGAAGGTGTTGCCCCTGAATTTCGATTCAAACAAACGACTAACGAGGCATCAAACATGAGATTAAGCATATAGCTGACCATTTTTACAATGTAATACGAACTTGTCAAACTTGTTTACGGAAAAAAAAGAAACCCTTGTCAAACTTTGTCATCCGTCAACAGCTATACAAACTCAATCAAAGCAAACACATTCTCCTGCAACTGCAGCTGTAGCTGTAGCTTCATCGACTTTTCACCATTACAAGGGATACTGATCATGACTGGTTCCGGATGGTGGTGCTCCTCTACAAACAAGAACTCATTTCTCTGTTATCCTCTTTACATCACCTGTAATATAGCGCTGAATCAGTATTGTGAAGCACTAATATATCCCAGAATCCATTCAAGTCAAAAAGCAAACGTGCATGCTTCTGTGTACACACTGACTGCTTCAATATTCAGATAAAACCTATAAAGAAGGTTAAAGACGATGCTACATCCCAAACTGAGCAATTGATGGATCCTAACATTTTTAAAATAGAAAACAAAACATTGATGAAGTTATTTTTCAATAAAGTAGAATTCTTACCAAATCGTCCTGAGTAAAAACAGGATTTTGACAACTTCCTGCTATTTTCTGCTTCAGTCACTGGAAAAAAGAACTCAAGTATTAGTTAGTTTCTGAAAAATAAAAACTTGATGGAGAGGAAGAGAGCAACCGAGAGTGGAGTAAAGAAAACTCACGGTGCAGATAGCTGCTCTTCTGGTACTGTAGCAGGGCTTTCATGGATTGACATAAGATGCTGATGACCGAGGCTTTCAGAAAAATCACTTCTAATTGAATGACAAACTTCAGATCCAGAAGGAGTGAAAAAGATCTCTGAACCTCCCTTCTCAACACTCAAAGCATCAGACCTTGTATTCGATTGGCTGCCATCAACATTTGCACTACCAACAAGCTAGTGCAGTTTGAAGAATCTATTAGCTAAACCATACCTGCCTCATTTTCTCATTTTACTTGGGTAAAGGGGAACAGAATTAAAACCGCAAAGAACTTGAATTACGGTAAGTAAATGAGGATGTAGGTGAAGTCAATTTCGTATACAAATCAAAAGTGGCACAAGATGCAGAACATGGGAGAAAACATGCATTCAAGTAGGCGATTTCTACTCGTCTTAGCAGGGGGAGTACCCTGGGGTGTTAGTTTCATGAAATCACGTTATCAAATCACTGAGAGGAAAAGAAAAAGACATCTAAAAGGAGGCAATGATTTTCTGAAGTGGAACCCATGATTACTAATTTCCTCAAATCAACAATACTACAAACTATGGCTAACATTAGTACATGAATGAAGAACTAAAGAACTCAAATGGATTCATACATTAGATAACTCTTTAATGTGTACAATGATGATTGTTATGTCATCTGTCCGGTTCTCATTCTCTAACCATAGTTTATAGGCGTCCCCGGCAATAGTAGCGCAAGCATCACGAGGATCAGAGTATCTACTCACCTGCAGAAAGAAATTAAAAAATACGTAAGCTTAAAAACAACAAATAAAAGCTAATTACAAAGAAATACAATATTGTCAAAACAAAAGTAGAATATGATGCGATCGCAGATTAATATTCAGTAGTTCAATAAAGGCTCCAATGGAGAAAAACAGTTCAAACATTCAAAACATCAATGAACATGTAGTACCAATGTGGCAAGGAATGAAGACAAACAGATTCCGGCAGAAACAAAAACAACAAAAGGAAAAAAAAAAAGATAAGACCGAGAAGGTTAAAACAATTTGGTTTTGTTAAAATGAATTCAATCAAAATCCTTACATACCATATCCACCACTGTTTGGCTCGAGATAAACTCAAAAACCCCATCACTAGCAACAACAAAAAACGGATTTGCCGATGTAAGGTGAACTGCTGATACCTCAGGAACAGCTACTACACCAATCTTCTCGGCCATACTATCACCAACACTCCGTGTAAATGCGGTTCCCGGATACGTCCCATTCTGAACCCACAACCTTGGCGGATCACCACCTTCAGTTTCTTCATCTCCCCATGTCTGAATACCAGGATCTTTAAGCCCTTCAACTTGATCAACACTTAAAACCCTGGCTCCACAAAGTTTTACCCTCTCGCATTCATCTTTCCTGAATGGCGTTTGGTCAAGAGACAGGTCCTCAGCAACAACTTTATTCCCTTCCTTAACAGCCAAAACCGCTCTTGAATCACCCACATTTGCCACATACAACATATCCCCAACAACAAGTACTGTAATAGCAGTTGTACCACTCATGGAATCATCAATATCATTATTGTTGTGAAGCTCTTCATTTGTAGTCAAAAATGCAGAATTATATGCCTTAACAGGATCTTCCAACAATGTAGGGTCCTCCGATAGAATTTCAACAAGCCTATTCTTCACAAATTTTGAACACTGGGTACCATTCAGTCCATGCCCATCAAACACCCCAAAGAAATGTACATTTGGGTTCCCCTGAAGTTGGGTTTTTATGCAGTAACTATCTTGATTTTCTTTATCAGGCGCTTCAGGATAATAACCCCTTTGTGAAAGGACAGAATACTCCAACCTCAACTTGTGGGATGGCACATCAACAATATCTAACGACCTATCAGCAAGAACTTGTATTCCATTACCACGCAATTCTTCCCTTCTGTTAGTACCATCTGGAGATTGTGGATATCTGCCACAGCATTTCCCATGAACACAGCCCATAACAAAGCAGAAATTTCCTCCTCAACCCAATATTATCAACCTCAGGAAAAGCAGACAACTTGTTCGCAAAAAGTTCTGACAGAAACAAAAGATTGCCAAGAAAGAACAATCTTACACCGAAATGCACTCCCTGGTGATAATGCCCAAACGGGTCTTCCTCAATTCCAACATTTAAGCCACAAACATTAGGTTTTCTGACAGAAACCCATGAAAGTTAAATGCCAAATTGAGAAAACCCTACAAGCAAAACCAAACCTAAATGTAAAGTTTGCGCCTTTCCTGCAGAATTATGATTATCTAATGATGGGGGAAAAGGTGAACCCAAGAGAACTTCTCAAGATTAGGATGACCCCATTAACAAGAAATTCTCCGAGAAAGAAAGAAAGAAACTGACTTGACAGGAAGAAGAAGAAGAAGAAGAAGAAGATAACCAAAATGGGAGCATAAGAGGGAAAATGGTAAATCCAAAATCAAGCCTAACACGCAAAAACCTTTTCCTTTTTTTATAATACCTTTCTTTGCTTTGATCATAAAATGGCTTTTTCTGAAATAGTCAGAGAAGAGGGACACATTGTGTTGGGTTTGTGGGGTCTTTTTGTACATAGAAACAGGAAATTATCCAGTGAGGAATAAAGAAAAGCGAAGATCTTGGCTTTAATTTTGATCAACATTTTCCTTTGTCCCTTTTCTTTTGTCCTTCATCATCTCTAAAATCTTAAATTCTTGAGTTTTAAATTTTTTTTGCTTTGTTGGAAGTTCCTAGAATTTGGTTTTATGTGTTTTTATGATTGTATTATGTGTTCAACAAACGCCACATATTAAACTGCAAAAATTGTAGTTAGATAAAACGTGTTACAGAATTCGGAACGAAACCGTGTTATAAATGTCAAAATCCTCTATTTAATTTCTGAAGAAAGAAAATAAATAGAGGAAGAATGATGGAAGAAATGGAGGAAAGAAGAAAAAGGGTAAAATTACAAAGAAATATATGACAAAAAAGGATTCCCTATCACCAAAGACCAAAAAGTAGGAGTTGGAGAAAGTTACGGGGCTTGAAATGTGGACTGTTTGGAAGACAACTGTTTTGGCTATGCTTACTTGATCTCAGACATTGTGAAATGGCCAGATGAATTTGATGCAAAATTGTGTGCATTGTGTGGATTGTCCTTTTTTTTTTTCTTTTGCCTTTTTTTAAACATCGTACTCTTTTTGTTCCAAAATTAATGTCTAAATTACATTTTCATTTATAGTAAAATTTGAACTAAAATATGAAATATCAAACTGGACAATAACTTCATGACAAATTGGCTGAGTGTGAACTTGAAAAAATAATATCAAAAGACTTATTCCCTAAAGAAGGGAGGTCCTCTTGAACATAATATATAAGCGTTCGAGACATCTCGAGCCTGTTAAAATGAAATAATAATTCAGATTGGGATGTCACATAAAATCGATTTGATAGTTTCAAAAACTCCTAACCTAACGAAGGTCATTGTCCTCCTTATTAAAAAGCGTCAAGATGTGATTATTAATATCAGTCTCATGAACATAACTCGCAGTTTTTGTCATTTTTCCATGTTTCCAAATCACGAAATCAGAGAATCTGCAGACTGAGAAAGAGAATTCTCAGGCCTCGGGCTTGTACAGACCTTATTGCCCAAGTGAAAGGTTTGAATAATATTGGGCCTGCAGATTCAAGAGGCTCTTGTAAGACATCAATCGTTTTGGGCTGATTAGCATCCTAGTACTCTACTGAAGTAGTCCTGGTCCTTGTTTCCTAAGCAGGTCACTATTGGCCTCATGGTTTCATAAATGGGCCTGGGTGTACCAGCAATAACAAAATGATCGAAGATAGAAATACTGAAAGTCCAATGATGGAAAAATAAGGAATGACGAATATATCCGATAAAATTTTTAAGATAGAGAAAATTTAAAATAATTTAAAGCAGTTAACTCAGCTAACCCAAAATGAGTATTTTCCTAATGGGGTGAAGCTGATAGTAATTAACTGTAGTGTTATCATCTTGAAGTTTAATTTGTGTGATTATGGTGACTAAAATTATGTAATGCAATACAGTTACACATTTCAGCAAATAATTTTTTCTCGTAAAATTATAACGATATCAGCAGGTGAATAATCTCAGTAAGAGAGTGTCATCCTTTGCTATGTATATCACTGAATATTTTCATTGTTTTTATTTTTATATTCTAAAAATTATCATTTGAAAATAATAGAGAATAAAATATTTTGAAAAGACTAAAAACTTTAATTAAGTAACAAAAATTTTCCAAAAAAAGAAGGGTATGGTAACATGCATGATACTTGATAAGTATCCCCTATAAACTTACCAATAATTTACGTTTAGAGAAGTAATGATAGGCTACAATTAGAATCTAATCTCTTGCATGCATCATCAGCAATGTAATTATGTGGAATGAGCATGTTTTTAGAGTTCCTAAGCAACATTTCAACACCGGCCATTCGGTATCTTCTGGTCCCTTTTCCTAAGTTTAACTTGTACTAATGAATAATTAATGTTAATTACTCATTCGATAACAAAATGGGAAAACACTTTGTAGTTGTTTTGTGAATTACATTTAAGGAATATGAACATTACAGCTCATTAACCTTCAGCGCTCATATTACTAGTATGCATGACTTAATATCGAAATCTCTTGAATCTTTTCGTAATTTTTATTAGGAAGTTATGATATTTTTTCGCGTAAAATCAACTTCTGCTGATACAAAAAGGTAAAATAATAAATAAAAAAGGAAGCAAAATCATGGAATGAGTTTGGAGGAGAGGGAGCATGATGGCCTCCATTGCTTGCATAGATTCATGCCCGCTTTCCTGACATTATCAAATCTTCAAAAAGAGCCTCAATGAATCTCTTGAAACTCTCCCACATTTCCAATCTCTCATTCCCTTTTTCCCCCCTCATTCTTTTTCTTCTTCTTATATAAAAAGAACAATTTTGAAAAAGTAAAACACTGTAGAAGGATATCCTCCCTAGTCCCACCTATATATTAAAAATACCTTTTCTTTTTTTTTTTAATTAATAGACTTAAACAAAAAGTCCAAATACGTAGGTAATTCAAAATAGAATGACAGCATGTTTATGTCATCATTCGAGGATTAATTTGGTGGTTCCATTATCCATTCCAGTTCCCACTAACTAAAAGAAACAAATTAACCATTGATCATCTTGCAAACATTATGGAACATAAGAGATAATGTAATACGGAGAAAATGAAAAGCGATTATTTTTGTTCGACCCGTTTATCAAATACTCTATCCATCCCATAATTATTGTCCAGTTTGGGTTTTCATTTCTAGTTCAAATTGTACTAAAACTAAAATCTCAAACTGGACAATAATTTTAGGACAGAAGGAGTACTATTTTTTTAATGTTAAAAGGCAGGTAATAAATAATTGAGAAAGCATATTCGCGTTTGATAACTTATCTTATTTTACGGATAAAATGGTGTGTAACTAGTGAAACGGATGATACATGATATGAAATAAATTCATAAAAAATGAGATGCAAGATATCATTCATATAGAGAGAATATTAGTACGTAGATCACTCAAAAGAGAGTTTATTAGGAAGTGTAATGCAATTAGGTTAGCGAGATCGATGATTCAAATGCAGTAAAGAGAGAGCAACCATCATAGTACATTAGTACTACTTACATATTCCTTGTTGAGTACTTCGGTTCCATGCTGAACAAACTACGTGGTCCAATCATCGGATTCGGGGGGTGGGTCGGAAAATTTTATTTTTTTATTTTTTTAAAGAAACGACATTACATCTCAAATTTACGAATGCATCCTCCTTTCATAACAAGTAGTAGTTATTATATTAACTTTAATTTTTACGTCTAAGAGAGAATGTCGATTCAGATTGTCGTGTCATAATCCGTTTGTGTTATACTGTTATTTATATACCTTCCGACTCAAAGTGGCTTGAACACAATAAGGGTAAGTGTAAGAAATGAATCGCATCACTCCTATTGTCTAAGTAAGTCAAACAACACATTTTTTTTAGCCATTTTTTAAGAGAAATTTCTAGAGCTTCTTCTTCTTCTTTCTTTTTTTTTAGAAAAAAAAATTGCGACTGATCAAGAGTCGTCAGAAGCATGAGTGATGTATGCGTGGAGGTGGAGCAATCAAGAAAGATTCGAAGGACAGAGAACAAATTGTACCAAAATTTCAGCACCAAATTAGTTTAAAAAATAGAATGTTAAAAAAAAAGAGAGAAAATGATAAGAATTCATAATAGGGCATGGAGGAGGGATCAAACAGGCATGATGTGGCGTGTTTGGGAATCACCCAAATCGAGAGATTTTCGAAGGGCTCGAGGAAGTTTTTTTTTTTCTTTTTTCTTCACTTTTCTTAGATCTCAATATTCCCCAATTCCCCATTCCCATGCATAATTATATTCCACAAAATACTCACTAAATAAGAATAAATGTTTACATAAATTAACGTTGGTGATGATGATTTGTATTGTCTGTGTGGGACACTGAACAAACATTAGAAGAAGTGTTTACATGATGATGAAGAGTTTTATAGAACCACTCGAAACTGTTAACATGTCTTGTTTGCTTTCAATTGAATCTTTTGTTCTTCTTTTCTTCCTTTTTGTTTTTTTTTTGTCCTTTTTCTCTTTCCAAATTGTTTCCATGAGTGACCACATATACTTGTCTAAAAAATTAGATCATAAATATAAACGGTAAAATTATGAGTAAATCCTTTTAATAAAAAATCGAATATACTTCGATTCGTCGTATCTGCTACTGATCAAAAGAGTGGTGATCTATATACCTAGATTTGTATTTGACTTTAGCTATGAGTTTTTCTTGTGCTAATTGGACTTTCCCTCTATTACTTTCACAATGCAAGTGGAAGGATTTAGTGACTAGCACTATGATCTATATTTGACACACACAAACTTTGCAAAAAGGGGAGAAGAAAGAAACCAAATTAAGGACTTGGACATAGCTTTTGGCTACTCAATCTACCAAAATGATCAAGAGTGGTGGGCAGCCACAAAAATGCACAATACTTGTGCGCATGGTACAGTTGCACTCACTTGTGCTCCATCTACAAATGTACATATTTATTGCTTTGAAAAGGAAAAAAACCCCAACTAGTTATCACCTACTAGGGCTTTAAAACTCTATAAACATTTTTAAGTGTTTTTGCCCTAATTTGACTCATCAATGTTAACGATTTACGGGTATTGATAAGCCTTTTCGGCATTAGGGTTTTAACATCATAATTTCAAACAAAAAATTGTCTTTGACGTTTTTTCTGATCAGTTACTCTTTTTCTATACGTATATTGATCTTATCCGTATATACAATTAACATTTTCACATGTGGACAATATATGTGCGCATGCAAGCATGTATGGCGGCTAAAAGTCACTTGTATCCCTCTCAAAACTTTTAGGGTTCATGCTAACATCTACTACATATGTCCCAAGGTGGGGTAATATGTGTCCTTGAATTTTATCCAAGTTAAGATTAACCATGGCCCCTATTGTGTCTTTAAGGAAGGACACAAGTTAGATTATGCGGAGCTTTGTGGGTCCTTTCATGGTGGTTGTCGGGGCTAATAGAAGCCTCTTTTGTGGGCCAAATCGTAAGTTTGGGTTAAATGATTGATTTCTTTTATTTGTTTATTTTCTTTATTTAGTTAAGGAGAGATTGAGATTAAAAGGTGACTTTTGTAGGTCCATAGATCTTCAAGATTGTTAAGATTATTGGCTTCCATTAGGAAATAATTAGCACATTTAATTTTGGACATTTTTTGTTTTTTGGCCTTTTTTTTTTTTGTATTGAGCAAAACTCAATGAAAGCCATGAATATTAGACGGAGTTGTAGTTAATTTCCCATTAATTTTATCTCATGAATTTGGTACTGGGGATGATCATATGAGAATATGAACCATTTGATTTGAATTTTAATAGTGATTAAGAATGAAGATGATGAGTTTAATTCATAATTAATTATATTCGTCTGTCAATCAAACGTGGAGAAGTTGACCATTTTAGTTCACTTGTTGCCCAGCGTATGGAGATCATGGATAATGTAAAAGGGACAAGTGAACTTATTTTAGAGAGGTGTAACCTTCATGCTAGACTTTCTTTCTAAACAAGTCCAACAATTCATCATATTATAAAACTTTCACATAATAAATGACCCTTGGAGTAATGATAAAATAAACACTAGAATGAAGTAATGTACTATACTTATTTATTGATAGGGTCTTACACTACATAATAAAACTTAAGAATCGTATAAAAACCCATAATTCATCTCGACTATACGTCTATTCAAATCGCTCTGAAATCATAAATAAATTTAAACTACTCGATTCACTATTTGTGTCATATGCCATATAACTCAATTGTGGGTTGAAAATTGCCTATTAGTATATGGGTAATGTGAAAGGCGTAGAATAGGTTAATGTCAAGGGGAAAATGGGGTTTGGTGGTGCGCGTGCTGCACAAGAGGTCGAACTTGTCATAATGTGAGTGTGCCAGCCACCAAAAAAATTGTTCATGACGCATACATATATACATTACACACATTTGATCTTGTAGGAATCATTTCTCCCTTTGCCCTAAAAACTCCACACAATTTCCCTTTCTAAACTCAACATTTGACATCATTTCTACTCCTTTCCAACTAGATCTCCATCCATACATGACATAATGTATTTCCTTCCAAAGGCACATTTTTTTGTTCAAATTTTTGATGAATTTTTATAACAAATATACATATAACGCCAATAATCCTTATTACAAAACTCAAAACTGATAAATGTATCAAGTTATGAGCGTGTAGTTAGGTTACAGTTACACACAGACAGAAGTAACAATTATATATTGGTGTAAAGATTTAGAACTTTTGGATCATCCAACTTATCTTTTGGTGTCTTTATGTATAACTTATTTTGCATAATTTTCTTTGATCCACCAAATTACTTTCTACTTATAGCTACTGCATGCCTACTGGGAAGTAAAATATAGTAAAAGACTTATACAGTATGATGATTAAATATATGGTAAGCCTTTCATTTTGTAAGGTGCAAAAGTAACTTAAAAGCTAAGGTCTAGGGAGGGGGGAGGGGAGGGGAGGAAGATTTTTGTGATGAGTAGTGTAGAGAACATTAAAAAGTGAAGCAACTCTCATAATACTTTCTTGAATTGGAAAAACGTACTGTTATACCCGTAGGGCTATTAGCTACTACAAGTAACTAACCTGCTCATCATTATGAAAAGAAAGCAATGTGTATATATACACCTAAACCATCTTGCAAGTAAATCTTCTGAATTACACAATTTTCAGGCAATTCTGTTATTGTCATATATACTCTGCCTCATTCATTTTGTGGTGTTAAAGTTTTACAAGGCTTGGATGAATTCAACATTAATTGAACTGATGTTTACACACATCAAGATGAGATGAGAATTTACATACACCTTAAATTTTGTACAACCACTGTGATTCACTCAGTGAAATAACGATAAACTTTTAGTTCCAACGAAACATGAATAAGAGTTAGAATCACGGTTCAATTGAAGCATAAGCCGCTCAAAGAACCGTACCTTGATCGTAATATTACTTTATACTTTCAAACTATGTCTCGTTTGAGCGAAATTATTTCATATAATGCATGAATATTTAAAAGAATACGCGAATAATAATCTAGACTTCAAATAATGTCCCTCAAACGTTTACCTCATATTAAAATTTGAAGTTAAAGAAACAAAAAAAAGGCAGCAAACAAGCACCTATTTTATATGGATATTGTAGTAATTGTATGGTAAGTCACGCCTGATTGGTACTAGTTGATACGTCCATGGGGAAAAAAAAAAATTCAATTGATGATTTTTTTTGAGCACGTCTATTATATAAGCTCTTTAAAATAAAATAAATACACTAGCACACACCTGCCCACTTCTTGAAAGACAATGCTATCCTTTTGGACCAACCAATTGTTTTTTTCTACTTCAGTTTTATGGCACACTTAAAAAAAATTTGGTCTAGTGAGAGAGCCAAGTGCTCTTAGATATGATTATGCAACAGTATTTGTCTCCTCCTTCCATCACCATCAAATCCCCTCTTCTATCTAACTCCAACAAAATTATCCATCCAATTCAATTCTATACATGTTAAAGAATTTAACTTTTAGGAGTAAAAAATCACTGAGAATTTGTATAAACTCTATATTAATTCAATGGCTACGCATGAACAACCACATGTATAGATCATATTATGAACAACATGAGTTTGCCTTACTCTCTCAAACATTGGGGTTTTCTGTTTGGTTGTGTTTTGGCTTTTGTGTGTCCACTTGAGAACATCTATATGAGGAAATCAAAGAGTGGCCTCTTGCCTAGGAACTTAATAATTGTTGTCATGCCTTGATAAACATATACCTTATTATTATGTCTCTTGTTTTTTTTTTTTGTTCCTAAACTCAAATCACATCCACAAGCTTCACAATTTTCACAATCCAACCCACTCGTTCATTCATTCTTCTTAATGGGTTGTCTGTTTCCTAAAAATATATCATTCATTTACCGTACACAAAATAAAATGAAATTCTCATAAACACGATTGTACACTTAAACCTATTTAAGACTTCTAGCAATTAATGAAGTAACTTTAAAACGATTTCATGTGACCAACTAGACAAAAACCAATTGATTCATGGGTTATCTGGTTAATAAAAATAAATAAAATCAAGTAAAAAATAGTTATTTTGAGAAGGAAAATTAAAATGAGGAACTTAATTTTGTTGAGGTCGTCCCCATGGGCGGGAGGGGGCATTGTGTGATGCTGCTCCTGAGAAAGAGGAATCTCGTGGCGTTTGCATATTTATTCTCTTCTCCACTGGCCAAGCAGGAGTGATGCGACATGTGATACCATATTTTATTCCTCAGATTGATCATGTCATTTTCTGAACCTCCCCCTTCAATCATACAATATTAAACGACAAAAATCTTTCACAAGCCTGCTCCTAAAATGTCAAAACTGAATATTTTTATTACATGTATATTTTAGTTTCCCATAATACCTTACCACGTCTCCAACACAAAAATAACACACTAAAATAGTTTAAATTGAATTTTAAGATTTGTACTTTTTTTTTCTAAATATGTAGAATAAAATAATTCGATAATTTAAACAATACATATTTTTCAACGAGAAAAGACGCATCAGATGTTGAAAATTTACTGTCTCTGTCATTACTATGATTCTGATAAATGTGAGAAAGTCAGAAAGAAAGAGGGTACCAACAAAAGAAGAAGAAGAAGAGTAATACCATTACGTAATGCGCATGGGAATGAATTGTTTTCTTTCTTCATGTTATATATTTTGTCTTTGACAAACAAAAAAAAAAAACAATTAAAAAAAAGAAGATCATTTCTTCTCCTCTCTAGCTAGCTATATATGTAGCTATATCAAAAATGTCATCACCAAAATTCACAAAAAGAAAGCAAAAATAAATAGAGAGGAGACCATAATATCATCTTGTATTCATTATATGCTCACAATCATTACTCTTGGTTGCCTCAAACCCGCATGCAAACCATTTTTTTGTGCCCTTATTCTCTCAATTTCTTCTTCCTAACTTCTTGTCTTCCTGCCTCCCTTATTCATTCATTCATTATTCTTCTTCTTCTTCTTCTTCTTCTTCTCTTTGAATCATTTTCCCTCCCTATAAATACTCATTGTCCCTGTACCCATTTTCTCACTCAAAAACTCTCTTACCATTTCCACTCTTATAGCACCAAAAAAAAAAAAAAAACCCACAATTACTTCATATCTCTTTCTCAAACTCATTCAACTTAAGTTGCATTTCTTTTTACCAAAAAAAAAAAAAAATTATTGATCACAAAGAATGGCTATGTCTGGATTTGAAGGGTTTGAAAAAAGGCTGGAGCTCCATTTCTCTGGGGATGACCCGGTGGCGGGAGCGGGTAATGGGCTTGGGCTTAGGCAACTGGACTTCGAGTCCATTGAGGAAGTCTTACACGCGGTCCAATGTACGGTGGTTTCGGCGGTCGGAAACCAGTTCTTCGATTCCTACGTCTTGTCGGAATCCAGCCTCTTCGTTTACCCATTCAAGATCATCATCAAAACCTGCGGGACGACCCAGCTGTTGAAATCGATCCACCCGTTAGTGAATTTCGGGTCACAAATCGGGTTGACCCTGAGCGCGTGTAAGTACACCCGGGGCAGCTTCATTTTCCCCGGATCCCAGCCTTACCCACACACCAGCTTCCAGGATGAAGTGATTTACCTGGAAGAGAATATTCCGGCGAATCTCCGTTACCAGAAGGCTTCCGTCATGCCGTCGAAGATTCCGGCACATTCCTGGCACGTGTTCTCCGCGTGCGACGCGGGTCACGTGATGAAGGACCTGGATTTCGTATCCGACCCGGATGAGGATTTCTTCACGATCGAGGTTTGTATGACGGAGCTCGACCGGGTCCTCGCCCGGAAATTTTTCCGGCGGTCGAACGACGGGAAAAATGGGGATTCCGCCGGGAGGGAGATGACGGAGATCACCGGAATCGGGGACGTGAATCCCAATGCGGTTATCTGTGATTTCGCGTTCGACCCGTGTGGGTATTCGATGAACGGAATCGATAATGATCGGTATTCGACCATCCATGTTACGCCGGAAGATGGGTTTAGTTACGCCAGTTTCGAGTTTGTGGGTTCGGTTTACGACGATCAGAATGAGGTGGCGGAGGTTTTGAAGAAGGTGGTGCAGGTTTTCCGGCCGGGGATGATGTTGGTGTCCACGACGGTGAGCGGTTCCGGCGGCCGTCATCATCATGAGGTTTGGTCGAGGATTGCAAAGGCGGTGGAGCCGGTCGGAATGAAATGTAGAAGCTGCACCCTGGATGAGTTTCCGGCAGCTGGGACCGTCGTGTTCCAGACATTTACGCCTCGCCGGAAATAGCCACGGCGGCGGTCGGTGGTGGTGCAATGGTGCTAATATTTTTAAGTAGGTAATGTGTAAGTGTTCAAATTAAAAGGAGGGAAAATTTAGTAGGAGGGGCTTTTTAGACTTTTTAGCCAGATTTTGTTGTTTTTATTTTTTCTTTTTTCTTTTGGGGGTTAAATTATTAGGGGAGTGGGTGATTATTCATGGTTTATGTCATTGTGGGGGTAAAATTAATTTAATGATAATCAAATTTGGGGGGGTTTTGACTTCTCTCTCATTGTAGAAAGATAATTTGTGGGGATTTTTAATTTATGGAAACAAATGAGGATGATCCATGAAGAGTAAAAGGATGGAAAATGGGATTGATCATGATCATGCACCCCACTATTTCTTTGTCACGCCTAGACAAAAAAATTTTGAGGTATACCAAAATTTTATGTAGTGGGGGGTTTGATATGAACAAGTTGCTCATTTTCTACCATCCTTTATTTTTTTCATCTCTAATCAAAGTTTTTAATCGTATTTTCTTTATCTTAACGTTATTAAGAATTTCGTTTATCGTACTGTTTTAATTCGATAAACAGAGATAGTACTATCTGATTTGAAGATTGAGGACAGATAATACTATGAAATTGATGAGGGACATAAAATCCCACTTTATTGGTTTGTTGTGGCTATTGATAACTTACAACATGGTGACATAAGATATTACACAAATTTTAGGGTCCTACTCATTAAAAAAAAAAGTGATCAAAAGGGGGGATCAAAATCAAAGCATGCCTAATGAAGCTGTTTAACAAACAATAAGCAATTCAATAAGAGCATGCATTACAGAGGGAGAGAATGTCAGCGTGCAAATGTTTTGCATCTTTTCACCCCTTTTTTTTTATAATTGATTTGATTGAGTTTGGTGTTTTGTCTGGCGGCCTTAAAATCTCCAAGAAACAGATATATTACTACCAATTTCTTTATTTTGAGAACGCATGCAACTGCATGACGTAAAAGATTAGCACGGCCAAAAGCAGCATCTTCTCTCATATTTCTCCTGACTCTCCCCCCCCATCCCTCTTGGAGACTTTCATTTAGTTCAGAAAAATATACCAAGATTTCGACTTTTCGTCCCGAATCATGTTTGTTGTACAAAAACAGTCAAATAATATGACCTCATTCTAACAAAATATACAAGTTATGGATTGTTCACATGCCATACGAGTTAAAAGATGTGATATATTTGGTGATGATCCTTGTGGTCTGATGTCAATATTTCTTTTTTATTATTATTATTATGAGACGTATTCTTTCTATCCCGTAAAATTAATTCACGTCGTACAATTTACAATGTGGCATTGAGCAGGGAGTATATGAAATGTGTAAAGTATTATGCAACTTGAAGTTGACTAGAAATTAAATTATTGAAAAAAAATTTAATAGTCACTTGTGTGATCAATTTGAGCCGGAAGGGTTGAGTTCTCATTTCTCATACAGTAATTGATTACTTCCTTCCTTCTTTTTCCCCTCTATCTAATATCGATTAATAAGGTTATTACTTCCGTCCCACAAAAATAGTCTATATTGAGTTTTCAAATTTGTACTAAATACAAAAATAGTCCACATTGAGCTTTTAAATTTGTACTATTTAGTACAAATTTGAAAACTCAATGTGGACTATTTTTGTGGGACGGAAGGAGTACAATTTTGTTTCTAGAGTTTAGTAAAACTAGTGATATTTGAAAATTTCAACAAAACTTACTTCATTGCATTTGTATTTCCCAAAACTCTAGTCCCTCTTACATATATAACAGTGTTTATTTGACTGTTAAAATAAGGTTGAGATATAACTGGTAACAATTATTTTTTAAAAAAAAAAATGCCAATATTTAGTCCAGCCAATTATGAAATGAACTAGTGGCTAAAACAATACAATATAATTATAGGCGTCACCTACCTTAAGAATGTAACAACTTTTAAGTTTGATTTGTGTCCTTTTTTTCTAAAATATTTTTTATGCACAATTTCTACACCTTAATCTATCAATATCTATATAAACTCCACAATAATTACAAATGCAACCATAAAAGCATTTTTTTAGAGAGTATATCATTAAATGTAACAAAGGATATCATTTGTAGTTTTATCATTTCTTTATTAGTTTCAATTTTGGCCCCTAATTATCTTCAATTGGCGCCGGGCATGATTGACCAAAAAGAGATTGGGAAAAAGGAAGGGGGGTAAAAGTCAACGTGGAAAATTGGTGAACCCATGAATTAATTAAATCTACCTATATTCGAATATTCTCATAAATATAATCAAATTATAAATATTATCTGTATATCTAAACGCTTTTTTCCGAATTTTTTTCTCTGCCTTCATTCCCTCCAAGTCATTTCATTCTTGGACCATTGGACTTGCTGAAGACTTCCTAAACTTTCTCCGATAGCTTTCCACAATGAAATCTTTCCCAATGGTTATTACTTATTTCTTCATTATCCTTCATAAACCCAAAGCTTTGAAGCCAAGAGGGCAAACGAAAAACCAAAAAAAAAAAATAATAGTTATTCCGACCAGACAGGATGGCCTTTTGGAGCAATAACAAACCTCATGTAATACTCCTTGGCCTCCTGTCTCTCCTCCTCCTTCAACCTCTTACAACCACCACCTTTTTCGCCGATGCCATTCGCGTCAACCTTAACCCGGCGCCTCCTTCCGACATGCTTGCCTTCAGGGAGGCGCCCGCGTTTCGCAATGGCAACGAATGCAGCTCGGATAAGAAAGATAGCATTCATATAGTCATGCCTCTTGACGTGAACTACATCCGTGGCACGATCGCGGCGATTCTGTCCATATTGCAGCATTCGACCTGCCCGGAGAACGTTTCTTTCCATTTTCTTTCCCTTAATCTTGAACCTGAAATCTTCTCGTTGATCAAATCTACCTTCCCTTACCTTACATTTCGAATCTATCGCTTCGATTCTAATCGAGTTCGTGGGAAAATCTCCAAGTCTATTCGACAAGCCTTGGATCAACCTTTGAATTATGCAAGAATTTACTTATGTGACATTCTTCCTCCGGATGTTGGACGTGTAATCTACCTAGACTCAGATATCATTGTTGTAGATGATATTGGGAAGCTATGGGGTGTGGAATTGGGAGACAAGGTATTAGCTGCACCTGAATATTGCCATGCAAATTTTACAACCTATTTTACAGACTCATTTTGGTCAGATGTTAATCTATCAAGAACTTTTGAAGGAAGGCGACCTTGCTATTTCAACACAGGTGTGATGGTGGTGGATGTCGATAAATGGCGAAAAGGGGGATACACACAGAAAGTTGAGGAATGGATGCTGATTCAGAAACAAAGGAAAATTTACCATTTGGGATCTTTGCCTCCGATTTTGCTCATTCTTGCTGGCAACATCAAGCCGGTCGACCACAGATGGAATCAACATGGTTTAGGTGGTGATAACCTTGAAGGCAAATGCAGAAGCCTTCACCCAGGTCCCATTAGCCTGCTTCATTGGAGCGGGAAAGGGAAACCATGGTTGAGATTGGATTCCAGGAGACCTTGCAACGTCGACTATTTATGGGCTCCATATGATCTCTACCGCTCATCCAGAGTTGCATTAGAAGAGTGAATCAGAAGCAGACTGCCATCAAAGGATATATAAAGGATGCAAAACACCAAGACTGGAAACGCGACTAAGAAAGACGAGGACAAAAATTGAGGAAGAGAGAAGAAAAGGGATAAAATGACGAAATGGTTGTTGTAGGAGAAGATAATTCTGCCCTAATGGGAGATCTGTCGGGGCTTCTTCACTTCGGGTAGATGACCCTGAGCCTATGAAAAATAGAGTGATACAGTAGGCTCTTAAAGTGGTCATAATTTAGCTAAGTCATGCCCCGATATCTGTCTATCAACTGTATAAATTCTTTCTAATAGTAAGCTTGTAAGGTTTTGATCTAATCACATGATTGTCACCACTGAACAAAGTGAGTTGAACAATTTAGTAAAAATCCATGAAAGCTACTATATGCTTGAACCTTATGAGATTTCAGAACCAATGCACATCAAAAGTAGAGAAACAGGAGATTAATCAATTTTGGGTTGCTCGGAAGATCCTTAGAACATATGACCCCAATTAAACAACAAAATGTGACCTCCACGGACATTTGGCTATTAGATAGATCAATGCTTTCCAATTTACAGTCTAGGCTTTTGGCATGGCTGCAACAGGACACTTCCCCAATGTATTCCACAGAATATAATCTCCCGAAGTAACCTGTTCAGAATCATGCAAAAGTAAACAGAGATTCAAATATCCAGGAATGTCATGTTGTTCAATCATCGGCGAAAGAGCCTAGCTTGATGCATGACAACTACAAATACCATAAGTGAAAAATTCCAAGCTTCAGCTTGTCAATCATAGAAATAGCAATTTCGTACAGATTTTTGAGCAGTTCATGTTCAAAGCACCGATGTTTACCAGGGCCTACAGATACAACACGATATGCAACACAGCATGGCTTACTTAATTAAATAACAAAGGAGACCATCACAAAGTAAATTAGTGTCCTCAGGTAGCCCTTGGAAACCATCGAGGAGGTACAACTACTAAAGGAAACACAGTAACAGGCATTTGACAATTGCCAAATAAAAACCAAACTGCTCAGCAAAAATACGTAGATGCAAGTTTCCAGTGGTAATGAACATCTATAGTAATGTACTGTGAACATAGAAGTACCTGGGCTGAAAGCTCTGCTGGCGCTTTAACAGCAGGGAATATATTTACCTGTATAGAATAGAAAGTTTAAAATTCAGACCCCTGTTTCAGATTTAAAAACTTTCTGATAAAGTAAAAGTAAAGCACCTAGTCGATTTTACAGGGGAACAAATCAGGAATTTTTGGAGCAAATCAGTAAGTCAGTAAACTTAGTAGTTAAAGCACAGAGGGAGCAGCAGCAGCAAAACAGAAGAGACGAATCAGTAAAAGAAGAGAAGAACAAACATTGATGGGGACAAGGAATGGTAGAAGAACCCTATCAGTAGGTTCTTTCATATTTATGCCCAGGATCATCATGATCCGAGGAGGAAACCAAAGTATGAGACCTTTGGTTAGCTTAATCACTAGTACTTACAATATGCATGAATTTATTTAGTTATATTTTGTTATTCTAGAATAAGGGTACTTCAGTAATTCTGCTAGGTTGCAGGATTTTCCTGGAGTACTGGTTCCCTATTATTGGTATTTAGTTTAATTTCCTTATGGATTAAGTTTTAGGTCGTCAAAAGAAATTTAGTTTTAGGAAGCTAATATTTAATTACCTATTTGCTGCTGGTTTAGGCCTATATATATGTACCTCGTTTGAGGGTTTTAGACAGTTATGAGATCAATAAAAATTCCTGCAAGCTTTTGCTTTCAACAGTAGTTGTGTGACTCAACTAAACCCTTGGTGTGATGCCTAGGAATCCTGCGGTGTGATGCCAAAGGGCCCTAAGACTGATTCTTAGGTTTTCTTCTTCTTTTCCTACCCTTATCTCTGTTTTCCTGCGATTTCTAAACTTGTTTTCCTATAGATTCTTTTAGTTTTCCGCTGCATACTACTCTTTAATCAGCCTAAGTTCTGATTTCCTTAACCACCACGTTTGGTGCTGCATCAAACATATACTCTTGACTTACAGATTTAGGATCAAGAGACATGCCCGACAATGTTCCCCCGGCCATCTTGAAAGAAACCTGAATGGAAGAGAAAACATCAATCAAACGAGAACATGTTAAAAGCTTACATAATATCATTTAAACACAATGCCTTGGCATTATCCATTGATACCCAATTTGCAAAGATATAAGATCATTTTAGATTAGCAGTGTCACATATCATTAAGAAAGGAAGAAATCAAGAAAAGGAAAACAAAGGACAAAGATATACTTTAGCATAGCTGTATGCCTGCCAACAAAATGGTTCTTCCAGATCAACAACCTGAAGGTCCTTGCTCATTTTCTCCAACAGGAAATCCTCCACATTTACCATATTATTACCAGACTCAGATTCAAAATCACTATCCTCATCATCTAAACTCCCAAGAACTGAATCAGATGAAGATGATCTTTTTGATTGCCATGGAGCAAATTTTAAGGTTCCAGGAAATGAAGCCTCGATGCTCTTTCCAGATATACCCCGTCCACCAAGTACAATTTTCCATTCAACTGAATAATCAGCGGTTGAGACTGTTCCAACAGAAGGTGTCCCCTCAAATGAAACTACTCTTCTCCGGGGGAAATGCATAGTCACTGTACAGAATTCTAAGGACAAAGGAGACTTATAGCCTTCCATAAGGCGTAACTTAAACAGGAATGCACCCTCGTTTTCAGAGACCATAGAGAGTTGGTAAAAGCCCTTTACAGGAGGTCTAACTGTGTCAGTTACCTGGTATCGCATCAACACAAAGTTTCCTAATGGTGGTGAAAATGTCACAGCATGCTTATCTCCACCATGCTCAGGAACTTGAGCACATGGATGGAAAGATAATAGCTCGATGCGAGCTGAGTCCAATCCTGTCAAGGGGAATGAAACATCGGGCAAACCTTCTAACTCTGCTCGACAATTAACTTGACCAGATACAGTTACTGTATCAGGAATCTCATCACGATCATACATTGCTACATGAACTGTTTCATGGATAGTAAAGAGAATCCGTTGCTTTCCCCGATAAAGGTAAGGCTTCCAAGCTGGTTGCTTGCTATCTGGAGGTGGTAAATCAGCAGAAGAAAACCCATTGCTCTTCATGGACGAAATATTTGAGTAACTAAGGTCTAAAGGCGTACCTGAATAAAAGAAAGTTTAAAATTTAAGTAAAGCATTATGAAGTCATTCTTGAACCGTGAAATTTAGCTATTAATTTAAGTTCAGAATGCCAAAATGAAGGGTACCAACCAAAGGGCATGGCACTACTGATAAATGACTGAAGTGCATCTTTGTCAAAAGGCCTTGAGCCAATTTTTGGAGTATCTGAAGCAACAGCTCCACTTGCAGAGGTGCTGGAGGTGCCAGATGCAGCCATTGGAGACCCAACAGGTTTTGCTCTAGTTGAAATTCCTATGCTTCCCGTCAGCGAATCCAACAACCCTCCAACAGAAGGGGAGGAGCTAACAACTACTTCAGGTTCTAAAACATCTCCAGTTACAATATCGCCAATTGCATGGATTACCATTAAAGCCCTGTCATCAAAAGAAGTTACAAGCAAAGGAATAGCAATAAAAACACAGAGGCCAGACTTTGAAAAGAGAAGAAATGACAATAAGGACTGCTTTATATTTCCAGTAGTAACAACATGCCTAACTTACCATACCCTGTGATGGATGGAAGGTTAAGCAAGAGGGTAGATAAACTTTCATCTTCGCCAACAGCATTTCCACAATCCGACCGGTTCAACATCCTTGCATATGTCTTTAGATGGTGGGGCTCAACCAAAGGCATCGCAAGAAAGAAAAATGGGCCCTTTATATGCAGAACTAGTGGCCATAACAGATGACTCTCTCCTTCCTCTTCTTTCGTTATAGTTACACTTATAATATGTCGAGTGACAGGATCATCAACCCATGAATCGGATCCTTTAACAGACTGACTCGTCCGTATGCCATATCCACGAACAGATCCTTCCCTGCAACATTTAGAATACGCAATCACTTTTCATACATAAACTGAAGATTTCTCTCATTTTAGTTCCCTGGCCTACTCTACTTCTACACCATATTTAACCCCAAAAGTCTCAGAAATCAGTTCCATAACGAGGGAAAATTGATCTATCAACGGTGAAATCAGTTAACAAGACGCAAACCGCAAGCTATTAGTCAATTTAATCTTCATAACAACATTATATTTTTTCCTAATTTCTCATACTAACTAAAGAAATTCGGCAACTAATATATCGTCAAGCTAAATCCCGTCCATGTTTACGTTTCAAAAATGGAACTACAACAGGAAACTAACAAACAATAGAGAATCAAGAAACCTCTTCTTGCGTTCAGTAAAAGCCGCAGTTAACTCAGCATCGGTAGGAAGGTAAGGAACAAAAGAGAAACGGTCACCGGCGGAGGTGCCGTTTTCTTTGTCGCACGCAGCTCTCCACCGCCTCTCCACCACCGGAAACTTCCTGTTCCATCGGATCACACAATAAACGAATCAAATCAAGAACTCAAAAACAAACAAACAAACAAAAAAACGCAGTGATCAAATGATGTTAAATGTGAGGGTGAATTCGAGTGAAGAGAACCTGGAGAAAACGACGGCGTCGTGGTTGTTGAGAATCCACAGAGCTCTAATACTGCAACCACTCTGCATTGCTTCTTCCTTCCGTTGTTTTTTCCCTAATCTGAAATGCACCGGGAAATACAGTAGGTGGTGGAATGCAGAAAAACGACGACGTACGGGAAAGTTCTGCTTCTTTGTCTAACTGTTATTTTAAACTTTGCCCCTTCATATTTGAGATTAATACGTACATATCCATTACACTTTCCCTCTTCTTCTATTAACTTTCATATAAGTATGTTCTTCCAATTAAAAATAATATTTTTAAAAATAATTTATGATGATAATTAATAAAACAAAATAAAAGTGAAAATACATTTTTAAATTTTTATTTTCAATTAGAATAACATACTTACATATAATTTAAAGCAAATTAAAATGTCTTATAACACGAATAGGAGACAGTATTAACGGTAAAGACACTTGTAACACAAATGTGGTTACCAAAGTGTCTTACAAGATACCACTCAAAACAATGATTTCGGATATATAGGAAAAAAAAAGATAAATGAAGAAATTTATAAATATTCTTCTTGTTCTATTACAAAAGGAGATAAAGAGCTATAAAACTGGTATACAAAGGTGATGGTTTATAATTAATTATTTTTCTACAACAAGATGAAAACAAAATGAGGATAGCAAAGATGAGAATGTTAAAATGGATGTGTGAGCAATTAGATTAGATCGGATTAGAAATGATAGTATTAGAGAAAAAGTAGGGATAGCTTTAATAGACGAAAAATGAGAGAAAACCATTTAAGATGGTTTGAACATGTGCCTAAGAGACCGGTAAAGGCTCCGGTTAAAAGGGTAGAAACTATAGAATCAAAAATTCAAATTAAAAAGGATAGGAATAGACCTAAGAAAACATGGAAAGAAACTATAAAAAACGATTTGAAATATTTAAATTTGTCCGATGAGTTATGCACTGACTGTGAACAATGACGACATATGATCCATATAGCCGACCCCACCTAGTGAAAAAAAGGCTTGTTGTTGTTATTGTAACAAGATGAAAACAACATTCATGTTATATACAAAAGTGATGTTCCAATAATTATTTTTCTACAACAAGATGAAAAGAACAATTCATCAATACTATGTACATTAAGCAAACTTTTTATCCTTTATTAGTGAATCTCAAAAGCAAAGTGAAGTCTTGTTCAGCTCCGGAAAGGGGCATCTGAGCCGAAGTAGAGAATCATCACAAAGGTTTACTTGCACATTAGGTTTGAGAACTAGAGATCAATGCAGAGGTATGATATGGTGGAGCCTGCCCTGCGTCTTGTTCTTGGGGTAACCTTCCACTTCTCGACGAGTACCTTTTTAATTTTCGCACAGCTTGCAATCACTGATGCGACTCCAGCAGCTGAAATGCCCGGGCAGTAGACCATATGGCACGTTTCCAGCAAGGTGCACTTGTTTACAAGGTTAGTGAGACCTACATCTGTCACTCGACGACAATGTGACAGCACGATATCCTTGAGCATGGGACATCCGTCGCCTAGCTCAGACAAAGCCAAATCCCCCAAATTCTGACAAAGTCGAACCAAGTATAAAAGCAACACATGATTCGCTAACTCTTTTAAGTCTTGCAAGAACAAAGATCAAGAGGCGTAGAAAGGGAAGAAGGTAGTCCTACCTGGAGAACACTGACATCTAGATAATTTAGCTCAGGACAACCTCTGGCAATGGCAACCATTCCTTCATCTCCTATTCGGTGACATCCACTAACATTCAAGTAGCGTAAAGAGTGACATTGACCAATTGCAACTAGTCCCTCGTCTCCAATCCTGAAAATTAACAGCATGAGTGAGATATGGCTAAATGTGAACAATCAATAAAAATCAGCAATCAATATACGATAAAGTTGAGTAGAACAAGGAAGAATTACCTATCACAGAACCTGAGGCTAAGATCGGTAAGAAACTCACAATTCTCCCCGATCGCAACTATTCCTTTACTGCCAACCTATCAGAATAAGTATGTTAACTTACTGTCCATGACAAGATAAAAAAGATTTAATGAAGAAATATCAACAGAAAAAAAAGGTTATTTCAACCAGGTAGTGTCTTTATCGCAGAGCAAAAAAAAACATTCATCCAAGCAGGAATATTGAGGTGAATATAATTGGTCTGTACCTCATAACAACGACGAATGTGAAGCTTTTTCAAGTTCCTGCAACCTCTAGCTATACTACAAATAGCATCATCACCAATACTTGAGCAGTCAACCAAGTGAAGAGCTTGTAAAAGCTTGCAACCTTTCCCTATTTCAGAAAGGGCTAAATCACCTATCTTCTGACAGTACAACAACGCCAACTCAGAAAGGCTCCTGCAGAAGTAAAGCACAATTTTGAATGAACAAAGGGAGAAGTACCAAGGGACGGATCACAATTGGACATTGAACTCAAAAAAATAAAGAGATCTCAAAATTTTTTATGTAATTGATTTACTGTTAAACATTATCGAGACCTCTGTAATGATGAAGAGAACAGAAACTAAAAATATGAATAAAATCATACATGCAAGCTTTGCCGATAGATTCCAATCCTGCTGTTCCAATATTGTGGCAGCCATTTACTTCAAGATGCGTCAGCTCAGAACACCCCGCTGCGACAGCTTGCAAACCCATGTCACTTAGGAAATAGCAATCGCTCAACGTAAGGTTCTTCAATTTTTTACAACCTTTTCCTATAGCACAAAGACTCCTGTAACAAGGAGAAACAATTAAATACTCCTGTAACAACGAAGAACAGTTAATATAGCCCAGTAAAAAAAGATCCAACAGAAAAGACAAGCCATTGGATGTGTTAGTAAATAATCTTCTGAGGTTGCAAATAAACGGGGAAATTGGCTTCTAATTGAGAGGGGAAAGGTTACAAACAGAGCTTGAGCTAGGCCCAGTAGAAAACATGAGGTCGTGCTGGGTTCAAGTGCAGAAATCAAGTTCTTTTCAGTATTCATACCGATTACTCAGGAAGTATTTAAGCAACAAAACATTTTCTTTAAGATAAGATTTCAAGGAAAAAAAAAGTAAGAGAGATTAACAGTAGAGGAAAGTAGGCAGACTTGTCTGTGAATCTCTGAAAACTGTACAATGCCAAGAGGTCCAATTGTTTGCAAAAGATTCCCACAGCTTCTAGAGCCTCGTCTGTGACATTAATGCATTGTAGCTTCAATACTTTCAGTGCTGAGCATCCTTTGGCCACCGAGAGGACGCCTTTGTTATGTATACTCTCTGAATCCAATGATAATGTTTCAAGATGATGGCAATGGGATCCAACTGCTACCAGAGATACATCTGTTATTTTGGCGCATGCAGCGATGCCAAGAGATTTCAATCTTTTCCCAGCACCAATGGCTAATTCGACCAAACCATCATCAGTTAGACCTTCACAAAAACGAAGGTTCAAGTCTTCAAGTAATTTACAACACTCCCCAACAGCTGCAATGCCTTGATCTCCAACATAGCAGCCCTTTAAACAAAATATATTTGAAAAATTAGGACTACATTTCATCCAAAGAAAAATGATCTTTTGTAAAAAGCAAATTAAAATAACTTGAACGTGACCAAAAGGTCATTGTGACGAAATAAAGCTCTGGCAGAGATAAGTAGGAATAAAATACATAAATGTTCACCTGCAAATCCAAAGACTTTAATGATTTACAACTCTCTGCAACAGATCTCAAACCCACATTTGTCACATTCGAACACCATATCAAGCTTAGCTTTTCAAGTATGGGAAAGCCATTGCTAACCACGGCTAGGCCAGAATCTGATAAGCAATACGTGTCTGCCTCCAACTGATCAAATCCATTCTTTCCACTAGAACCTTCCGAGCCAGTTTTTCCACCAGCTAAAATGTGAAGCTGAAGGGGTGAAACTGCAGAGTGATTCCTGTGACGTCTTCTTCCCTAAGAGATAGATACATTGATATAAGTTAAATTTACAAGAGGAGTTACTAAAGCCAAGCAACAGTATCCAACTCATGAAGCACAAACTGGCATATGATATAAGATGACTATGAAAAATTGGGATATATCATTGCAATATGTTCAGCGAAGAAGGAAAGGTTTGTCATTTGAGATTTCAGTACTCACACTCTTGGGAGTCGAATCGTTGAATTATAGAGCAATAGATTACACTAACAGATTAAGTGACAAAATATCGTCAGCGTAAAGCAAACTAAACATGTAAACAGATTGGAAAAAACAAAGAATCCAAATGAAAAAATCTTTGCAGGTTACAGGGGAGAGTCTTTCACCTTTGGCAGTTTGAATTGTTGTAGCTATCCAGATGATACTAACAGAAACTAAATACATTGCCAACACAATGCAAAAACATCTTTGCCATTTTTCTGAAGACATGTCTCACATGTCACAAAATAATCAAGTGACAGATGCCCTAGATGTCTGGCCATGAAGGAAGATAGCTTGCACCTATTCATCCAATGTCCACAATCTCAAGCAATCTGGGGTCTAGCATACCCTTTCCCACAAGTTTTTTACCATACCAGCGCAACCCTACTGGACTGGTTCACACTATGGTAAAATCGTCCCCAACACCTCTAGATTTGGATCTTTTCCTTGTCGGTGGATCTGATTAGGAAGGAATGACAAAGTTTGGCGGAATCAAATGCAAGACCCAATATTCAATTGCGCAAATCCAGATTCATTTTCGATCCATAAACAACGTCATCTAAGAAGGAGAAGGAACAATCAAGGTGTTTCCTCAACAAGGACTGATGAAGAAGAAGAGAGCGTTGCAACCATGGTGATTGATGGTTATTTGGACCCTGTCACGCGCCACGCAGCAGGGGCTGGAAAATTACCTCTTCAACTAACATGGTGATACAGATGAAAGTAATCACTTTACAAGCACTCTCACCACTTGAGTCGGAAGCAATGACGTGTCTTCTGGCACTCAGGGAAGCTTCCAATTTTGGAAATTGATCGAATCAGGGTTTTCACGGATTGTGAATCACTTATGCTCGATCTTAATAACTCTTCATTCCCGGCCGAGGCGCAAAAAGTGGTATCTTTATTACATAGTTTAATTTCAGGTTTTAATCTATGCCAACTGATTAAAGTTATAGCAGGGATGACGTAGCATAAGTCCAAAGGTTAGCATATAACAAAATGCCACGTAATAGATTAAGTTCCTTAGAAGTAAACGTGTACCTTTTCGGGGGGAAAAAGACGATCATAAGAAATGAGAATTTTAAAATCATGCTTCCCACTCTCGACAAAAATCATAAAATTTTGTTAGAAGTTTTACTGTCTAACTAAACCAGATACTTCACACACCCAACAACATCAACCTTCCAAGCCAACAACACCATACCACATTTCCCTTTTCAAACCTACTTGCCTTAAGAATCTTGACCTGGAAGGAATAAAAAATCCATGAGGCTCCAGATACTTATATATCCACTCATAAACGAGCAACCCTAAGTCATTCCTTTCTTCCCACCATTCTAGCCATATCGCGTTATTTTCTACATTTTACTAGAGCCCTCATGATCATATCTTCCAATCACACTTGGTAAGCTTTCAAATATCCACCTAGCCAGCCAAAGATCGAATCTTTCCCAAAAAATGCAGCTTAATTAAATGAATTCACAATCTTAATCACAAAAACCATGCAAAAATCGTCCAAACCCATTAATCCCACACACTTTTCACATCCATCACATATACATTAATAAAAAATATCAAAGAAAAACCACAGAAACAGGAAAAAGATATCAACTTTCAACCTTTCACATGCTAGACTTACATATTGGATGGGCAGGGAGGCGGAAATCGAAAGACGCTCGTCGATGGACAGGTTCTTCACATTAGGGAAACTGCTGGATAGAATCTTGACCAGAACATCGGGAAATCCAGAGGCGCCAATGCGAATTGAATCACGGCTGAGACGCTCGAGCCCAAGCCATCGTTTGCAGACGAGGGAAGCGGAATCACGGGTTTGCTTCGAGTCCAGATGATTGAAGATTTCGAGGATGAGCTCATCCGGCAAACTCGAATTGATCCTGTCGCGGCCCTTCATTATTTTGACGTTAATCTTATCGAATCCGTACGAATCTGGGATTTGGAAATTTGGTTTATTTGCTGACAAATTATTTGGAAATATATATAGGGAAAAAAATGAATCAATTAGCGGAATCGGGATGGAAGAGTTTTTCTTCGGTCTGAGGAATTGAGGTAACTAACTGGAAGTGGATCAGTTTGGTACTTTGGTAGTACTCGCGGTGAAAGTAAGGTAATTCTGTTTTGTCGATTTTGACCCCTTCGGTACTATTCATGTAAATTTATTAATTAATGCGCTAATTAACTTTTAAGGAGCATCTATTCCGACTTAATTTCGGATTCTTTACCCGAATGATCTCGTGGTAGGCTCCTATAGCGGGTTGGATTAAGATAAAATCGGATGGCTCTTTTAATCCGGAATAAAAAATGGCAGGTGGAGTGATTCAGGATGAAGCCGGGCGTTTGTTTGGCGGATTTCTCATGAATATTGGATTCCGTACTATTAGTGGCGCAGAATTATAAGAATCATTCTAAGGATTGTGATTTGCTTGGGATCGTGGATGGAAATGTGTTATTGCGGAGGTTAACAGTCTGTGTGTCGTGATCATAGTGACAAGAAATGGTGTTGAGTATGAATCGAGGATTGGTTAATACTATTCGGGATTTGATCAATCAGGAATGTAGCGTAGAGCTGTGACATGAATTTCGTGAGATTAATTTTGCGGCAGATTATATATGTTCCTTAGCTGCTTCTTGTTTAGGTGACTTGCACCGGCTAGATGAATCTTGTCAATATTGAAACTGTGATTGAAACACGACATAATAAGTATTTCTTACTCACGAAATTTGTTAATTTTTTTATTTAGAGTTTTACCTCCTTTCTTGTACCAAATGTCGCATTGTTGTTTCTTGAACATTAACTAGAATTATTCTTATGGGAAAAAATATACATAGCAATGCATAATGTATATAGTAATTCACATAGCGGATAATAACTTATTTTTACATAGAATTTGATTTCTTGTAAGATCTTACACGAGAAATATAAAGAAGTATTAATAAATTGAAAGCATTTTTGTTATATTGAGAGCAAAATTTTGTCATTTACCTATATTACTCTCGTGTAGCATTTTTTTAGATTTAACATTTTTTTTTCCATCTTTCTCTATTTTGATTTCTTTTTATTCTGCTTTAACTCATCCCATGATATAAAAACACTGTCCTAACTCTAAACTTTACAGTAGTAATTCCTAATACAATCCGGTTTGATTTTTCATTACTGCAAATCACGTGGAAGAACACTTCTTAGAAGGCAAGTGATTTTGCCACAATATTTTCTAGCATCTACAACAAAAATGACGTCATTAACCTTATTGTGATTTTTTCTTCCTTTTCTCTCTCTCCCCCAAAATCACATCCCTTTTTTTTTTTACTCTCTTAGGCAGCCATAGTAAAATTTTCTTTAGTTTTACTAGAGGCAAGAAGTGCACCCAACCATGATATTCTCCTCCATCTTGGTTCTTACAGACAATTTTTAAAAAATTTAATTTTTGAGCAATTTCAAAAATATTTGAACGGTATGTTCATCAGTTATAATTGAGATGTTTGAGGGCTAAATCGCTATTACAATCTAGTAACACCATAACAAAAATAAAGATCAAATTTGGAGAGTAAATTCTTTGCTGAAGTTTGATTGATTTTCAATAGTATAATTCATTTGATTAAATTTCATCATTGTTTTGTGGATTTGTTTGTTTAAAGGATTTTGATCTTCAAATTTTCGAACCGATTGCGTCCATGGGTTTTCTTTGGAGAGGGGAAGTGGTATTAATTTGGTGTCCTAGTTTTTCAGATTGGGTTTTAAATCAAAAAAAAGAAAGAAAAAAGAAAAAAGCATTCACTAAGTGATTTTTCGAAGGACAATTACTCCCTGCAATTCCCCACTGTCATTATTTTTTGAACCTTTTGCTCTAGTATTTGGGATGCCTCATAAAAATTGTAGATTTGAGCACAAATTATTAACGCAGTGGGCGACGGTCTTTGCGCAAGCTGTAACATTTGAGATTTTAACATGTGAATATTGATTAATTATTGTGATAGTTTTATGACTTATGAGGAAAACTAAAATGATAATTGAGAAAGGGATTTAAGGAAGAGAGAAAGGAAAATAACTTTGATCTCATAAGGGTAATTTCGAAAAGAGAAATTATTTTTGTTGTGGATGATAAATATTGTTGTGGCAGAATCACCACCCTTCTTAGAAATTTGGAAGAAATCTTTTTGCAGGAGAAGAACATGGTAATTACCTATTAGTCCGTGTTTACAGGATATTTATTAGATCGGTTCTTTCTTATTACAAATCCCCTTTGATAAATTATAATATTGTCATCGAGTTTGGTTTATTTGATCGGATTGGTCTCTTATGGATGCCTTGGTGATTTTTGATGAGGTGTTTGTGTTGTTTGGTGAAGTAGCGGCTATAGAAAGAAGCTCTGGTCACCGTGATTAAATGGAGTAATATGTTTGTTTCTGTGATTGGGAATCCAAAGAGTGTGTATGGTTATGGAAGGCAAGAAGTCGACTGTTGATGGTACTTAATCTATTAGGAATATCGTTGGTGCATTTTTCTTTTTTCTTTTTTCCCTGTCCTTGGATAGTTTAATTTAGTTTAATTAATCCTTAGAAAAATAATATTTTGGAAGTGACTTTTAGATCTAAATATTCTTTGTTTTGCTTTTAGTATCATAAGTTTGATTTACATCTGTGTCGAGTTGGGAGGTTTTGAGTTGTTTGATAGTTCTATAACAAAATTGCAAGAACAATGAAGAAGAAAGGAAAAAAAAAAAAAAGAGAGAGAGAGAGAGAGAAGAAGAAAATTAAGGGACAATAAATATAGAAATCTCTAAAATGCTAAATGAGGGTAATATAGGTAAATGATAAATTTTGGCTTTCAATATGAAAAAGAACTCTCAATTCATCAATTCTATAAAGTAATGGTAAGGGTAAAAAAATAGTAACCATTTGCATTTCATGTGTCATTGTCATTATTACTTTCAAATATTCCTTTTCATGTTTCCTTTTGAGTAATTTGTTCGGATACATCTGTTTGGAATAGTGATGATATTTTCTTTCAAATACATTTGTTTTGATTATCTTCTTTTAACAATGAACTAGTTGTGGGCCCGTGCGTTGTCCGGATTGTAGAAATATTTCCGCATAATTAGTGCAGGAAAAAAACTTGATAAAAAGTGAATAATAAAAACACGGCACATATATCTTTAAAATTTTAGAAAAAAAAGGTTTCAAACAGTAAATAAATACGGAAATCTGTAATGGCCAGACATTTTTTCTTTATTATGATTAAATGTGGTAACACATATGTAATATGTTAGAACATATAAAAGGGCACGACATCTTTATTATGATGTATGGTCTCGTTTATACATCGCTTAGCAATACAGTCATCTCATCAATCTGCAACACAAAGTTATTGTAGAAAAAAAAAGGATGAACTACCTGAAGTGGCTAATTCATCTTTCAAACGGGACGGAAATTGACTTTGCTTATGCACCAGACTGCTGTCACGACCTCTAATTTGGGTTATTTATAGTACATAAGATAACTATGGTCGTAGGGTTTAACATGTTATGGGATAATTTTGGTAAATATTTTATATGAGTAATTATATGATTTTGTGGATAGGTGAAAACTTAAGGCTTTACTGATAGAATTTGGAGTAATTAATTAATATATTTGGGGAGTTTGTGAATATGGACGGAATATTATTTTAGTTAATTTACCCATAATTTTTAAAATAAATTTTATTTATTAATTTTCGGATGTGGGAGGGAATTAGGGTGATCAATTTAAATCTCATTATTTTCGAATTTTAAAATCATATCATGATGTGCCATAAATTTGGAAGTCATATTTGGAAATGATATTTATTGTGCTTTTTTGAAAATTCTGAAAGCGTTTAGAAACGTTTCAAAATCACGGTTGATGTGCCATACGTCCGGACCATGTTCAATGTTAACTAATTATTATATTTTTGATTTACCTTGATTAATGAAATATATATGAGTAAATAAGTTAAATTAAATAGTTACCAATTTTTTTCACTATATCTAATTAGACTTGATTTTTATGATTGTTTGATTGGACATCTCATTATGTGACACATGTTCGAAAAGCTTATTCTTTTAATATATAGGGTTGATTTGTATTTAGTTTGAATCACGAATGAAAACTAAGAGGAAAAAAAAAAGTAAACAAATCGTACATATTACTTTTCATGTTTTAAAGTTAATATTTTGTTTACTATACCAAAAATATAATAATTATTTTGGGACAGTAGAACTAAAAAGCCAACTGAGGATATAATCTATAATTAGAATTGGGAATGTGAGTAATCTCATCCTAGTTTTTTCTTTCTTTATTCTCAAGGAAAAGAAAACGAAGCTGGGGGTTTTCTTTCAAATTCTCAATAATATTAATATTTAACTCTTTTAGTGGCATATTATATCATGCAAAAGAAGATTTATCACATCAACTTGCTCCCGTTAGTAAAAACACTAAGAGCATTCGCGTTGGATGGTAATTGGCCTAAAAATTTGTATCAATTGCCACCCAACTCACTGCAAGAAGTAGAAAAATAAAACGACGTGCCTTCTGCTATTACTTGTAAAAATCCTGTGAAAACTAAATATTGTGGGTCCTAGAACAAGAAAAAAGAGAGAAAGTAAAGAATTACTTGGTCCACAATTGTTACTCAATCCGTTAACTTCTATAGAAGAAAATAATATTTTACTGAAATGGGCCATGAAAATCCAATGCGCCATGGCTTGGGGCCACTTTTTTATTCAAAGCACTGGGGTTGATCTAAGGGGTCTTATTAATATGTTAGGAAAAGGACAAAACTCCCCTGAGTTATATTCCAAAAACTAATACCACCCTGACTTTTTTTATAAGGACAATTATCCCCCTTAACTGTCAGTTAACGCCATAATTGACCCCCTAAGAGCAAAAATAGCAAAAAACATATATGTAATAACCACAATACCCTTTTCACCTAAAATCAAATTTTTGTAGATAAATTCAATCTTTTTTCAAAAACCTATTTTGTTTAATAAATCGTTAAAAGATTTATTTAATGATAAGAAATTTACCAATTTTTCTATAAAAAAATACTTTTTTGAAAAAAAAATATTTTGAGTAACAACTATTGTATGTGGTTGAATTTCTTTTTATTAAAAATGATAGACTTTCAACCATATCCTACATTTATTTTAATAACAATGGACTAATTCAAAACATGAATAATGTTGAAAGTATGCTATTTTTGGTCAAATTATATTTTATTTAGAATAGAATTCAACCCTAAATAAATTAATTTTTTACTAAAATTAATTATTTTTTTTAAAAAAATATTTTTAACAAAAATTGGTGAATATTATTATTCCTAAATAAATTCTTCAACGATAAAATAAGCCATTGAGAAAAGAAGAAGATAAAATGTGGATCAAGGGGATTGAATGATAGTTTAGTAGTTAGGTTACTATCTTTCCTGATAATAGATCAGGGTTCGATTCCCACCAAGAAGTCTGTAAAGGGGGTTTTACCATATTTAAGTGGGGTCCACGGAGTGGATTTTTTTTAAGATAAAATGTGGATCAAAAATTTGTTTTTAGATGAAAAAGGTAATTTTATCATTTTAGTTGTCGGAAGGTCAATTATGCAATTGACTACCGGTCAAGGACTCCTTATACGAAATGTCGGGATGGTATTAGTTTTTGAGACATAACTCGAGAGATTTTTATCATTTTTTCTAATATTTTTAATACTTGTAGCGTCTTAAAGTCGTTAGAGAAATAATCCAAAGATCGCATAGACTAGTTAGAGCGTACTTTCAATTTAACCGAGCCATGTAGTACTTTCTTTTATAAATGGAATGTTTATTTTTTATTTTTTTTTAAAAAAAAACTCTTTTAGTGGATTTTTGTTGGTAGAAGAAGAGGATAAATGCTTTTTACATTTATTTCCCTTTTTTTATTTATTTATATTGGTTGATTTTTTTTATTTTTTTTTCCCAAAACCCTCTTTTGCCTCTCTCACACATAGACACACGCTGAAATTCTTCCTCTCATATATACGAACTCACGTAACCTAGTACCTTCCTTTTACAACGATAGTACGACGTACATAGATTTTTCGGAATCTTGTGAAAAACATTTTTATTATCATTGATTGATTTGTTTTGATGGACTTCTTCAAATCAGTATTCTCAGAAGATCAATTTCCGACATCCCCCGATCACAATCCCGATGTAACTCCGACCTCGCCGTCGAATTCGGATTCGAATTCGAATTCGGATTCCCCTCAATCTCCAAACCCGGATGATAAACCCAAATTCCCATCCATCGCAAACTCCTGGACGACTTTCGGGTCATCCCTTTTGAAGACCGTCGCGACGAAATCGGAGTCGGTGATCGGGAATTACCGCCGGGATCTCGAGGAGTTCAGTTCCGGGTTGAGAAAGGAAACGGCGATTATCCGTGAAGCCGCCAGCCGCGCCGTCAAGGACTTGCCGGGTCGGCTTGAATCCGGCGCCGCCGTTGCTCAAACGTCACTTGAATCTGTCGGCCAGGCTATCGACAACATCGGTGGAGCCGTTTCTGAAATCATTGTTCACGGTAAAGACTCGATTTTTAACTCGGCTGATGATGTAGATTCTGATGTTGAATTTGAAACTGGTAGTAATAAGGATAAGCAAAATTTGAAGCCTTACAATAGACTTGAGGCTGTGATTAGGACCGTACAATGTGATATACGAACTTATTGTGAGGAGCCAGAAGAGGCTGGGGAGTATTTAGAGTGGAAAAAGGATTTTGTTTTGGAGGATTTGGGTGGGGAAATTGAGGATTTGGTTAAGGAGAATGAAGTTATTGGTGAGATTTATGATGAGGTTGTGCCAGGGAAGGTTGATCGGGAGACATTCTGGACTAGGTACTTTTACAAAGTTTACAGGGTTAAAAAAGCAGAGGAGGCTAGAATGAAGCTGGTGAAGAGAGCTATAGAGGGAGAAGAGGAGGAGGAGTTGAGTTGGGACGTTGACGATGACGAAGAACAGGATGAGAACAATGGGATCAAAGCGAAAGAGGCAATAAATCAAGGGGTTGAAGAAAGTGAGAAAGAAGTGGGGAGTTTACGGCCTGATCATGATGATAAACCTAGTGCTTCTAAGGTGAGGAGTGAAGCCGGAGATGAGGAGCAGGGGGTTGCAGAAGGAAGATCTGAAGAGAATGATTTGAGTGGTGAGAAGTTGGAGTCAAAGATGGATGACAGGGGGAGCAGCTCAGAAGGGAGGAATGACAATGTTAGCGATTTTTCCGTAGTTTCAAGCCAACCATCAGAAGTAGATATAGGGTGGGATGAGATTGAAGATATTGGAAGCGGTGATGAGGCAAAGCTACCTGTGCAACGCAGTCCTGATACAGTTGATCTTCGTAGAGGTTTGATTGTTGCTGCTGACGAAGAGGAAGATTTGCCTTGGGACATTGAGGATGACGATGATGAGCCTGCTAAGTCATGATGAATTGAATCTGTCACCATTATCGAGTGAGACTATCACTTCAGTTGCTTATTCAGAATGTTAATTGTTTCTAGCTGCATATTTGAGGATCAAGACTTTCATTTTCTTTCCTCATCTTGGATACAGCTATCTTATTATTTGTGACTGCTGTGTTTACTCTCTCTCTCTCTCTCCCAGTTGAAGTGTATGTATTATTGGTTTTTGTGGGAGACAAAGTTAATGTGATTATACAAAGATATAACTTCAAATAATCGTTTCTTGAATCAGACAGGTTACTTATGAGTAGTTCTGGTATTTTTCACTCCTTTCTATCCATAGAACTACTTGCTGCTACTGAAATTTGTTTGGTTTTTTCTTTTGTGCGTGTGGTAGTTTTCACGTCATGAACATTTTACTATGAACAGAATGGATAGATTATCTAAGCAAAATTGTGGACTGCCGCACATTTGGAGTTGCATCATGGCTTACTTATATACATTTTAGGTACCAAGCATAAGTGAGTATATTTTATATAGCAAGAATGAGAGAAAGTGAGAATGAATGCAACATTAAACATTTTATGTAGTAGGTGATTGATTGAATCGACTGGTCGAAGATTGGTTTAATACTGTCGTATCACAGGAAAAGAAACATAACGAACATGTTAGCTCTTTGGCTGGCTAATGCGCATTGGTTTACAGAAATGTTTGCCTTTTCCAAACACTGCCCAAATGAAAGAAAATTACCCAAAAAAAAAAAGCACGGAACAAAACGCCTTGCAAACCAGAACAGGGAGATGACAGTTACGTCCATCTACATCTGCTTTAAGAGCAAGCACAGAGAAACTACAAGTATTGGATCATTCATGGAAGGAACAAATAGTAATACGCTTGATTCAGTCATCACTGGCACAAAGCCAAAGCCAAAGCCAAAGTTATAGTAAAAACGTCAGGTAGAAGTACCATGAGATGTACAGTATCCACAAGGATTTTTACGGCAATTCTAGTATCATCCATGCAATTCAGGTCGTAACCTAGCACATCTTAGTTGTCTGCCTGCCTGAGCAATCGAAGAATGGTGAGGAACAGGTTCAGAATGTCGAGGTAAAGATTGACAGATGCCCAAATGTACTCATCATATGTAAACCGCTTGATCAGGTTATCAGTGTCTATGATCACGAATCCTGAGAACACTATAGCACTTAGGCCACCAATGATGGCACTGAAAGTTGAACCAAGTGGGAAAAATATCTGCAGAGTGAAATAACATACAAGCATTGTGAGTCAATAAGATATAAATGAAGTCAGAAGCGAGCCAATATATACGTTAATGTGATGTGAACATTCATGGTAATCAAGTCCAAGATGATCAAGGTGTTCGGGTTCCAAGTATTGTCCAACCTCAAGGAGTGGCTCAAGATCCATTATCTAACATTGGAGGCCCAATATCTCAAGTTAGAAGTAAAAGGATGAAAGTGCACTTAATAATCTTATATCCAATGGTTTAGCCTAAGAGAATGTCAAGTCTGGAAGTTACAAGCCCAAGATTATTAATGTGTTACGAGGCCCATTTGAGGAAGGACATTTCGGCCCACAAACCAAGCAAGGAAGCCCAGCCCTATCTCCTAATTTTTAGGAGTTGGAATCTCTATCTTTTAGGGATAAAATCATTTAAATCTTATCACACTTGTGGAATGATAAGATTTGGAAGATTCCCTATCTTTTAGAGATAAGATCATTTAAATCTTATCACATGGAAGGATAAGATTTGATATGATTCTCTTTTATCTAATTTAGAGTTTATTCAAAATAAGAAGTTTATTCCTTGGTGTCTACTCTCAATCGTTGGATGGAGATTAGATCAAGATTGGATGGCTATGATTACTCTACAAAGAAGATATTGATAGAGTTGACAACTCAGGAACATTCTTTTCAAGATAAGGATAAGATTCTTTTGAGAGAATATCTCTTTGTATTTGGAGTTTTATTTTCATTAGACTAGTGTGTCTTAAGTCTATAAAGGTGTCTAAATACATTGCCTTAATAGATAAGACACAAGTTGTCAATTAGAGGTCAAGTTGATTTCTAGTTCTTTAAAGTAGGAATAGAGTTATAGATCAAACTCTTCTCCTACTTCATAGGAGAATTTCGGCCCCCTCTACTATAAATAGGGGTGTTTGGCCAGCATTTCATTTGTACCTTTGATGAATTATTTCAATATGAAACGAGAGGAAACTCTTTGTTCTTTTACTACTCTTTTCGAAGATTAGTGCATTGCACACAAGCTTGTGCTTTGTTGATGCATGCGAGTAGAATTGGTGTTTTTCTACTTGTGGAGCTTTGTTAGTTGTTCATTGGAGCCTTTTTGCTAGCCGTTCTATCCATAAATTGAAGGGATAGGGTTGTTAGAGAGGTGACCGATTGGGTTGCTAACCTTAAACACTTTCTACATCTTCTAAACCTTTTCATCCTTTTTTGGTGCAAATTTTTGTGGTTTGCATCTCTTCTTTTCTTTTAATTTTCGTGAGTTGTGGAGTCCATAATATTGTATTTGCAAGTTTTCAAGTCCTGGGAAATTCATAGCTTCCATGTCGAGGTAAATCTGCCACCTTTGCCTCAAGATTCATATCATAATGCTTGGGAAGAAATATCATGGAAACTCAATCTAGGAAATATGTGACTCTAATTTCATCCTATATAACAGAAAAGTATGACAATGAGTCTTCTATATGGGGTTCATTTGAGTACAGTGTGAGGGAAAGAAGAGTGTATACTCAGAAGTATGAATTTCTAAAAATACAAGTTGAGCAAAAAAGAACCTGCATAAAGCCAGTCAGTATGATTATAAAAAGACTAGCCAAGAGAATTGGCCCCAGGAAACTGAAATCACGACCCTTCTTGGCAGCCCAGAAAGTGTATGCAGTGAGGCCAAGGAGGACTATTGATGTCAAGAACAAAGCTTCAAGCACAATCTTCCCCGAAAACTCCCACGGGAAAAAAGAAAAAATCAGTACTATCTAAAATGAGAATAAAACAAGGAAAAGTTGCACCATCAAAAAGTTTCTTTCAGGATATAAAACCGTAGAAGTGACATACCATCTGTCTGAGCACAGCTTACTCCCACAGTGAAACTTATAGAAATAGTAAAGAGTCCAAGGAAGATAAAGTTGTGAGGATGGTTTAGCTGGTAGACGCGCAATGGCCATAGAACTGAGAAGGATCAACACACATTTATTAAGACCGAAACCACATTAGCAGAAGATAGTCGGTAAAAGTAAACAGAAAAAGACCTATAAGAGTCCAGCATCAAGATGGTTTAAACCATTTATTAATTCATTCAAAAGCGCCTGATACAAACAGGGACTAAGAAAATAGTTGCTCTATATTCGGATGTTATGACTTGAATCCAATATACAGCAGATCTTAAAAACATGCACGCAACATTATTAAGAAAAAAGAAAGTATCCTTAAGCTGTAAACAAAATAAGCAATAGCCACATTTCTGAAAGGGAGCATATACATTTTGTGTCACTCATAATGGAGTTTCACACTAGCCATAAGCAAATTAAACATCAAATACAGCACAAAGAAACATGGTATTACCTGCAAACATCAATGGTCAGGGCAGGCCGACATAAAAAAACCAGGAAGTAATCTACAAACAATTTAGTACAGGACATGCTAAATCTTCCGAGTCAACATAACAAATTTTGTGAAGGCATAATAAAAAAAAAAGAGCTAAGCTCCCTTTTTTTGTCCTCCAGAAATTAAATGATAGTGGATTTAATTACTAAATAAGGACATGTGATTGAATATTCAACACTAGCCTATAGGATAAACATGCAGAAATTAATCAAATAAGAGTAAATTGATCCAAACCATACCATGTAGGAACCCTAATTAATAGGTTAGGAAAACACAGTAATAAAGCCAACCAAAACAAACTAACTGTCATAGAAGCATATCATAAATTCGAAATTCCGGCCATCAAATTACCCTAGAAATAGAGGAAAATTGAAAGAGAAGAAAAACCGAAGCACACTTATGGAGAAAGGGGAGGAATCAGAGGAAGAGCAGGGTGGTAAAAGACAACTACGGCGGAGACCAAGGTGGTGAGGAGGATCTGAGCGGACAAGATACCGTAAACTTTGCGAACTGACGATGGATGGAATTGTATCAATGTCTCCGGTTAGTTGCTACGGCGGCCATGGCGGAGTCAAAACCCTAAAACCTGCAAAAGAGGGTCTCGGGGTCTTCCAAGGGTAGACAGTCCGATACTTAAGTCAGTAAAAGTAATTGTATTAGGGTATGAATTGTGGTGCGTGGAGCTTACGTTTGATAATAGGGATTGATCCCTATTTATAGAACTAGATTATAGAACTTTTTCTTGGTAGGAAAGTAATTGACAACTGCTTGGACCGCTCACCGAACTTGGGCCGGCCTAGTAACGGGCTGTACTATTTGGACTCGTCAAGTGCCCCTTATCAAGCCTATACTTCGAAGTCTGAAGATAGGATAGGCTTGATAATATGAAGTATAAATTGTTCCCAAGTTCGGGAAAAACTGAGTTGAATCAAGAACCTGCGAAAGGTTAGCATCAAGGAGAAATCAAAGTAATGAATGCATTAGAACATACCTTGTCGAATGTATGTGTCATAAAGGGCGATTGATATGTACACCAATTTGTGAAGAAAGAAGAGTCATCAGTTCAAACTGTCGAGTGAGAAGTTGATATGCGATGATCTTAACATTCTGCGCTAGAGAGATACTAAGGCAGATACCCTCTTGCTCGAGAAGGTAATAAAGAAGTGTAATGGAGATTCCCATTACACTGAACACAGAGATGTGTTATCAATAACTTTCGAAGACACAACTGCCAGAACGAAGATTCTGTTTGAAGATTGCAGTTCATGTCATCGACCCAGACGTTAGTCGAGAAGGCCTTGCATGATGAATTATCGAATCAGGTGGCCCGTCTGTTGAGATAATCGAGTAGAAAACGTAGTGGAGATTCCCACTAGTCTCAATATGTGTGTCACTAGCAGCGGCTAAGATATACTTATTGCCGAGATGATAAGTTGACTAGAGAACTGTGTCATATGCTTCTGAACGAGAGGTAATAAATCCAAACCCTCGAGAGTAACCACAGAGTGGTGGATCGAGAAGTATAATGAATGAAGACAGAATACCCGATGTCGAGGACATAAGTCTGAAAGAACAGTCTGGGTTGAGTCAGTACGTTGAGAACTTGCCCCAGAATAATCTGAAGACTCGAGAAGACCATCTCGAGCTTAGTAGAGTATTTAGAGAGTCGAGATTGTCACCATATGAATCCTCGATAGTGAGAGGGACAGAAGAAAGTAGAAGACACCATAGAAGATGCCGTGTGATTACGT